ATTTTTAAAATGGAAATAGAGTTAATGTAAATACCTGCACCCTCTAGATCATTTGTTATTGTTAATAGAAGAAGTAAACATTATCAAAAAGTTTGGATTCTCTGAATTCTCTGCCCCTTGTCTTATTTCCCTTCCTCTCTCCAGAGGTAGCCACCTTCATGTGTTTTACTAGTCTTACTTTTACTTTTACTATATATATATATATATATATATATATCCATAAATAATTGTGTTATCTTTTCTATTTTACATAAAGAATCTGCCAGTTGTATCTTTTTGCAACTTCCTTTTTTTCATTGAACATCTTTTGCTTGAAATAATTCTTTTAGGGTAACTTTGTTCAAATGTTTTGATGATGCCTTATTGTTGATACACCATATCCTGGGTCCATACTTAGCTGAGTGCCCTGATTCACTACTTTAGGCGAGTAATTTAAGGTTGATGACATCATTACATGATAAACTGACAAGTACATTTATTATGTGTTTATTATATGAGGGAAACTGAGCTTGGTGTTAAGGTCAGATAGGAGAGGTACACAAATGACCCATTCTTGTTTTTGCAATATTTTTAATTTTTTTTCACACCAAAAACATTCTCTATTGGGTGTAGCTGATTAACAGTGTTGTGATAGCGAAGGGACTCAGCCATACATACACATGTATCCATTCTATCCCAAACTCCTCTCTCATCCACTGCCACATGACGATGATAATATATCCCTATTTTAAATGTTATCAGCTAGTTTAAGATAATATATACATACACATAAACATTTTAAAATACATATGTGTCTGTATAATATAACACACACACACACACACATACACACACACACCACCCCCCCACCGCCCCCCAAGGAAGTGTCTGCTGGTTGTATCCAGCAATTTTGTGATCTCTTCCTTTTAGCAACCTCATTAGATGAAAAGTTCTGTGAAGAATCTTTCTTTCACAGCTTCCTTTCGTTGTGAGAATTTTATTTTTAAGTTAGAAATTACTTCTAAAGTAACTTGATCATTCAGACTGAGTTTTAAAAGCACATTCGTGGTGATTGCCATTAATTTAGAAAATGAGTACAACTGTGTTTCAGACTGCTTGTTAGGTTCTGGGATAGTAAACAAATGGTACTGTTCCTATCCTGGAGTTAATTGTGTGTTGCAGGTTGCGTTGGGGGAGGTTGAGAGGTTGATGTTTTTGGGAAGCCAACTCTGAATTGGAGATAATCCTGCATGAATTTTATTAGAGAGTACACTTGGGATCACCACTTGTGGGAAAGAAGAGAAGGAAGTAGAATGAGCAGAGGGAGAAACTGTGTTGTGATAGTATCTTAATGAAGGCCTCAGCCAATCCATGTAGGCTATGAAGCTGAGATCACCCTTCAGAGTTATCCTAAGCTGAAAAGATGTCTGGCTTTTAGATATGGTCTGTCCCTTGAAGAGCTATGACAGACCTTGAGAGCATGTTAAAGAGCAGAGACATCACTTTGCCGACAAAGGTCCTCTGAAGAGGATCTGACCCTTGGTGAGGCAACTCTTTTCATTAGAGGCAGTTCTGAAGAGAAGTGACAGCTGAAGGCTTTCTTTTGGTAGTACGTCTCAGCAGCTGGGACAACAAATCCTTCAGTCCTCAAGGGAGATCTGTGTAGTTGGTGTTACCACAGGGTTCATGGTAGAGAGAGTCAAGATAGATACGTGTAAATAAATCATACTATGCTATGGAAGCCCAAAGGAGTGACTACTCATGGGAGTTAGGAAGAGCTTATAGAAGAGATGACATTTGGGCTGGGTGTTTTTGGTTTTTTTTAAACATTTTTATTTTATTTATTTATTTATCTAGGCTGCTCTGGGTCTTCATTGTGGTGTGCAGGCTTCTCTAGTTGTGGTGCGAGGGCAGCATGTGGGATCTAGTTCCCTGACCAGGGATCAGACCTAGACCCCCTGCATTGGGAGCACAGAGTCTTAGCCACTGGGCCACCAGATAAGTCCCTGAGCTAGGTTTTGAAGAATGAATTAGTAGGTTGGGGGGGGGGGGCATTTTTTTTCCTGAGTCACTGACATTTCGTAGCAGAATCAGGAAATTGATTTATTTGAAGTGCAAAGGGTTTAATATATTAACTATTCTTTAATTTCTAGCAGTCATGATAAAAATAATGAAGCTGTTTGTAAAATCTTGGTTTGCTTCCATGGGGATAATTTTTTAAAAAACACTTAGAATCCCAGTATGATCAGACTTGAGAGTAAGCCAAGCTCATTCTTGCCAAAACCATAAAGACAGGCTGAGCTTGAGTGAGAAGCTTTTTTTCCAAGAGTCTAAACTGTACTGGCTTTTTTCTTTAGTCTGGAACGTGTGAATTTTCTTAATACCCTGCACATGTTCTTGCTTGTTGCTTAGTATCTTCCATCCTAGGATTGAGGGTGTCCATGGGAAATCGGAGGTTAAACTGGGGTGCTACTGCTTATCCCTTCTTTGGCCTTGGGGAAGCTTGTTGAACACCTGATCCTGTTCCCTCATCTGTAAAATACAGGTGGTAAGGCATAACCTCACCTTTTAGAGTTGTTGAGATAACCTGTAAGAGCTTATAAACTGTGAAATATTTCTCAGGATATTTTATATCCTGATATATATATAATTCTATATGTATATATTTTTATATATTCTTTATATATATTCTCTCTATATATTATTATATATATTTACATATATATAGAATATATATATTCTCTCTCTATATATAAATATATATAATTCTCAGGATATTTCTCAGGATATTACTACTTAAAATTCCTTTGTGGAGTGTATGTGTGATGCTAGGTTTGTATGTTTAGGATAAGACTATTAGAAGTAAAATTTTGATGATTAGAAGTTGTGGATTTGGTCTGTAGAACCTAATGCCACTGAAACCCGAACTGACAGAAATCTTCTATATGAGGATTTGAGTCCTGACATGTCTGCTCTGTGGAGGATATCAGATTTACATGAATAGATTGCTGTTTATAGGGTTGAATAAGAAAATGAATGGCAGATTTAGCATGATAATGGTATTACAACTCAGTTTTTGCCTTACTGGTGATGGGTGAAAAATTTTACTCAGCAGATAAAGGAAAGTGAATTTCTTTTATCTGTAGGACCTGTGACCCAAGACTGCCATATGAGAGAACAATCAAAATGAGTTGGTCCAGACATCTGACCCAGCACAACTGTCAGTTCTGAATGAACTGTTTAGTACTTTCAAGAATTATTTCCCTTGAAAGGGGGAGTCACCAGTTGATATGGTAAAGGTCCAGTTCATCACCTTATGACACCTGGTAGATTGAAAAGGCAGGAAAATTCAACTACATCTTACTACTGAAGGAGAAATGATGGAATACCTGAAGTACAGCCCCCAGTTCCAAAGAAATGCATTAGAATCATTTGAGGAGGCTTTCAGAATACAAATGCCTCCATTCTAATCCTAGACATTTTGGTTTCTGACTTCTGGAATGGGGTATAGGGGGTTGTAGTTTGAAAAACTTGCATCTAATTCTGATGTGGCCCTCTTAAACTGCTGGTTTCAGTGAGCTCTGTTTAACTGAAGAAGTTATTAAATTCCTGGATGTTGGAATAAAGAACTAAGTGTTGGAAGTTTTTTTCTAGGGGAATATGCTTTCTGTAAAAGTATTTATTTCATCTTTTCCAGTGTTGCACACAGTGTTGCGGGTGTTAGAATACCAAAGTGCTAATGGGACTCCAGAACACTGTGGGCACACCTCAGCATGTTACATTTAATTTTATTATATGAATGAGGCATATGATTTTACTAGAAGAAAAAAAGTGCTTCATTATGTGTAAATAATAGAAAGGCCATAATACCTGTCGCAATCTAAAGAAGCATGATTGTCTATTTTCTCAGTTTTAATATTAAAAGTAGTTTACTTAAGGCTTCCCTTGTGGCTCAGCTGGTAAAGAATCTGCCTGCAATGTGGGAGACCTGGCTTTAATCCCTGGGTTGGGAAGATCCCCTGGAGAAGGGAAAGGCTACCCACTCTGGTATTCTGGCCTGGAGAATTCCATGGACTACATAGTCCATATGGACTCAAAGAGTGGGACATGGCTGAGTGACTTTCACTTTGACTTTTACTCATTATTTTCTTGTCTGCTGGCAGGAACATGGTAGCAGATGTTTTAAATTTAAGGAAAATTTATTGACCAGGGTGGGGCAGGAAGTGTGTACTTCTTTGTAAAACTATACCTTTACCTTGTTTTCATTCCAGTCTGGTGGGGGGAAAACTTTCACTCTGGCCAATGCATTCAGTGACCATGTACATAGTTTGGATATTTTAGGGGGCCCATTCATGTGAAGCGGAGGTTTTCACCAAAAGTTCTGTAATATTGCCAAAAGTAGTAGAAGATAGGTAAGCAGGGGACCATAGAGAATAGTGTTAAGAAGTAATCTCAAAAAGAATGTCAGGGCACCAGAATCTCTCAGGTTTAGAGATGGGAGGAGGGGGTATACATAGTTTGAAGAACAGTATTACAATATTTATATACCAAAAAATACAGGGGAAAACTTTTTACAGTGCAAACTTGAAAATAAAGCCTGACAAAAAATTTAGCTTCTCAGATTGGGATAACAGAATGTCATTGTAATTTTTAAGGAGTAATCTGCATAACTTCCTACAGGGGGCATACCGAAATAGGGCATAGTAGACCTGATGTCTTTATTAAAGGGGGGCTTACGTTTTAAAAAGGTCAGAAAACATTGTTTTAAAGGGATGGTTGTGGGTGCGACATAAGGTTTAATTTCACATTATGGTACTGATTCAGTTTAGCTCAGTTTTACAAAGTCTGTTTTATCATATAAAGTTTTAGGATATTGAACAAGAGTGAACATTGTGTTACAGTTTGAATAGGCCTAATTAAATTTGTAGAATGATACATTTTCTGAAAAAATTCCACTGCATTTTATGGTCTTTAAAAAGTGATTATTTTTTCTTCTTTCCAGCTTTTTTAAGGTTTTGAAGATGTTTAATAAGTCATTTGGAACACCCTTTGGGGGTGGCACTGGTGGCTTTGGCACAACTTCAACATTTGGGCAGAGTAAGTTTTAAAAAATAACAAATGAGGGAGAGAAATCTTAAGCTGTTATTAAGAACAAATCCACTCCAGTAGTTTTAGGTAGGAATTAATTTATACTTTGATCTTTATAATAACTTGAAAAATGACCAGGATAAAATCTTGTTAAAATTTTCTAAAAAATAGAAATAAATTTTGAGTTTTCTTGGTTTTCTGATCCTTAATAGAATGTACTTACTGTTATTAAATGGCTCTTTTATCAGAAAGTTATAATTTGTTACTAATTTTCAGACCAGGAAATTCTTTTTTAAACATTGACCTGGTTTAGATTTTATTTTGATTCTGGAATTTGTTTTATCAGATACTGGATTTGGCACTACTAGTGGAGGGGCGTTTGGAACATCTGCATTTGGTTCTAGCAACAATACTGGAGGCCTGTTTGGAAGTTCACAGACCAAACCAGGTAGGGATTTTATTTGGAATACAATTTGTTTATTCCTATCTGGTATAGGATTTCATTTAGTGACTCCAATCTGTGTAACTCTTTTTTTTTTTTTTCCCCCTCTTTATCTCTCCAGGAGGCTTATTTGGTACCAATTCATTTAGCCAGCCAGCTACCTCCACAAGCACTGGCTTTGGGTTTGGCACATCAACAGGAACATCAAATAGCTTGTTCGGAACTGCAAGCACAGGAACCAGCCTCTTCTCATCCCAAAACAATGCCTTTGCACAAAATAAGCCAACGGGCTTTGGGAGTAAGTAGTAAATCTTTGGCCTTCTGCCTCTAACAGTTTGATTTTCTTATCGAATGTGTTCTCTCTTCTCCTTTTCCCTGTGTTCAGCCACCCGCTCTTCTCACCAGACAGCAAAAACATGGGGAGAGGAAAACTTCAAAATATACGGAAAAGTTTAATAGGCTGGGAAGGGAAGGGGTTATATACATCTCTCCATGAATGGAAGTCTGAGGAGGACTGGTATTTAAGGAATATGCGGAGGAAGAGGCACCTGATACAGAATGACCAGAGAATAAGATGAAAGGCCAGGTCAGAGTACTTCATAGGTATCAAGAAGGAAGAATTTCAAGGAGAATGTGTGTAGTCAACCATAATACACAGCAGGGGCACCTTCTTCCTTTGTTTCACTTCTGGTTTGAAGAGACTAATGCAGAAACGATAAGTACTGGATGTGACATAGTTATGTCTCCATTCCTTAGCCACGGGCAATGTATTTAATTGGTGGCTTCTTTCATTTTAAGTCTAAATGTGGCCCAGGGATACTTCACACAGTTCTTTGAGGCAAAAACGCTGCTAGTAGCACAGGTGTGCCCTGTGAGTTGATGCCATTCTGCCACTAGTATGGCAGAATGAGTAAGTTAATCAGCTATCATTTTATAAAGGGAAAGTTCTTTGAGGGTATGTTGAAATACCTAACCATGAGGGTATAAAATGCATTCTAAAATACTCATTCAAAAGAGATGTGCCTGTTTAAACTATGTTTTAGGACATGTTTTTAGAAAAGAAAGTTGACTGCTTGTGAGAAATCACATTCCTCTTAACTTGGTGTTAGGCTGTTACTGTATTGGCAGATAACTTTGTATTGCTTACTGCTATTTCTGGTACCATGTGTATAATTTCTTTAGAAGTAGTATTTTTTTTCCCAATTATCTTTATTAGTTGGAGGCTAATTACTTTACAATATTGTAGTGGTTTTTGCCATACATTGACATGATTTACATGTGTTCCCCATCCTGAACCTCCCTTCCACCTCCCTCCCCATCCCATCCCTCTGGGTCATCCCAGTGCAGAAGTAGTATTTTATATTCAGAAAAATATATTCCTTAGATAGCAGTTACATTCTCTGTTATGTAATTACTTAAAAATCAGCTTTTTGGAAAAGTAGATTTACTTCTGTAGATGATCAACATGCCTACTGATTTTTCTAAATTATTTTTCTGGGTTAAATTTTGTATTAACCTATGTTTGATTACCCTAATTGGACCATTTGTATGTTTCAATGTTGTGATAAGATATCGTCAAGAAAACAAGTTCATTCAGCTTATGGTCTTACCAAGAGAAATGAGATAAAATATTTGATGAAACAGAGTATTGTTTCTTTCAGCTTGTTGTGTGAGTATGCCCATGAAGGCCTTTATGGACACTTAGCTGACTAAATGATTCAGATTTTGTTTTACTTCAGAGTTTTGAGCCTAGAACTAACTCTGTGTGTGTGTGTGCATGCACACACAATATCTCTTGAAGGTACTTGCTTGAGAGATTTGAAAGTAATGCTGTTCTAATGCCACAGCCCAATTCCAAGATAGCTTACAGATTCTTAAATTCTTTACTGTTACCATCCCATTTTTCTTTCTAATTTATAGATTTTGGAACAAGTACCAGCAGTGGGGGACTTTTTGGAACTACAAATACCACCTCTAATCCTTTTGGTAGCACATCTGGCTCTCTCTTTGGGCCAAGTAGTTTTACAGCTGCTCCTACTGGGACTACTATTAAGTTTAACGTAAGTATTTTCCAGTCTTTGTGGAGTATTTTTGTCTCCTGTATATTTTTTTGCAGGATGAATTATAAAGTTTCCTCTCTTTCCAGTTATGCATAGGTTAGTCTCACTCTTCATGAAATGTGTTAAGAACAGTATCTGGTAATAGTTGTAAATCCCATGGACAGAGGAGCCTGGTGGGCTACAGTCCGTGGGTTCCCAAGAGAGTCCGGTATGACTTAGCGACTAAACAACAAGACAGGAAAAATCATGAAACATAAATCTAGATTATAGTTTATGTTTGAATTATAATCAAACCAGTTAAATTTGTATTTATAAGCATCAGGAGTTCCCTGATGGCTTAGTGGTTAGGATTCCAGGTTTTCACTGTCATGGCCTGGGTTCAGTCCCTTGTCAGGGAACTGAGATTCTGCAAACCACTCCATGGCCAAAAAGGGGAAAAAACTAGTAGAGGGTTCAACTTGTATTTACAGTGTTCATAATTGACCTTTGAATGGTCAGATATTCTTTATAGAAATAAAGAATGATAGGGCAAATTGTAAAAATCACTGAAAGTAAGGACTCTTTAAGGAGCTATATAGTATATCTCAGTATTCTATATGCCAATTAGAAATAAAATTTTTGTTGGTGAAATGGCAGATTGAGGCAATAGAGTTTAGTGTTTTCTTCAGCTTTCTTGAGAGAATTTGGATAGAGAAATGAATGATTTGGATAGAGAAATGAAAGATTTTGTTTATGAAAATCTATGGACTACCACTTGATGCGATTGCTTGGGAGATACTTAGGATAGGCTGGCAGTGCAGTTAGGCTAATGGAAATCTCTGGCAAAAATAGGGATTGGAAAAAGTTAAAATTTACTCCAGAAAATAAATAATTTCTTAGGCAAAGTAGTGAATTCACATTGCTGAAGTTAGAATCTTGAATTTAAAGTTAAATGTAAATGATAGTGAAAAATACTGTCTCTTGTCTCTTGGAAAGTACAGTAATTGAGGAGACTGACATTACAAGTAGGGATCTTTAGTTACTAGTACCTTTGCCTCATAAGCTTATAGGAGGAAAAACCAGGCTTCCATATTTCTTAAATGCAACAACAGTCATAAAGCAGACACTTCAGAGCAGAATAGGATTTAGAACTCAAGAGACAGAGGTTAAATGTATGTATTGGGTAAATTGGGTAAAGCTTTCTTTATGCATATATTATTAAGTGTATTTTAGTAGATAATTGGATGGCTTGGTTATGGGATTAATCTCTGGATTGTTTTTTTGTTGTTGTTGTTTTTTATTCTCTGAGTTTTTGATAACGGTTACTGAGATTGACTTACACAATAATCTTAATAAAAGGTGAGATTAGAAATGCAAAGTATTTAATCAAGCACTGTTAAAACTGTCTTGTTCAGTAAAAGACCTAGGGAACTGGTTATAGAGTTCAGTAGTTGAAGAATTGTGTCTGAGACAGTAGGGTTATAAAGCTTGAACTTAAACATCTGGTTTAGACTTTCAGATTTACCTTTATCTTCCTTTGCAGCCTCCAACTGGTACTGATACTATGGTTAAAGCTGGAGTGAGCACTAACATCAGTACCAAGCACCAGTGTATTACTGCTATGAAAGAATATGAAAGCAAGTCACTAGAGGTCAGTAAAATGCATTAAAGATTATCACCCTAACCTTTTGATTCTATTAGGGAGCAGCTTTTTTAAATGTTTCTGATTATGTTTTAGGATTTATGTAAAAAACTAACATTAACCAGTTTTTTTAATTAATATATTATTTATCAGTTATTTTAAACAAGGATGATATTCATCTTGTATGTACCAGTATAATAGTCTACTCTGATTGGTTCCTCATACTACTCTGGGCAGTGTATGCACATGCATGTGTTTTTAGTAAACTCATGCAAACTCATAAGTATGTAGCATAGTAAGTTTTACTAAGTGAATACATCCATGTAGTTGGGCTGCAAATCAAGACACAAATCGTTACCAGCATCCCTAATGTCCCCTTTGGCCTTGCCAGAAGTCACAGTCCTCCCCTCCCAGAGGTAACCACTATCCTGACTGCCCATGTTTTGCCCATTTTTGAACTGTACATAAATGGGATCTTGTGTACTCTTAAGTGTGTCTGTCAAGATTGTGCGGTTTATCCGTGTTGCATAAGGTTGTTCATTCTGGCTGTGTAATTGTTTGTTGTACATTTTAACTGTCATCTCTGATTGTCTTCTGTGCTTGCTTCTTTGGAGTATACAGAAACACACTTAACTTGTGAGACAGAACTGTTAAACTTTGTTGCTTCTTTTCCTAAGTTTTCTGAATTTCTCAGTATCCTCCATCTTTTAATCAGCTAATCTTCACATTTGGGCTGTAAGTAGATAGGACTATCATCTAAATGAAAGTATTATTGTCTGTCATCTAAATGAAAGTAGTATTGTCTATAAAAGAAAATTGAAATTAAGATGTGGTTGGTTGTTTGGCCTGTAGTTTTCATGGTAATTATGGTATGGATTTTAATGTCCTTATATGCCACTGAAAATATTTTTCTATAATTATAATAAGTTAACCATTCCATAGTTTTCTGTTTTAAATCCTGGTTCCTATTTGAACATAGAAATTGAATACTAAATTCGAGTCTTTAGTCTCCTAAATAACTTTTTTGACTATGTATAGATTTGGAAAATGTTTTCCCTTACTCTAGGAGCTTCGTTTAGAGGATTATCAGGCCAACCGGAAAGGCCCACAGAACCAGGTGGGAGCGGGTACCACAACTGGCTTGTTTGGGTCTTCTCCAGCCACCTCCAGTGCGACAGGACTCTTCAGCTCTTCCACAACAAATTCAGGCTTTGCTTACGGTCAGAACAAAACAGCCTTTGGAACTAGTAAGCATTTAACATCATATTGGGCCCTTTTTAGGAGGGATGGACAACTAAAAGTAATACATAATTGTCATTTTTTGTTTAAGTGCTATGGAGAAAAATGATTCAGGGGTCCTGAAGAATAGGAAATAACCTGATATGTCTGTATGGGTAGGGAGAAATAATAGTATTAAGTGTATATGGTTAAGAAGGGCTTCGCTGATAGGTGAAGTTTGATCAGTGGCTTGTCTGAAGAAGATGAAAGATAAAGCTATACAGATTTCTGGGGGAATTCCAGCCAGAGGAAACTAGAAGTCTAAAAATCCTGAGTTTTTGCCAAATAGGAGAGGACAAGGGGAAGTACTGGAGAATGTAAGGAACTTCATAGGGCTTTGTGGGCCAGTGTCAAGATTTGAATTATTGAGTCTGGAAGCCATTAGAGGGTTCAGGTAAAGCGTATGATTATGAATAAAGGATCATTCTGAAGGCTGCTGTATTAAGCATGTTGAATGTGGGCAAGGGTGGAAACAACTCAGAAAAGCTGTTGCCCTATCCACATGAAAGGTGATGGTGACTTGAAGAGAAGGGTGCTGTGGTGATTGGTAAAAATGTCAGATTCTAAAACAAGTTTGAATGTAGAGCTGATGAGATTTATTTATGAATTGATTTGATGTGGGGTATGAAAGAGGGAAGTCTAGGATGGTTATTAAATTACTTAATAAAAGTATTACCTTTGTGAAAGTTAATACATATATATGATATAAAATTCAAAAAATACAAAAAGTACATCACGAAACATCTTTTTTCACCTCTAGCCACCAATTTGCTCTGTAGAAACAAGCAGGTATTCTTCTATAGAGATACATATACAAATGAATACATATTTAAGTGGCATTTGTATTCTTTGTAGTTTTGGTATTGTTTGATTTAGATTAGTCACATATTCATTAAGTTCTTCTATTGTGTTGTATCCTATGCTGGATACATTGCCATAAAGAGAAAGCCCCTGTTCTGAAGAAAAACTCCAACAAGGTTAAAGAACCCACATACATTTTAAGTGTAGTGTGTTATCTTTGTGAAAGAGACAAAAAGCTGTCAGCTCACAAAGGAAGGTTACTTAGCCCAGACTGGGTTCTTAAGATCAGAGTATTAGGTAGGAAATTAGTCTGAGTCAAACCTGGAATTAGGTGAAGGAGGATGAAAAATGAAGTGGTTATCCAGTTTGGGTAGTAAATGAATGTAGGGTAATTTAGGTATGTAATCAATAACAAACTATTGCAGAAACTAGATACTATGAGGCTTGGCGTTCTGCCCAGCCCCCCAACCCTCCCATTTATTTTTTCTTATTTTTCTTGAAAGGTACAACTGGATTTGGAACAAATCCTGGTGGTCTCTTTGGCCAGCAGAATCAAACTACCAGCCTCTTCAGCAAACCATTTGCCCAGCCCACAACCACCCAGACCACTGGTTTTTCCTTTGGTAATACCAGCACACTAGGACAGCCAAGCACCAACACCATGGTAAGGAAACAGATTTTATCTGTAGAACTAAATAATGAGGTTGCTATGTATCTGTCATATAAACTTGGAAAAATGGCAGCTATTATCAATATTCTAAAGAGAACTGACTATTTTAGGATATCTTGTAATCTAGATCACCTTTTTCAGGGTCTGTTTGGAGTAACCCAAGCCTCACAGCCAGGAGGTCTTTTTGGGACAGCTACAAACACCAGCACTGGGACAGCATTTGGAACAGGAGCTAGTCTCTTTGGGCAGACCAATACTGGATTTGGTGCTGTTGGTTCGGTAGGTTTTTACATTTCGCTGTAATTTGAAGATGTATATAAAGCTGCTAAAGGCATTTATAAGAAAAATTTGTCTTTTGGGAATTTCCTGTTGGTCCATTGGTTAAGACTCGGTTTCACTGCCCGGGGATTCAATCCCTTGTGGAACTAAGATCCCATAAGCCACATGGCACAGCCAAAAAACAAAAAAAACCCCACAAAATAAAAAAATGGAATGCTGAATTTAAGAAAAGCAAAATCTGTCTTTCCAGCATATGGGGGGAGTAATATTGTATGATTTGATACTGATAGTAACTGAAAGCTATTTAGTACCAGAAAATAGGTAACTTTATAATTGGTTTATTTTCAGAAAGTAGGTTCTTTTTGAAACTTCTTTGTCTCCTGAACTAACCACACCCGTTGGCTAAATTGTTGAGTCTAAGTTGAGATGCTTTTGCCCTTAAAATCAGATCATTTTAAATTCCTGTTTCTACCTTCTGTTTTGGGTGATAAGTTGGTATCATATTTGGTAATTACATATTTTTGGTGTTGATCAGGTTACTAAAATTTTATTCTTAACGTTTTCATGCTGCTGGAGGGTTAACTGAATTTTTTTTTTTCTTGTTACGTCATTTAAGGAAAACATTACTATTTAGGAATACACTTGACTTTAAAAGGTATTTACTATTGTTTTTTAAGAAACTTGGTGTCTACATTTGTCCATTACAACAAGCTTTGGACTCTATAGTTTAAAAAAAAATCACCGAATCATGTGGTGGTTTTCATGGAGATTGAAATCTGTTATATCTTTTTTAAGGTGAGAAATTAAGAAAATTATCTTTAAAAAACACTTCAGAAAGTTCTTATTTTTTTTAACAACTTTATTGGGGTGTAATCCACTTGCCGTACAATTCACCCTTTTGAAGTTTAAAATTTTGTGGTTTCTAGCTTATTCACAGATTGTGCAACTATCACCATGATCAATTTTAGAACATATTTGTCACCCTAAAAAGAAACGTCATCCCCATTAATAGTCACTTCTCATTTTCCCCCAGTCACTTCAGATCAGCTGTGTATGTATTTACCTATTCTGTATATTTCATGTAAATGGAATCACATCTTTGGTGACTGATTTCTTTTACTTAGCATAATGTTTTCAAGGTTCATCCATGTTGCAGCTTGTTTAAATTTTTTACTATAACTCTTTCTGCTGGCATATTGAATACATGATAACATTTTTGTTACCAGGTAAAAAATAATTTGATTGCCTTGTTATTTTTTTTTTTTGTCTCACTGAAATACTACTGTTTGGTGAGGTGTTATCATTAACTTCTCAGGCTAGGAGCATTCTGTCTTGTTAATCTTGCTCAGATTAGATACTTTTCTAAGAGTCGTTATTCATCCTTATTCATACCTTTTTCATAAAAATTACGACATCTTCTCCCCCTTACCACACACCCAGTCCAATATACCTGATTTATCTATTTACTGTTTAGAGTATGTCTTATATACTACTTAAAATTGTCCTGTGTTGTGTTCTTTTTAGACCCTGTTTGGAAATAACAAGCTTACTACGTTTGGAACCAGCACAACCAGTGCTCCTTCATTTGGTACAACGAGTGGCGGGCTCTTTGGTAACAAACCAACCCTGACTTTAGGAACCAATACAAACACTTCCAATTTTGGTACATACAAAAAGCAGGTTTGACTCTCTTAAAGTTACACTGACTATACCACACATCATTCTCCTGATTCATATTATTGGGAATATTTTAAAATTCACAGGTAAGCTCTGGCTTGATAGGAGATTACCAGAGGGAAAAGTTTAAACTCAAGGACTTGGGTTAAGATGCCTAGAAGAAATATAAATTGCCTTAACTAATTTATAGTCTTTTGATTCCCTGCTTTGGATAAAATTCAGTATTTAACGGGTGCAGTTAGAGGTATCCTGCAGAATGTTGGTTCTCTAATGGAGGTTGATTATTTTCAAAATAAGAAAACATTTTCATTGGATTACCTCATCAATAATTGAGAAACAAAAAGTGAAGCACATTTGGTTGAGATAACACATTGTTTTAGACCAAGTTCTTTCACACAGGGAGGTAGTGAATAGGTGAGATTTGATGATTCCTTTTTAAACTTTTTGTTGTTGTTGTTGTTTTGTGTTTCGTTGTTTTTTGAGATTTGATGATTCTTATTGAAAGTTAAAGCCTTTCTGATTTGAGGGATTGTTCAGTAGTTTTTCTATAGTTGGCAAAAATGTTTTATTCTGAATACATATTCATTGGGGAAAAAATTGGACAATAGCAGGTAAGATTGAATGACAGAAAAACGAACCTTAAACTACTCTCCAGAGACATGCTGGAAATTTTTTAATTTGTTTAATAGAAACATTTCTCTTATTTTAACTATAACTACCTAAGTAAGTTTTCAAACAGATTCACCATATTTTGAGTTAAATCAGTCATGGAAAGTTCATTTCTTTACCAAAGGAAATAGTGATTGAAATACTTGTTTAAAGTATTTCATGTACCAGACATAATATTAGGCTCTGGATATTTTGTGGGAGATGAGTACAAACTGGTTAATGGTTATTTGCCTTAAGTCAGCAGTTAAATTTTTTCAGTGAGTTTTTTAAATGATCTTGTACTGGAAAAAGAGGCTGCATTAAATATCCATTGGAATGGTGTATGTTTTCATGGAAAGAGGAACTGTGTGAAGGGGATAGATAAGTCTTTATCAGGTACCAGTTCTTAAATTAATGTTTAATATTTGATTTGATTTTTATAACCCCTTTCATTGTTATACAGTGTGAAGAGTGAAGTTGTTCATTCACTCCTAGTAATGTTTATCATTCTGCCTATAGACTTTCTACCTTTTTGTCTGTACTCTATGAATAAAGAATGGTCTTGAGACAGTGGACTTGGTTAGCATGGATATCAGTTTTGTGTATTTGTTTCTTATCTGTGAAATAAGATGAGAAAGATACTTAAGGGTTAAATCAGTGTTTTTCAGCCTTTTAAAATCACTGTCACTCCCTTTTCCCCAGGGAGCCTTTGTAGACGTTTTTCCCCCTTATTAATCATCTTCTCACTTAATGAAATTTTAATACCAGGTATATACTGTACAATCTGTTTATGTACTGTGGCTCTTCGGAAGACCATAAACCATTTTTAATTGAGGATAATTGCTTTACAATGTTGTGTTGGTTTCTGTCATACAACAACTTGAAGCAGTTGTAAGTATATATTATGCCCTCCCTCTTGAACCTCCCTCCCACCCCAACTGCATAAACTATTTTATATCTGTGATTTTTTTTGTCCCCCTTAAGAGATAATTTTGTTCCCTTTGAAAAGGCTTGTTTTTTGGTAGCACACTTGATGTTCAGAATTAAATATATTTTCTGACAAGGTATTTGTGTAGACTACTTGATTTAGAAATGAAAACTCATCTTTATTTGATATGCCTCACTTATGTGCTAAATTGTCCTTTTTTTTTTTTTTAATCCTTAATGTTGACCTAGTGCCTGGCATAGAGTAGGTGCTCATTAAGAATTTATTAATGAATAAGCCCTGAGAGGAAAGACTCCCAAGGAATACAGATTGCTGGGTGACAGGTTTTGTTTTACTCTTGGGTGAACTTAATCATTCCATTACCACCCTAGAGGGATCCAGATCTAAGTGAGACTTTCTTTGATGTTTCTCTTGTCTTGGAAAGCTGTCAGTTTGATGTTTTGGGCAGAGATATTCTTCTGATTTGGAAATAAGTCATATAACAAGCCTGGAAATGGAATAAGGTTGCATGAAGATTCGTAGCATTGTTACTTCATTGTTAGTTGCATGTTACCCAGTATGGGATTGTATTTCATTATGGTAATGATAAATCCAGAGTTGAAAAGGTTGGAATACTTGCTACAATTGATGTTGCCACACTCTTAAGTCATTCTTTAGAGTCATCTGTTCCTTTTCTTACTAATTATTCCTAACAAGGACTTGTTTAAGATTGAGTATATGTAAAATTGGAACGATACAGAGAAGATTAGCATGGCCCCTACGCAAGGATGACATGCAAATTTGTGAAGCGTTCCATATTTTTAAAAGAACAAACAAACAAAAAAAGATTGAGTATATGACAGTGTCAGTTTCTGAATGAAAGGAATAGAATACAATTGTTTTAGGAGAGAAATTACAGGCAGGATGTCAGCACTGGTGAGCAACAGTTTAGAGAGGTTGAAGATCTTTTGAGTATTGATTTTTAATCTTTTTAAAAAATTGATACATAATTGACATTACATTGGGGGGCCTGGCATGCTGTGATTCATGGGGTCACAGAGAGTTGGACACGACTGAGCGACTGAACTGAACTGACATTACATTTCAGAAGATCAATGTAATGATCAAATATTTGTATATATTGTGAAATGTTTATCATCATCAATAGAAATTTTTTTTCTTGTGATGAAAATTCTAAGATCTCCTACTCACTTCAGTTCAGTTCAGTCACTCAGTCGTGTCCGACTCTTTGCAACCCCATGGGCTGCAGCACGTCAGGCCTCCCTGTCCATCACCAACTCCCAGAGTTTACTCAGACTCATGTCCATTGAGTCAGTGATGCCCTCCAAACGTCTCATCCTCTGTCATCCCCTTCTCACGCCTTCAGTCTTTCCCAGCATCAGGGTCTTTTCCAAGGAGTCAGTTCTTTGCATCAGATGTCCAAAGTATTGGAGTTTCAGCTTCAGCATCAGTCCTTCCAGTGAATGTTCAGGACCGATTTCCTTTAGGGTGGACTGGTTGGATCGCCTTGCAGTCCAAGGGTCTCTCAAGAGTCTTCTCCAGTACCACAGTTCAAAAGCATCAATTCTTTGGCGCTCAGCTTTCTTCATAGTCCAACTCTCATATCCATACATGACTACTGGAAAAACCATGTATACCTACTCTGTTAGCAACTTTCAGATATGCAGTGCAGTATTTTTAACTATAGTCAGCATGCTATGTCTTAAAATCCCAGGAATTATTTTATAGCTCTAAATTTGCCCCTTTTGATTCTCTTTCACCCATTTTGCCTATCACCCACCCTCTGCCTCTGGCAACCACTGATCTGTTCTCTGTATTGGTGAGCTTATTTTTCCTGGTGGTGATTTTGTTTTTTAACATTCCACAAATAAGTGAGAACACTTGTCTTTGTCTTGTGTCACTTATTTGTATTTTATTTTCTTTGCCTTGCTTAATTCACATAGCATTATGCCCATAAGGTCTCTCCATGTTACACAGATGCAAAGTTTTCTTTGTATTTTGTGGCTAAACAATATTTTGTTACATATATATATATACCATGTTTTCTTTACCCATTCATCCATTGATATGCACTTAGATTGCTTCCATATCTTGGCTATAGTAAATAATGCTGCTGCAAATATTGAGGTACATATTTCTTTTCAAATTAGTGTTTTCGTTTTCTTTGGGTATGTGCCCAGGAGTGGAATTGCTGAATTGTATGGTAGTTCTATTTTTAATTTTTTGAGGACCTTCCATACTATACTGTTTTCCATCATGGCTACACCATACATTCCCACCAACATTGTAAGAAGGGTCCACCTTTCCTCCACATTCTCACCAGCACTTATTATTTGTTGTCTTTTTAGGTAGTAGTCGTTTTGACAACAGTGAGGTGATGTCATTGGCTTTGATTTGCATTTCACTGGTGATTAGCTATGTTAAGCATCTTCTCATGTACCTGTTGGTCATCTGTATGTAGTATTTAGAAAGACGTCTGTTCCTGTCCTCCTTGCATTTTTTTAATTGGATTGTTTTTTGCCATTAAGTTGTGTGAATTCTTTATGTAGTTTGAATTTTAGCCACGTATCATATATATGATGTGCAAATATTTTCTCCTGTTCAGTAGATTGCCTTTACATTTTGTTGTGGTTTCCTTTTCTGTGCATAAGCTTTTAAACTATAGTCCCACTTACTTATTTTTCTTTTGTTGCCTTTGCTTTTAGTGTCAGATCCAAAAATCATGACCAAGACAGATATAGAGGAACTTACCCGCTATGCTTCCTTCTAGGAATTTTATGATTTCAGATCTTGTGTTCAGGTCTTTAATCCATTTTGTTTATGGTGTAAGATAATGGTCCAGTTTTATTCTTTTATGTGTGATTGTCCAATTTCCCCAATGCCATTTAATTGAAGAGACTGTCCTTTCTTTATTGTATACTCTTGGCTCTTCTGTTGTAAATTAACTGATTGTTGATTAATTGTTCTTAGTTTTAAAGTTGTTTTGAAATAACTGAGTTGATAAGCTTTTGTCAGTGAGAATCTGGAAATGTGTGGTATAAACAGTGTAAGTTGGGACTTATTTCCCTCTTGTGGGTTTGAGGTAGTTCACGAGTATCTTGTTTTCTGCTGTGGGACTGGAAGATCTTTTTTGGTAAAATTTTAACTCAGAAAAACAAAGAACATCTCCAGTATATATTCTGGTTTTTTTGTTTTTTTTTGTTTTAAAGAAAATTGATTGTGCTTGAGCAGGCAGTACTCCATTTTGTGGCATAGCTATTAAGACAATTGTAAAGATTTAATGAATGCATGAATTAAATATATTAGAAGTATGTCAGATTACTTTCTTGGATTTTTAAATGTCTTTATTAATATGTTTTTAACTGTTTAAACTTTTTTTCTTAGCATTTTTAATTTAGATGTAAATTCAAAACTGGCATGACACAGTAAAATATTCTTAGTTCGTGACACTGATATGTATTCCAAAACACTGTATTCTAATATGTTTTGAACTTGTTCACCTCCACAATACCTTTATAAAAGACTTCAAATGTTTCACAAACAGAATTTGCTGGCCAGTGATTAGTTTTTCCCTCTTATCAAAAGAAATTAATGGTATGTTCGTTAGCTGTTTTGTTGATGTTTAGCTCCAAAAGGAGCACAGAAAGTGTGGACATATGTGAACAAGAGAGAAATAATAGCAGCAGTAGAGTGATATGATGTACGTGCCTTTGTGGGGAGACCTGTGGATTTTAGAAGGGAATCACAGGATTTTCTGTAAACAATGGATCACAATGAAAGGATGGTTTTGTTCAACTCTCCATCACCTCTGACAATGAAATAATTCAACTCAAAGTTAATTCATAGATATTATTCGTTATCTTTTTTTTTTTTTACCCTTAGCTAGCTGAGTCCTTCTGTGCTCCTATAAGTTGATTGAATTTGACGCCATTAAAGCTTCTCAATGTGTGATTACAGCCACACATTACTATTCATACAAGATCCATCTATTCAAAACAAAGCCTGCTGTAGAGATTTTTATAGGCAATCTTCACTTAGCAAGAATCTTTAGGTTCAGTGAAGTGTCTTGGTTGACTGTCTTATTTTTCAGTGAAAATTTGAGGGAATTATTTTTCTTCTATTAATTAAGCATGAAGCATAGAATGGAGGCTTTGAGAGGACTTTTCTTGTGGTCCAGGGATGCGGGTTTGGTCTGTGGTCAGGGAGCTAAGAATCCCACATGCCAAGCTGCACCTGAGACCTGAGGCAGCCAAATAAATTAACTAAGTTTAAAAAGAACAATGGAGGCTTTGAGTCTTACAAAGGGAATGTTCCGCAAGCTCAAGCACAATCACTTTGCTTTAATATTGGGTATTATCCTATACTGAATTAAGTCTAAAATGTAATTAAGTAAATAGGAAGACTGGGGGTCTATTTATGGTTATAAAAAAATTTTCTTTAAGTTAAATTAGCCTGCCATTTAGGATTTCTAAATGTCAAAAAATGAAAGGATGCAAAACCTATGGTCAGACTGCTTTGTTTTAAATTCCCTTGTATAGGAAATTGAGAATTGTGTTAAAGTACAGTGTACTCACTCTTTTGTCCTTCTAGGATTCGGCACAAATACCAGTGGGAATAGTATTTTTGGAAGTAAACCAGGACCTGGCACTCTGGGAACGGGGCTTGGTGCAGGATTTGGAACAGGTAAGGAATTATACCGTGAGACTTAGCAAGTGATACAACTTGGCTTTCTAGCTGTTGGAACTTAAGACTTCAGTTTGATCATATGTATGAAAAGAAGAGGCCTATAGATTTTCATTTTCACAAACAGATTTATAAAACATTCCCATATGCTTTACCAGGCTTTAAAACACTGGCTCATTTATCTTAGAAGTTGTATATCATTCCTTTTCTACAAAATGTTCTCTGATAGTCCTGGTCTCCCTGGGATTTTCAGTACCTAATGTGAGACCTGTCAGTATGATGACAAGTCCCTGAGACCCTGAACTGTTAGTTAAGTAAGCTTTATTATCCTAATAATAATGCAGCAGTAAGAGCACATGCTGAAGTAATTAACATATAGATTGAGGTTTTGCAAGGTCTGTGCATGCTTTTCCATTCTTCTCACTTTGTTATAGAGCTAAAATGTCAAGCCTTTGTCTCCATTTCTGCCATTGATAATTATTTTTCAATGCCTTTGAAGATGTTGTAACTTCTGCCTGCCCAGCTGTTTTAAACAGTTGGAGAGGGTGATGGTCATAAAATGAGTAAGTGCTTACAGGGTAATTTAAGCATATAGTTTTGTCTACTTCCCCAATTCATCTGACCATAGGTGAGTCATTTAGTTCCAAACCATTTATTTCTGTGTTCTCTGGCCCTATTGTCCAGTTATCTGTAATCTCCTTTTAATAGAACCTCATTTTGTACTGCCTGAACTGTTTCCCTTTGTTTTCTTTTTAAAATAAAAGATACAAGGTCTTAAAAAGTCAGTAACAGAACTAACATGAAAAGCCCACACTTTTCAATAGTGAAGTAACAGCTATTGAAAGTTAGGCGTGTATATTGTCAGACTTCTTTATATACACTTTCCATATATGTATATACACACATGTATGTTTGTATGCTGTATGTGTTTTATATAGAGAATTTTTGTGATATTCTTGAAAGGAAACCATGTCCTACACCAGTGTTTTTTAAACCAAAGGCTGAGATATATCAGGTGGTATAATATTAATGTACTTGATTGCAACCAGCATTCTTTAAAATGAACTAGAATTAAAAAATCATTGTATATTGCAAGGTTAAATATTGATTTAACTTTTAGTTTTATGTATGTGTGTGTTATGGGTCTCAGTGTATTTCATATTATGTGCTGTGGTCAAAAATGTTTCAAACTGAAAGCAGCTTCCTTATTCTGCTTTTTTTTTTCATTTCCCATGACATTTGGGGCATATATTTTTTCTTTGGGTTGATACATGTATATCTAACCCATTTCTTTAAAAGTATCTATTAAGTGTTCCATTGTGTGCATGTATATATATACACAACGCACATAACACATGAGTACTTACATATACCATAATTTAACTTTTTTCCTGCTGATGGTCATTTGAATTATTTGATTTTGTTAGCAGTGTGGTAGTGAAGATCTGTGTTATGTAATTTTGTGTATGGTAGTGTTACTCTAGGATTGAGTTGGGAATTGTCAGAATATACACATATTTTTGAATTTTGGTCAGTCTTGCTAATTTTAATTTGCCTTCCACAAAGAATGCCAGTTTGCATTTTTGCCCATATTTTATAAAAATGCTCCCTTTTTCTTACCCTTTCCATATTGTTTGTTTTCTTCTTTGTGTGAATGATAGTGAAAGGTGGTAGTTCTAATTTGCACTGTGCTGATTACCAGTGAGGGATACCTTTGTGTATGTTTCCTGGCTGTTTGCATCTTTCGGTTCTCTATTTATATTTGATCTTTGTTTACTTTTGATAATGTTTTATATACTGTGGATATTAAATCTTTTTGGTTGTATGGAAAACTTTTTGAGCTTTTGAGCTTACTCAAATTCCACAACATATATTTTGCAAGAAATGAAAACTAAAAATCTGTGGGATTTTGTACAGTGTGTTCCTTAAACTTAAGCAGAATATAATTTCTGACATTAGTGTTCTTGTCTAATCCCAGAGGAAAGATTAAGCTTTGGTGTGGGCTTTTTCAAGGTAGTTTTGACTCTAGTTTATGAACTGTAAACCTAAGCTTGGATAATGTCTGTTACCAGATTTTTCCACTCTGTCTTTATCATTTAATTTTGTTTATGGTATCTTAATGTACCAGTTTTATGTGGTCAGAAGTTGTCATTCTCTCCACTTTGGTTTCTGGGTTTTGCAGACTGTGATTTGCAGTACTTTATTCTGTTGTACAAGATTGTAAAGTGGTCTGTAAGTTTTTTCTTGTTGCTGTTGTCTTCTGTTCCACGTGATATAATATCTTAGTCTTTTTGTTTGCTTGAATATATTTGGTTTTCCTTGAATAGTTGAGCCTTGCAGACAGTGAATCTCATTTTCATTGCTGTTACATAGTCCTAATTGATGCCTTGCCCATAGAAACTAAAAACCAAATACAATCAATAAAGAACTTTACACCCCTAATCATAGCACCAATAGATGATATAGGGAAACGAGAATTGTGATCACTGAGTACACACTATTGAAATTCTTTGATGGTTACATCTGCTAAGGCAGGCTTCTGTCTTTGAGAGGAATGTGTCTAGATACTATTAGGTATGTGTACCCTCATTAGTGAATTCTGCATTGCATGATATCACAATTAGAATAACATTGTAGCTTTGGACTATGTTTCAGGGGAAGTGAAAGTTACTCAGTTGTGTCTGACTCTTTGCAACCCCATGGACTATATATAGTCCATGTAATTCTCCAGGCCAGAATACTGCAGTGGGTAGCCTATCCCTTCTCCAGCGAATCTTCCCGACACAGGAATCGAACTGGGGTCTCGTGCATTACAGGCAGATTCTTTAACAACTGAGCTATCAGCTATCATATCAGCAGTTGGAAATGTTCTTTACCAACATTCCCTATGTTTGAAGGAAACATTAAGCCTTTGACTGTGTGGATCACAATAAATTGTGGAAAATTCTTAAGGAGATGGGAATACCAGACGACCTGCCTCCTGAGAAAACCTGTATGCAGGTCAAGAAACAACAGTTAAAACTGGACATGTAACAACAGACTGGTTCCAAATTGGGAAAGGAGTATGTCAAGGTTGTGTACTGTCACCCTGCTTATTTAACTTATATGCTGAGTACATCATTGCAAAATGCTGGGCTGGATGAAGTGCAAGCTGGAATCAAGCTTACCGGGAGAAATATCGATAACCTCAGATATGCAGATGACACCACCCTTATGGCAGAAAGTGAAGAAGAACTACAGAACCTCTTGACGAAAGAGAAAGAGGAGAGTGAAACAGTTGGTTTAAAATTCAGCATTTAAAAAACTAATATTGTGGCATCCTATCCCATCACTTCATGGCTAATAGATGGGGAAACAATGAAAACAGCGAGAGACTTATTTTGGGGGGCTCCAAAATCACTGCAGATGGTGATTGCAGCCATGAAATTAAAAGACAATTGCTTCTTGGAAGAAAAGCTATGACCAACCTAGACAGCATATTAAAAAACAGAGACATTACTTTGTTGACAAAGGTCTGTCTAGTCAGAGCTATGGTTTTTCCAATAGTCATGTATGGATGTGAGAGTTGGACTATAAAGAAAGCTGAGCACCGAAGAATTGATGCTTTTGAACTGTGGTATTGGAGAAGACTCTTGAGAGTCCCTTGGACTGCAAGGAGCTCTAACCAGTCCATCCTAAAGGAAATCAGTCCTGAATGTTCATTGGAAGGACTGATGCTGAAGCTGAAACTCCAATACTTTGGCCATCTGATGCGAAGAGCTGACTCCTTGGAAAAGACCCGGATGCTGGGAAAGTTTGAAGGCAGGAGGAGAAGGGGATGACAGAGGGTGAGATGGTTGGATGGCATCACTGACTTGATGGACATGAGTTTGAGCAAACACCAGGAGTTGGTGATGGACAGGGAATTCTGGCGTACTGCAGTCCATGGGGTTGCAAAGAGTTGGACACAACTGAGCAACTGAACTCAACTAGCTAAATGGGTATTCTTATATAGCTTTTTGCTTTGAGTGATAAGAGATGCAAACTCATGCCTCAACAGAAGTACATTTTATGTAACATAGGCCTTTGGGTACTTCATGACTAGTAGGCTGTAGAAACTTTAAATGTACAAATACGTAAATTTTTTGTACACTTAGATTTAAGTGACCAGTCAGTATGAAATATTATAGTATTCTTTGACATGAATTTTTTTTTCTCCCAGTGTGCTCAGATTAAGGAACACTCATTAAATTATGGGTGGGTCAGTTTCTTGTTTCACAGGGATAGTAACTGTTTCTCAGGGATATCAGTAGTATGACATTTTCTTGGTAATTGCTTAGTAATATTACTAAGGAGTTTTAGTTTTTAATATTTTCCATGAAGTTTAAGGGGATGTGTGTGTGTGTTAGTCACTCAGTTGTATCTGACTCTTTACGACCCATGGAGTGTAGCCTGCCAGGCTCCTCTATCCTAGAGTTCTCCAGGCAAGAATAGTGGCGTGGGTTGCCTTTACCTTCTCCAGGGGATCTTCCTGACCCAGGGATCAAACCCACTCTTCTGCTCTGTGGGATTTAGTAGTTTGTTAGACTAAGATATACAGAATAATCTACCCAAAGCTAATATGTTCTGACATTCTGATACATACAGTTACATTCTGACATTCATTAGAAGGTCTCAAAGGAATATATTTTTACTTATTCTTTGAGCATACTTGGAGCTTTTAAGAACAGTGTTACCATGGTGCCCCCAGTATATCTTCCTTAGGATTTCTACAACAAATTATGAATATGACACATTTCATAAATTGACATTATCACATCAGAGTATCCCTCAACTTGTGTAAGTCCTTTAATTATGCATTTTTACTATTTTGTAGGCTTTACTGAAATACAGTGATTTTTAGACTGTTTCCTGATTCTTCCTTCAGGGCTAATGCAAATACACACCCATCCAGAACAGAAATTTTTATCCATTTCATATATTCAGGTTTTATCTAAGCTTTTATTTAGGGATAAGGAGATGTCTGTTATCTGGGGGAAAAAAAGAATCCTGAAATTTTTGCTGTAAGCTATGTCCTTTGAAGGAATAATATATTTTTAGTTTTTCTTTGGATTTTCACCAATTTCTAATGGGTTAAGTTTTATTCCCTGTTTCAAAACTGGGTTTTTAAAGATGAAATAATCCCATTACTGTATTGTTATCTTCTTAATGTCATTAATGAGGTTGAACAGTTAGGGAATGTTTTGTCCGTTTTGGAGTCCCCCTCATTAATTTATATTGTTTGCTTCTCTGAGTATAAACTGACTGTCCTATTTTCTGGTTGCATCTCACAGCTGTTTGTATTCTATATTTTTGACATCCCAAGTATATATGTTTGAAGTGATTTTCCTGGTAAACCATATCTCTGTCAGGAAGCATTGATATGTTGAAAGGAACTTCAGATCTTCCAAATTGCTGATAACTATAACTTTTTTGAGAGTGGCAGGCTAGTGGAAAAGTACCTTTAATTTATGCCAATAGCTTATTTTTAAAAAACTGAATTCTTCCCATTTTATACTTTAAAAAAATCACTACCAACAACACAGTTCGTAAACATGGACTCATTAGGCATTAATTGGTTCAATTGAATGTTTTGATTTGCAGATGCTGAAATTTAAGGAGCAATGACAATTTTAAAATTCTTTACAAGTCTGTTTTTACTATACAGTATTAGTTAAGAGCCCTGGCTGATCGTCAGATGCATTGAAGTTTGAACTCTGGTTTTACCGCTTATACTACGTTTGTGACTTTGAACTAATTTAGTAAACCTTCCATTTTCTCTTCTGTAAAATGGGGATAATAGTTCCTACTTCATATTTGTAAAGGTTAAATGAGATGATAGTAGCTAATATTTAATGGATGTTAGTCTCTGCAGCTGCTGCTGCTGCTGTTAGTCTCTTCAGATTCCTAAATGCTTAATATGTGTGTATTATTTTAATCTTAGGATAGCTATCTAAGCTGTGTATTGTCTCATGTTATAGTTGAGGAAGCTGAAGCACAGAGAGGCTAAGTATTATCTATCTCAGCACAGTGCCTGGCATATAGGTAGCATTTACTGTATTAGATTTTTTTGTTGAAATGAGTGGTTATTATGAAGTTTCCAAATGTATTATATTTTTAAGTAACTAACCTCTGACATAACATTCAAAGGATCCTCTGTGGCACTTTTTCTTTCCTCTTGTCTCCATAGCTCTTGGTGCTGGACAGGCATCTTTGTTTGGGAACAGCCAACCTAAGCTCGGAGGGTCCCTTGGTACAGGAGCCTTTGGGGCCCCTGGATTTAATACAACGACAGCTACTTTGGGCTTTGGAGCCCCCCAGGCCCCAGTAGGTAAGTGTCAGTCACTTTAGAAGGCTTTTCTTGGTTTACTTCTTGCTAATACTTAATTTGCTGACTTCAATTTCCACACTACCCTATTCCATCCTTCCTTAAACAGTACATATATACAAGTCATTAAACAATCATGTAGTGTGGAAGGACTTAACAATAGATCCTCGTTTTACCTGCTTCCTCGTTTTACCCGCTTCCTTACTTCTAGGCTTATGCCCCCAAAGAAACCACTTTTGTTGCAGATTCATATCTGTAAGTGATGTGTTTATATTGCTGTATTTTGCTGAAGTCTACATATATTTAACTTTTTAATGATAGATAATGTAACTCACTGATCACCTCTGTTCTTTATTCACTTCTCCCAGTATATCTACGTGTACTGAATTCCTTAAGTTTTATCTATTAAAGTTTTTCATATTTCATTCATTTGAATATCCCTTCCCAGTTTTTGTGATGTCTGCCTGCCACTTTATTATTATTTCTAACTTAAAATTAAGTTACTTTGTGACTTACACATCTTGTTTTTTTTTTTTTTAATTGTCCATTTTCTTTTGTTCCTTTATTTTTTTTATTTTCTTGGCCACGCAGTGTGGCATGTGGGATCTTAGTTCCCTGACCAGGGATTGAACCTGCATCCCTTGTGTTGGAAGCTCAGTCTTAACCACTGGACCATCAGGGAAGTCCCTTAAATACCTTATTTTAAAGAAAATTATATTTTACCAAAAATAAAAAACTGATATCACCTGGCAGATACAGAGTAACTGAGATGGATGAAGGAGAGGTATAATCCTCATGTTTCACATTTTGAGAAGCCTTTGCAAATTTAAGCCATGTCCTTACATCCATTTCTTACTCTGTCAACTAGGAGATCATATTTCTTGAGTCTCCGTGGTCAAGTTAAGGCTAGTAGTACCCTTCCTTACCCTTTTTCTCTCATTTCTTTGCCCTTTTTATATTTTTGTATTAATAAAGTACTTTCTCCTAATACTTAACTGTCTTCTTTTCTTTGGGGAAAGAATAAAAGTTGTAAAGGAACACAGCATTTTATTACAACTGAAAACATTGCTACTTAGCCACTTAAGTTGTTCTCATACAGCTATTTCTTTCTCCTGGAACTTCTAATTATTTTTTTTCCCTTGCGTTACCCGCCCATATCACCTTACATTAGTCCAAATTCTTAAGGGTGGTATCAGAATTCTTTTACCTCATCCTTTGATCTCTCTGTCCTGCGGCAATATGAACTCTGTTTACTCCCTAGGCCTTCAGCATTGCTCTGGGATATTCCCTTCAAGTCTACTCACTGGAAACTGATATGTCTTGGGTATAGGTTTTTTTCTCTTCATTTCCTAAATTTTCAAGTTAAGGTTATATGAAAGATAAACTTTGACTGCTTATAGTTTTGAAAACATCTTCATTTGTTCCACACACTTATTATGAAATTCTGGTGTGAAAGTAATTCACCCTCAGAACTTTGACTGTATTTCTTCTGTTAATCGTTACTGGTAAGTTTCATGCCTTTCTGAAACTCTTTCCCCCCACCCCCATTAACATTTAGGATTGTCTCTTTGTTCTGAAATCCTTGTGATTTGCTTATACCTTTTCTTTATTTTGGCCACACTGTGAGTTTTGTGGCATCTTAGTTCCCCAACAAGGTTTCAAATGTGGGCCCCAGTCGTGAGGGTGCCAAGTGCTAACCACTGGACTGCCAGAGAGTTCACAGACCTTTTCTGTCCTAATGTTTTGATTTTTTTTTTTTTTTTAACTCGTTTCTACTTTCTGTAAGGTTTTTTATTGTCTTCTGAATCATCTTTTTGGATTTTTATTGTTTTTCTCATTCTCTGAACGTTCCTTCTTTTAAGCATCCTGTTCTTAGATGCAATTTTTCTTCATCACTTTTATGATTAGGAAGATGACAGGGTAGAGTAATTGTTTTGTATATATACTTTGTATTGATTATTTTTTCACAGTCTCACTTTCTCAAATGTAGTATTCTTAAAAATCACTAAGCTTTGTGGGATTAAGGCAGAAAGTCCCCCTTTTGACTATTATTCAAGATACAGTTTACTTTCTTCTGCTTTATCACTTTGTCCACTGCTTTCTCTAGACATTTGTTATGTTTTCTTATCTGTTCATTTACACCTTCCTATTCTTTGTCATTATGTGTTATGTAGATAACTTACTTTGTTTTAACCATAGATTTTAATTAGGTCTATGGAGGTACTAGAGGTTAATTAGAACTCTTTAATTTCTGTGTGAAAATTAAAATCCATTTTATTTTAAAAAGTTATTTAAGTTTTTTTTCTTTTCCTTAGTTTTTATTTCAGTAAGAGGTAGCACAAATATCGTAACCTGCTATTTTTACTTAGATTGCTTTTGATTGGTTTTTTAATAATCCATCTTTTCCCAAAGCCAGTTAAAAGTTCCTGACATGAATTTGATATTGTAGTTACATATAGTTGTGTTACTGCCCATTTAAATGTAGATATATTGATTTAGAATGCACATCTTTGCATCACAGGATCTGAAAGGTGCTTTAGAGCTTGTTGGAGTCTCTTACTTAAAAGCCTCAGCTGTGGTGGCTTCTTTACATGTCAGTCCAGTACATTGTTCAGGTTGTTTAGAAACCAAAACCTGCCTTTTTAGAGTTTCAACTCAGTGGTTCTACTTTTAGAGTGGGAAATGGCAACCTACTTAAGTATTCTTGCCTGGCAAATCCCATGGACAGAGGAGCCTTAGAGAGGTTCTACATTTACCTCCTAAACCCAAGCAAGATCAATCTCCTACAGTTTTCTTTGTGGTAACCCTATTGCCTTCCTTTCAATTAAAGTATCAATTTCTTCTGTTCTCAGAAAACTTGATTTTTAATCCTTCTATCTTTTTAATCATTTGATCATGATGTGATTTTTCAGCATGTTTTCAACTTTTATGACCAGAACTGACTATAACACCAGTCAATGATAGCTTCAGTAATGCTTATGTTTGCTTGTTCTCTTATTTTTGCTAACTAATCAGCTCTCTTTTCTGTATTTGAAATAATCTAGTTAACATAGAGTGGATTTTATATTTAAACATACAGAAATAAAGGCATCCTTGCACACATTCCTAATTATGTTTGGATTAGTTGAGGAAGTTTTTATTTGAGTATGCCCAGGAAAGATGACCTATACTTGTTAAATGATGGTCCTGATGAGTTTTTTTTTTATTTTAATACATAATTGATTATCAGGTGACAAACTGATCAGTGAATATTAGAGCTCTTTAATAAAAGTATTCAGGCTTTCTTCAGTCTCATTGTATAGTCCACAGAAAAACATCATGTTATTGTGCAGCCCTGTGTATCAAAAGCTACTTCCTGTATATTTTTCTTAGCAGTAGTCTGAAATTGGATTTAGGAACTTTCTGAGCACAGACAGCTTATGATCTTCAAATTGACATCTCCCCTGGGTTCCACACTCCTGAGCAAATTTGTACTCGCTGCTTATACATCAACATACATTGTTTTAGTATTGAGTGAATACATCCAGTTTTAAGAAAGCTCAGTTTGACTAAGGTAGCTCTACCTCCTTTTCATTAATCTTACTTTAATTTTCTGTTCTAGGTTTGTTGTTGATGCTTCTCTTGTCTTTCTCCCCCGTTTTAAATTTTTTACAATCTTTTTGTTTATGGTACCCCCTTTATATTAATCATCTTATCGTATTTTAGGTTTAACCTTATTTTAAATGTTTATAAACAAAAAAGTATTTCTAAAAGTGAAAACACTGTGATTTTATTTTTCACAGTATTTGGTTTTGAAATATTTATCTTGCAAAGAAGTTTCTTCATCAGTCAAGGTGCAGTGCAGATAGTTGTGGGACTACTTGTTGCTGGTTTCTTTTTACTGTGTACAATTGTAGATCATTGTTCTGTCTCATAAGGATGAAATACAGCCATTTTCACTTTTGTTTGCTACCTTTTTCCTCTATGTTCTCAGTGTACTTAATATTTTTTATTCTGAAATTTTTTACTTATTAAATCAAAGATACCTTATTTCCATATTGTCATTTTTAATACCTACTTAATCCATCATGTTGAAGAATCATGATTTTTGCAAGTGTTAATGTCGGACATAGGTTGTTTCCAAGTCTTGACTATTGCAGAAAATGTTTGGTGAACAATTGCAAACATTTCTTTATTTTCTTTCTAGTTTAATTCAGTCTTTGGGTTAAATTTCCATGATTGAAATTATTAGGTTAAAAAATATAAAAACAGTACTTGCTCTATGTTCTGTCATTGTTTCTTTCAGACCAGTTAAACCAATTTGCAGTGTTTCTGAAAGTCATACTGTATCCCTTTTTATACAGCTGTGCCATTGCTAATGAAGTAGATATAAAATGTCTTCAAGGTTGTTATGGTTTACATTTCTTTTGATTATTAGCAATAATGAATACCTCAGTAAAATTTTTTTGTGTGTTGTCTCTTGTGAAATGCTCCTCATATCTTTGATATTTTAGATTGTTTGATTTTCTTCACAGTTTGCTCCTCTGCTCTCTACCAGTAATGCTACTGAGTGTGTCTGAACATTTTGAAGGGAGTCTTGAGCTCTCTTGATTTAAGGCGCTGGATCCTTGGACTGACGTCTTGCCTTTTCTTTCCCTTTTTACAAAGCTTTGACAGATCCAAATGCTTCTGCTGCCCAGCAGGCTGTTCTCCAACAGCACATCAATAGTCTGACATACTCACCTTTCGGAGACTCTCCTCTCTTCCGGAATCCCATGTCAGATCCTAAGAAGAAAGAAGAGGTAAATTTAAGGAAGTTTCAGTAAAATCAGTTCTCAGAGTAGGAAAACTTAGGTTTAATTTTTTTTTTAACTTAATTTTGAGTGGAGGACAATTGCTTTACAATCTTGTGTTGGTTTTGTAATTAAGTTTTTAAGACACATTATTTATGCTTTTCCGTAGGCCAGGGGTACAAAAAAACTAAATTGTATCTGGAAGGCAGCATGACAGTGAAAATGAGTATTAGACTGAGGTGAAGACTGAGACTTTTTAAGGCTGAGCCCTGAAATAAGTCAGATATTATACTCTTATAGTTGAGCAAACTAAGGTTCTTAGAGGCTGATTTCTCTAGCATCATAATGTCTCTCTTTTTTTTTTTAACGTCATAATGTCTTAAATGGCAAATCAAAAATTTTTTCTCCTGGTTTCTACATAGCATTGTCTTAGTCTAGTAGGCTCTAGAAATGATCTTCTGCTCACTGTGGTGTGGCATTAAAAGTAGTCTTTGGTCCATTTAATCCTTATTTTACCACTTACAGTCTGTGAGATGTTGGGCATCTCTTTTTGCTTCTCTGAATTTCATCTGTAAAATGGCAATAGTAATTCTATTCAGTGTTGAGAATTAAAATAAGCTGCTCAGTATACAGTATTATTTAGTCATTTATGTATGACTAGTCATTGTGTTCAGCACTGAGGGTACCTAATAAGAATAAACAAGAATGTTTTCTCTTAAGAGCTTGCTATCTAATGAGGATGATCAGACTTGTACAGTATTAAATTTACCCAGCCTTAGTTTAGTATATGCAGTAATAGAGTGCATCAGTTGATGAATGGATAAACACAGTGTTGTATATCTGTATGATGGAATATCATTTCATCCATAAAATGGAATGAACTAACAATACATGCTACAGTGTGAATGAATCTTGAAAATATTGCTAAGTTAAGCAAAACATAAAGACAAGGATTCCATTTATATAAAATGTCTAGAATACACAGATGCACAGAGACAGTGGATTCATGCTTGCCAAGAGATAAAGAGAGGAATTAGGAGGCACTTCTTTAAGTTAATGTCGATACATTTTTCAATGATTTATATTGCATAAAAGTTGTTTATGGCTGTGTCTCAGTTTTTCTTGAAGATGTTTTATTTAATTAAATAATAAATGAAAAATTAAAAATTTAATAAAATAAGCTTAGAATTTTGATGTTATATTTTCTTAAAATGAACATAAATTTTGTCATCTTTGTTTTAGAAAGCAAAACAATTGCAGGCTTTTCTGTTTTGTAAGATGAAGAGAAATGCACAAGGTATATTAATATGTTCTGTTAAGACATTTTGATTTGTGAAGCACTTCAAATGGAATGTATCAATTACGTTTTGAAACAAGTCAGACAAACCCATTTGAAATGAGGCTGATGAGATGAATGAAAATCAGTTGTAGAGAAATAAAGGCAGTTCAATTAGCATGCACACATTCATACAAAGTTGGGTGAGAAATCCTTGTGTTCTGGGAGCTGAGACTCCAAGAGATATCTAGCTGGTGAATGGCAGAGATGAGATGTGAAAGCTAGTCTTCTGATTTTTAGGGCCAGTACCATATTTGAGTTAAACTAGAGGTATCCTTGAGTTTTTCTTGTTTTTCAGAGATTGAAACCAACAAATCCAGCAGCCCAAAAGGCTCTTACTACACCTACTCATTATAAACTGACACCCCGCCCTGCCACCAGAGTCCGACCAAAGGCTTTACAAACAACAGGCACAGCCAAGTCACATCTTTTTGATGGACTGGATGACGATGAACCATCCTTAGTCAATGGAGCATTCATGCCCAAGTGAGTTTATCTGTTTTACATATGATAGTGTATATGTTTCCATGCTACTCTCTCCATTTGAGAATATGCTATTTTTTTACAACTCAAATTGGCCAAACTAGTTAAGAAAAAACCTCTCTCTCTTTCTGTATTTTACATATATATATATATATATATATATATACATGCACACACACATTTATTTCAATTCCCATAATACAGATATTAAATAATAATAATTACACATAACACAGGAAAGTATATAGAAGAGTTGGTAAATATTGAAAATCATAAAGTATACACACATGCCTTATTAGAGTGTTGGTATATATACATAGGGGGAAAAACTGAAGAAAAATACATACCAAAGTATTAACAATATCTGGAGATGTAATTTTAGGGCATTTCATTTCTAAGTTTATTTTTCTAGAAATAATGTACACACACACACACACCGGCTTTTTTCACACACCAAGTACTTTTCTTTTTCTTTTTTTTTACCAAGTACTTTTCTAATCATAATGCTTTTTTTTTTTTTAAGGCTTTGTGGGTAAAATGAGAGTTCATCTCTTGTAGTTCTTTGTCTATGAGTGTTAATAAAGTATGAAAAATTATCACTTCTTTTTTTCCCCATAAGAGTATAGTGGGCTGCTGCTTAAGAAGAAACAGAAAGCCCAATTTTATACATTTCTTAGAATATCATTAGATTAGTTTGAAGGCAGGGACTGTGTATTATTCCTGTTTATGTCCCCAGCGTTTAACACATTGTTTGGTATAGAGTAGATAAAAAGGGCTTAGGTTCATCTGGTTTAGTCCAGTCATCAGATCAGCGACTTTCAGGGCATTATGACCAGGTCTTATAATCTACAAGTATGATATACAAATAGAAGGAATTGGAATGGAAAGGCAGACATTTTGCTGTTAACACCATATCCCCTTCTTGGTTTCTGCCTCTCTGGTGGTGGTAACAGTCTTTACTTAATGTATCAGAAGTACACGGTTCACCTGTCACGTCTCCTTGATTTACTTCTCTAGTTTTGTTGTTGTTGTTCAATTGCTCAGTTGTGTCCTACCCTTTGTGACCCCATGGACTGCAGCACACTAGACTTCCTTGTCCTTTACCATCTCCCAGAACTTGTTCAGACTCCTGTCCATTGAGTTGGTGATGCCATCCAACCATCTCCTCTTCTGTCATATCCTTCTCCTCCTTCCTTCTGTCTTTCTCAGCATGAGGGTCTTTTTCCAATGAGTTGGCTCTTTGCATCAGGTGGTCAAAGTATTGGAGCTTCAACTTCAGTATTAGTCATTCAGTGAATATTCAGGACTGATCTCCTTGCAGTCCAGGGGACTCTCTGAAGTCTTCTCCAACACCACAGTTCAAAAGCATCAGTTTTTCCATGCTCAGCCTTCTTTATGGTACAGCTCTCACATTCGTACATGATCACTGAAAAAACCATAAATTTGACTATACAGACTTCTGTCTGGAAAGTAACGTCTCTGCTTTTTAATATGCTGTCTAGGTTTGTCATAGCTTTTCTTCCAAGGAGCAAGAGTCTTGTAATTTCACAGCTGCAGTCATGTTTCTCGTTTTACTCCTACTTTACTAGTTGCTCCTCCTGTCTGCCTTTCTGGTTCTTCCCTCTTCTTCCTGATTCCTAGGCTCAACTCTTGATCTCATTATCTTCATTCACTTCCAAAGTGATTTAATATCTGTAGTCTAATTCTCAAACATTTATCTCCAGCCTGGACCTCTCCCAGTCTTCAGAGTCTTATATCCAATATCCAGCCATACTCAACATCTCCACTTATATTTATTTCAAAATTAATGTGTCCAAAATTGAATGAACTCCTGATCATCTCCTTCAAAGCTGTTCCACCCAAATACTTTCCTATTGCATGTAATTGCATTTCTATCACTCTAGTTGCTCAGGCCAGAATTTCTGGAGTCATCATTGACTTTTATTGTACACCTGATATGTAAGCCTTTAGCACATCTTTGTTTTTCCCTTAAGAATTATCCAGAATCTGACCAATTCATACCACATTTACTGCCACTAATTACCTTAATCCAGGGCACCATCATCTCTTGATTGAATTATTACAATATTCTCCTAACTAATCTTTCTGCTTTTATCCTTATTTCTTTGCATTCTGTTCTGAGATACAGTTAATAGTGATTCTTTTAAAGTGTAAATCAGACCACGTCACTTTTCTGTCCAAAACTCAGTAGTGGTTCATACTTCAACCTATAAAAGCCAATAGTGGCATATAAGGCCCTCTAAGAACTGACCTTCCATTACTTCTGTAAGCACATCCACTACTGTCTTCACTGTTTTGGTTCAGTCCAGTCCAGTTGCTCAGTCATGTCTGACTCTTTGCAACCCCATGGACTGCAACACGCTAGGCTTCCCTGTCCATCACCAACTTCTGGAGCCTACTCAAACTCATGTCCATCATGTTGGTGATGCCATCCAACCATCTCATCCTCTGTCGTCCTCATCTCTTCCTGCCTTCAGTCTTTCCCAGAATCAGGGTCTTTTCCATTGAGTTGTCAGTTCTTCGCATCAGGTGGCCATTGGAGTTTCAGCTTCAGCATCAGTCCTTCCAGTGAATATTCAGGACTGATTTCCTTTAGGATTGACAGGTTTGATCTCCTTGCAGTCCAAGGGACTCTCAAAAGTCTTCTCCAACACTACAGTTCAAAAGCATCAATTCTTTGGTGCTCACCTTTCTTTATAGTCCAACTATCACATCCGTACATGACCACTGGAAAAACCTTAGCCTTGATGAGACGGACATTTGTTGGCAAAGTAATGTCTCTGCTTTTTAATATGCAGTCTAGTTTGGTCATAACTTTCCTTCCAAGGAGTAAGCGTTTTTTAATTTCATGGCTGCAATCACCATCTGCAGTGATTTTGGAGCCCCAAAAAATAAAGTCTGCCAGTCTTTCCTCTGTTTCCCCATCTATTTGCTTTATTTTATTTATTTTATTTTTTATTTACTCTAGGAGGTGGGTCATAGAGGATCTTGCTTTGATTTATATCATTGAGTGTTCGCCTATGTTTTCCTCTAAGAGTTTTATAGTTTCTGGTCTTACTTCAGGTCTTTAATCCATTTTGAGTTTATCTTTGTGTATGGTGTTAAGAAGTGTTCTAATTTCATTATTTTACATGTAGCTGTCCAGTTTTCCCAGTACCACTTATTAAAGAGGCTGTCTTTGCCCCATTGTGTATTCTTGCCTCCTTTGTCAAAAATAAGGTACCCATAGATGGGTGGGTTTATTTCTGGGCTTTCTGTCTTGTTCCATTGGTCTGTGTTTCTGTTTTTGTGCCAGTACCATACTGTCTTGATGACTGTAGCTTTGTAGTATAATCTGTAGTCAGGAAGGTTGATTCCTCCAGCTCCAGTCTTCTTTCTTAAGACTGCTTTGGCTATTTGGGGTCTTTTGTGTTTCTGTATGAATTGTGAAATTTTTTGTTCTAGTTCTGTGAAAAATGTAGATGGCAGAGAATTCTGATGTCCAGCACTAGAACTGTACTCGGTTTGCTCTGCAAGGTGAATTTTATAGCTTGACAAGTGTGAGAATCTTGCTGGTGCCGTGTCTTTACATCATAGAGCAAATTTTCTATGGAACACGCCATTAATTTTCTTTATTCTGAATGGACAGAATTAGAAATATTCTTTAATACCTCTGTTCATTGCTTCACTCAGCAGACATGTATCACAAACTACTAAGGGCAAGTGTGATGGGCTCTGGGGATATAGCTGTGAACCAGACACATTCCTCTGTCACAGTCTGGGGGGGAAGAGAGATGCTGAGACAGAGTAATCACAAGTGAGACAGGTTACAGAAAGAAGTAGAGATTGCCACTGTAGGAGAGACCAGTAGAGAATAATGAAGGAAAGCTTGTCTGAGGATGTGTTGTTTAAACTGAAGACAGATTGGGAGAATTGTCAGTCAGGGGAAGTATTTTCATATGTTTCTGGTTTTAAATACACATATTTTTTTCAAACAGAATTTTATTTTCCAGCTTTCTTGTCAACGTTTATTTGAAACATGACCTGACCAAATGGTATTCTATTTTGTATTTACTAAATTAGCCCCCCATTCTCTTCACATTTGCCTGACACTTTTTATGTTCTATATTTAAGTTCCTGCCTTCTAGTCATGTGTTCTTCATGTGAAGCATTTAATTAAACCATCTTCTTCACTCTCCCCACCTCCCTCACCCCTGTTGGTTGCATTTCTGTCCATTGCAGCTGTTATTTTCTGTGCTGATCAGGTTGTTTTTTCTTTGGCCAACAGGAACCCTTTCATGTCGGCTCCTAATTCCTTTCCAGAGTTCCTGATAGTGTTTAGTAACTTGCTTGTAGGATTCACTGCGTAAAATTTTGTCCAGGATTTTTTTTTTTTTTTTTTTTTGGCCTTCTGTGTTTCTGATTTAGATTGGCTTGGGTGCTCCTTTCTTTAAATTTTCTTACCCAGTTTTGGTAAAAAAGTTATGCTGACCTCACAAACAAATTGGATCATTTCCTCTTTTCTGGGAGGCTTGGTGTAAGATAGGCTTCTCCTCTCCCCAATTAAATGTTGGATACTGGTGAAGATACTGTTTGCAGTAATGTGTTTCATTTTAATTGTTGACTTTAAAGTTATAGAACTTAAGCCTTTTCATTTCTTGTGTCACTTTTGACGAGTTATATTCTTTTAATATTCACTTCAGCTCATTAAAATTCCAAACTTATTGGCATAAAGTTGTTTAAAAATATCATGACTGTCTTTTTTTATTTTAGTGAAATCTGTCTCTGTTCATTCCTGACATCGTGGTGGTTTGTGCTTTCTCACTGTAGCAGTGTGGTCAGGGATCTGCCAGTTTCATTTAACATTTCAAAGAACTAAACTTCTGGCATTACTGATGCTCTCTAGTCTGTGTTCCTTTTTCATTAATTTTAATTTATCATATTTTCACTAAAGTTTAATCTGATTTTTAATCCCCCCCTTTTTATGGTATTTATTTTCTGTCCTTTGTTTAAATCAGTGCTCACTTTTTATTTTTAACTTTGCTCCTTTCCAAATACATGCTTTAGAGATGTAAGTTTCCCTTTTATTAATAGTTCAGCTCTTTTTATACTCTACAAGTTTTGATATGGAGTACTCTTAACATTCAAATAATAATTATATGATAAATGCTTTCTGACTTTCATAGAGTTTTTTGAGTCTTGGGTTATTCAAGAGTATAAATTCTTAACATGGAGATTTTTGTGATCTCTTATTTTACTTACTAATTTTTATTGTGGTAAGATATACATGAAGATTGTTTAAATGGTAAAATATGTGTTCTGTCAAGTACAATTCAGTGATGTTAAGTATATTTATAATATTGTATAACTACCACTAGTATTTCCAGAACTTACTGCCATGCAATAATTCTCTATTTTCTTCTTCCTCCAGTCCCTTTTAACTTCTATATTACTTTCTGTCTATAAGAATTATGCCTATTTTAGATGGCACATGTGCAGGGAATCATGCAGAATTTATTCTTTCATGTTTGGCTTATTTTCCTTGGCATAATGTTTTAAAGGTTCTTTACTTTTTTCACTTTTAAGTTGTAGCATGTATCAGAACTTCACTCTTCTTTAAGGCTGAATAATATTCTGCCATATGGTTATCCCACATTTTGTTTATCCATTCCATCTATTGATGGACATTTGGGTTGTTTCTACCTTTTAGCTGTGTGAATAGTGCTACTATGAATGTTGATGTACAAGTAGAGTCCCTGGTTTCAGTTCTTTTGGGTATATACCTAGGACTGAAATTGTTTGGTCATACATTAATTCTGTACTTAACCTCCCCCCCTTTTTTTTTAATAGAATTTATTTATTTATTGGCTGCACTGAGTCTTTGTTGCTGTGAGCAGGGTTCCTCTAGTTGGGGAGATTGGGGGCTACCCTCTAGTTGTGGTACTCAGGCTTCTTAATGCAATGGCTTCTCTTGTTGCAGACCATAGGCTCTAGTGTTTTGGGGCTTTAGTAGTTGTGGTGCACAGGCTTAATTGCTCTGTGGCATGTGGCATCTTCCCTGACCAGTGAACTCCTGTCCCTTGTATTGCATAGCAGATTCTTAACCACTGGACCACCAGGGAAGCCACTCTACTTAACCCTTTAATGAACTGCCAAATTGTTTTCCACAGCAGCTGCACCATTTTACATTACCTCCAGCAATGCACATTGTTTTCATTTTCTCCATACCTTTGTCAGCACTTAATGACAGGTGCTTACTGAGATGAGTCAAAGCTGAGCTTCACACCTTGTGCTTTTTATTTTTAGTTCTCTCTTAACTGCAGGGGTAGAGACTTTCCAGGTCCCAACACAAAATCAGTGGCATCCACTAGTTCCTCACTCCCTCGGCTCTAGATTCTGGTCTCTGCCTTTCTAGTCCCACAAGACTGTCAGGTTCACCATCAGCCTCTTAGCCTTGCCCTTGGAATCAGAAAAGTCTCCAGGAGAAAAGCAACCACAAGTACGGGACACTTCCCTGTGCCTCTGTCCCCTCAAATTACTGGTACTGTCATTTTTTACCATCTTGTTGGCTCTTCATGCCTGGAAAGAGTTCTGAGTTTTCTGGTAATCCTTCTTAGGAGAATTAGTCCTCATTACCTAGTCTGCCATCAATAGAAGGGCAAGTTTTATTTTTCATGAAAGTAATAATTTTTTGTTGTCAATTGCCTCTTTCATTGGTTTACTTAATATTTATTTAATAGCACCATTACAATGAGGCGTATACCTAGCATACGTAAGTAAGGAACAAACACCACAGTGTGTGTGTGTGTTTTTTTTTTTTTTTTCCCATACCACACAGCATGCTGGAACTAGTTCCTCAACCAGAGATTGAATCCGTGCACTGGAAGCACAGAGTCTAATCACTGGACCTCCAGGGAATTCCCAATGGTTGGTTTTTTTCTTTAAAAAGAGGGAATGGAGTGTATTAGTTAATCCAGTGACTTTTTAAGTGGAGGTTGATTAAGATTTTATGCATTTTTTCTACTTAGTAAGCTGGTATACTATAGAGGTTCTTGCTTTAAGTAAAACCTGTTGTACACAAACTTGAACGTTTTAGATATTCGTGGTCATTTACATCATTGGATAGCAGAACTTTTTACCCCTCTTTCTTGTCTTTTTTAAAAGAAACCTTTCTCATTTAAACATCTGTCTTCCTTCAGTGGCTTCCCTGGTGGTTCAGTGGGAAAGAATCCACCTGCCAACACAGGAAACATGGGTTTGATCCCTGGATCAGGAAGATCCCCTGGAGAAGGAAATGGCAACCCACTCCTGTATTCTTGCCTGGGAAATCCCATGGACAGAGGAGCCTGGTGGGCTGCAGTCCATGAGATCACAGAAGAGTCAAACAACAGTGTTCCTTCAGAATAACATGCCAGGTTCTATGCAGGAGCAGTCATAAATACTGACTGCCAAAAAAATTAAAAAATGTTTTTTAAAGAGAAAAAAGGCATGTAGAAAAATAATTGAAATGCATGACACAGTGTGGGGAGTAAACTAGTGTCTAGACAGATTCTTATGGAGTTAGCAAAGGAAGAGTATTTTCAAGCGTATTTCTTACTTGGTTTTGATGTGCTTAATTAGCTTATTCTTCTAAACACCAGAGTGTCATATATTTGAGACCTTATGTTCTGGTTATTTATATTTGAGCTGAGTTGGTGAACTGAACTTGTTAGGTCACTTTTTTTTGGGGGGGGGCTATTACAAAAGTTTATTTAACAAAAAAGTTCAATAAGAAAATGTACACAACCTAATTTTTCTGGTAGTAAAATGTGGAGAAGGAGACACATGGAAGTAGTTGATTTCTCTGGTGAACACAGCTGTTGTTCATACTCGTTCCAAGGCTTCTAACATGATGATACTATTTCCTCGTATTACCACCATTCCAATATTGTTCTGTTGCCCACTAGTTGCCATCTCCACACATTCATCTATCACAAGATTCATAAAGGGATCAAATCCCCGCAATATTCCTTGGACATGTCTGCCACCATTTAATTTCAGTGATAACTTCATGTCCATAAATTTCTTCAACTTGGGAGGGTGTGCTTTGCTCATGATGTCTACTCTGCATTAGGTCACTTTTAGATAAAAGCACATGAGTTGAATAAGAGTTCCCTTTCCTACTTGAGGTTTTAAGATAGTCTTTAGTGTAATTTTGTGTGCCTGAGTTTTTTTTTTTCTTTTGATCTCTGTTTATAGGAAGAGCATTAAGAAGTTGGTTTTGAAAAACCTTAACAATAGCAGTCTATTCTCTCCTGTTAATCGTGAGTCGGAAGATCTAGCTTCACCATCTGATTATCCAGAAAATGGAGAGAGGTAAACTGAATGCTCTTTTAGGTTATTTCTGGTCGAGAGCCTTGTTTTCATTTAGAAGAGATTCTGAGCTTAGTATTTATTCATTCAAGAAATTTTACGAAGTTGGAAATACAACGGCATATGAGCACCTAGAAGTTATGTCGTGTATTTACCTCTTGAGTACTATAGACACTAAAATTATTTTTTTCCTGATTCAGTTCTGCAAAACCTTTTTGGTATCCATGTATGTCGTTTTGGACAGGGTTAACATGCATGTGACTCCCCTTACCCCTCTTAAATTGTGTTTGTGATAGTTATTAAAGTGATACACAACAACTGTAACCAACTCTCCCCTCAAAGCAGTATAGAAATATATAAAGAAGAAAGTACAAGTATATACAGTAATCCTTAGTAGTTCAGCATATTTTCTAATGGTTTTGAAATTTATTTGAGTATATTCTTAAAATATTTTAGTGATTATGCATGAAATGATATTCTGTAACCATTTACTATCAACATGGCTATCAACATGATATGGCTAACCTGCCTCTTTTTAAGTGACTCTGTAACCATTATCATGAATGTAAGATAATTCAGTTAGTTCTCTTGTAATGGATATTTACGTTATTTTGGTGTTCCTGTATTCAAAATAGTGCTTCAGTGAAAAATCTTTGTATATATGTCTTTGCACTCCTGTTTTTTTGTCTTTGGATAAAATTTTAGTTTGATTTTTCAATAATGAAGCATTTTTTAATACTCTATTGATTATAATATTAAAAATTAAAATTTTTTCAGTTTTGTATTATGAAATTCACTACTGATTATTTGACCCCCATCTAGTAGATACTCCCCCCTCGTTAAGCTAAAAATTGTGACACTCAGATTCATTCATTCATTATAATAAATCAGTTAAAGTCATGGAATCTACATTTAGTCTTCGTGAGTTACAGTGCTAACTCTAGTGCTTATAGTTTTGTGACCTTGACAAGTTATTTTTCTGTTTCTGAGTTTTCTGTAAAATACAGAGAATGATAGCAGCCTATTTTATAGGATTACTGTAAGTATTAAGTGAATTTTTAATACATGGAGTTAAATAGAAAAGTGTCAGATACTTAATGAAGGCCTAGTAATGATTGATTGTTGCTGTTTTACTACAAGGGGCTAAAATAGTATTTGTTTACTTTCTCCCTTTTCAGATTCAGTTTTCTGAGCAAACCAGTGGATGAGAATCATCAGCAGGATGGAGAAGATGATTCTCTTGTGTCACGTTTTTATACTAACCCTATTGCCAAACCCATTCCTCAAACGCCAGAAAGTGCTGGAAATAAACATAACAGCAGCAACAGTGTAGATGATACCATCGTTGCATTAAACATGCGTTCTGCCTTGCGAAATGGACTGGAAGGAAGCAGTGAAGAGACCTCTTTTCATGAGGAGTCACTGCAGGATGACCGAGAAGAAATCGAAAATAATACTTACCATATACATCCAGCAGGTCAGATTCAGATCTCTTACCAGTCATTTGAGACCTTTTATTGATCACATATTTTCATCATAATAGAAGTTAGCTATCTGAACTTCTCAATATTTTTTATTGCATTTTTATGAAAGTTAACATTTGAACATATGTTATGGTTGATTTGGAATTCACATCGTTTTGTACCTTTGGAGTAGTCAGAATTCATTTCGTTAATTATCCTGTTATATTTTAAATACCCCAAGTTTTGTAGCGAGAGGGACTATCCTTATAACTTTTTTTAGCTTCATAAATTCACATAGATTGCCTATTCATTTTTTTAATTAAAATTATAGCAGTAATTACTTATATGATTTTTGAGATTTGAATTAAAGTATACAGACCATAATGCCAGAATAGAGTAGGCATTCAAATGTTAATGGTTGTTTGGTTATTATCACTTTAGTTCTGTGTTTTTCTTTTTTGTCCCCAACAGTGAACTGACTAGTTTATGCCAACTAACCTGTGACATAGCATGAACTGCAGGATTGAAGTATCTTGATGGGGATGCTTAAAGTTTGCCTTTTTTTCTCTGCTGACTTATCTCATTTGGGTTTTGACAATATCATTACATTTCCCCTTCCCCTTTTAACTGAGATACAGTTTACATATAGTGAAGTATATAGGTCTTAAGTGTTCATTTCAATAAATTTAGACATATATATATATACACATATATATGTATGTATGTATACTCATATATACAAACACATATACTCAAGAGAGAATATTTCTTTAACCCTGGAAAGTTCCTTTGTGTTCCCATCTCCAGAAATCAACCATAGTCTGGTTTCTGTCACATAGATTAGTTCTTCCTAGTTTGTTTGTTTTTTTTTAATTTATGTTTTGGTCAGGACACGTGACTTTGTAGGATCTTAGTTCCCCAAGCAGGGATCTAACCCTGCCCTCAGCAGTGACAGCACAGAGTCCTAACCACTGGAATGCCAGGGAATTCCCTTTCCTGTTCTTTTTTTTTTTTTAATATATTTTTTAAAACATTAAACAATTTTAATTATTGACTTATTTTTGGCTGCACTAGGTCTGCTTGTTGCACACAGGCCTTCTCTAGTTGCAGCAAGCTGGGGATACTCTTTAGTTGTGGCTGCACAGGCTTCTCATTGTGGTGCTTCTCTTATTGGAGTGCACAGGCTCTAAGGCATGCTGGCTTCAGTAGTTGTGGCACACAGTAGCTGTGGTGCATAGGTTTAGTTACCCTGAAGCATGTGGATCTTCTCAGACCAGGGATCAAACCTGTGTCCCCTGCATTGGCAGGTGCATTTTCTTATGAGATTTTATCCATGATTTTATCCATGATTATCAGCATTTGGTTCTTTTTTACTACCATGTAGCATTGCATTATATAAATAGGACAAATTTAGTTTCTCCATGCTCTTAGTGAACTTTTGAGGTTATTTTGCAGTATATATTAATGTGTCTATAAACTTCTTCTATGTCTAATTATCTTATTGCCTTCGTATACGTCTTCTAGCCACATGGTACACTAAGGAAACAACTTTATTCTTTAACATTAAGAGTCCTGTGTTATCTGTGTTTGTATTTAGACACCTACATGAGTTCATTTTGATACTACATCTTAAATACTCAGTCACGATTTTTTTAAATTGTTTCTAGTTTTTTCACTGACCTTCTTTGTTGCCTCCCGATTTAGAATCCCAGTCTCAAGAACACTATAACAACACCCTAAAACTTAAGCATATTTAGTGGGCATTGCTGGAGACTAATTTAATCTTATATGGGCCTTAAACTCTTGTATGGGCCTTTCTCAGAAAGCAAGTTAGCCTAATCTCTGTCTGTTAATGGAACAGGAGTGGTTAGAGCAAGCATACTCATGTTGTATTTTCTTCGATTTCTTCTTCTATCTACCTAGTTAGTACTTTTTAAAATAACATTAATGTATGGGAAAAAAATAAAATAACACTAATGTAGACCTTTAAGTTTCCAGTTGTCTGCATGACTTTCTCATGCAGGATTTTTCATCTTGATTTCCATGAGTTTTATTTACTGATTCTATCAGGTAATTTTTTAAATTATCCACTCTAAAAGTATTTCTACAATGAAAAAGTGAAATGAATATTGCTGAAAATTCCTCTAACTGATGTCAGTCACAACCAGTACTTTATTTTTGGTTTCTTTTGCCATAGGCATCATTCTCACTAAGGTTGGCTACTATACTATTCCATCCATGGATGACCTTGCTAAAATTACCAATGAAAAAGGAGAGTGCATTGTCTCTGACTTCACTATTGGTCGTAAAGGTGAGTCTAAATTTAGGAGTTAGTGGTGTATAGCCAGAAATCTGCACCTTGTCTTTGTAATTAAGTGAAGGAAGTACTTGGTGGCTAAATTTGTTTTTTACCTACATTTGGACTACCTTGGCCTGAATGGACACTTTGATTAACAAGTAACAAAAAGACTAAAACTTTTTAATATTCTTTAGCAATTATTTGGCTCATTGCAATTTTCTACAATTAAAATGCTGTAAATAGCAAATACTAAGTGAGAAAATTTATGAGATGGGTAATAATTAGGTTGTTTCATATTATTAAGTTATTACAGATAAAATTTTCTTGGGGAAAAAAAAATCTCATCTTGCTGTATTGTATTAAAAGAAGAGCTCAAGTATTTTAATTCATACTATAGGCTGAGTGCCAAGGGTTGCTTATATAGGAGCCATACAGATACTTAGGGCTTCCCAGGTGGTACTAGTGGTAAAGAACCTGTCCCCCAGTGCAGGAGTTCTCAGAGAGGTGGGTTTGATCCCTGGGTTGGGAAGATTCCCTGGAGGGAGGACATGGCAACCCACTTAAGTATTCTTACCTGGATAATCCCATGGACAGAGTAGCCTGACAGGCTATAGTCCATAGGGTCACACAGAGTCAGACACACTAAAGCAACTTAACATGCATGTTAAGTATCTGGGAAGATACTTGGGGAGAGATTTTAAAAGGCTTCTTTGAGGATAACATAAGTACTGTACAAATGTATATATTAAACCAGGTAACAATGTATTTGATGTCACCTTCTAATATTAAAGATGAAATAACTCATTCAGGGAATTGCTTGGTGATTCAGAATATTGATTAATGTTTAAAGCTGCTTGCTCCTTCACTGGAAGTATAAAGTGGGTATTTGCCTTCTATATAGGGCAAGTTTCTAACTCTTTGCTCTGATTTATAGGTTATGGTTCGATCTATTTTGAAGGAGATGTGAATTTGACAAATCTAAATTTAGATGACATTGTACATATCCGAAGGAAAGAAGTGATTGTCTACTTAGATGATAACCAAAAACCACCTGTGGGTGAAGGACTAAATAGGTATGAATTTATTTACATATTTAACAACTAATCAGGTAAATCACAATCTTTTTCTGTTAACACAGGTATATTCGTATTACATACATTTTCCTGCAACTTGTCTCTTGGACTTACTATGTGATTATTGTATGTGATTATTATTTCTGTGCTTTCACTTAAAAATATAAGTGATATGGGACATTCCTGGTGGTCCAGAGGTTAAGAATCTGCAAGCTAATGCAGGGGACACAGGTTCGATCCCTGGTCCGGAAACTAAGATCCCTCATGGTGCTTGGCAACTAAGCCCATGTGCCACAACTGCTGAGCCTGTGCTCTAGAGCCCACGAGCCACAATTACTAAAGCCTGTGCATCCAGAGCTCATACTCCACAACAAGAGAAGGGACCACAATGAGAGGCTGGCACACTGCAACTAGAGAGTAGCTCCCACTCGCCGCAGCTAGAGAAGGCCTGTGTGCAGCAACAGAGACCCAGCGAAGCCAAAACAATAAAAAGTATAAGTGATAAAGAAGTGCTCCACTTGTACTTTTTTGACTCCTTTCCATAATATTATCACATCCAACTGTTTCCAAAACCTTTTGGAAAACACTTTTTAGTAGTATTTTTGTTCTTTTTTTTGGTTGCATTGGGTCTTCGTTGCTGCATGCAGGCTTTCTTTTCTTATAGTGATTGGGGGCTACTCTTCACGGTGGTGCATTGACTTCTTATTGCGGTGGTTTCTGTGTTGCAGAACACAGGCTCTAGGCGCAATTGTGGCACATGGGCTCAGTGGTTGTGGCTTGTGAGCCCTAGAGCACACAGGCTTCAGTACTTGTGGCATGTGGGCTCAGTAGTTGTGGCGCAGGACTCTAGTTGCTCCATGGCATGTGGAATCTTCTTGGACCAAGGATCGAACTCTTGTCCTCTGCATTGGCAGGTGGATTCTTTTCCACTGTGCCACCAGGAAAGTCCCATAATAGTATTTTTTTTTCCCCCTTGTTTCTGCTATGATTGTGCTTAACTCTTTTTTCTGTATCTTTAGTGTGAGATACTATTTTCTAATGCAGGCCAGGTCAAAGAGCCATAGTTAAAATCCTTTATGTTCACAACCCACTGATATTGAACCAGGAAGAAATAGAAGATGTGAAGAACCGTGAAACTAATAAGGAAATTGAAGTAGTAATCAGTATCCCCTGCTCCTACAGCTCCACCAAAGCCCTGGACCAGATGGCTCACTGGCGAAGTTTATCAGACATTTAAAGAAAAATTTATACCAGTTCTCCTCAACCTCTTCCCCCAAATAGAGGAGGGAGCATTTCTAACTAACTCTGTGAGGGAAACATTTCCCTGAGTCCAAAGCTAAATAAAGGTGCTGTAAGAAAAGAAGACTACAGACCAATATGTTTAATATATATTAATGTAAATACCCTCAACAAAATAACTATCAAACAGAATTGAGTGGTGCATCAACTGGATTACACACCATGACCAAATAGGATTTGTTTCTGAAATGCATAGATGGCTTAACATATAAAAATTGATGAATGTAATGCATCACATTGACAGGACAAAAGAAAAAAAACACATGATCATCACTGTTGATGCAGAAAAAGCACTAGACAAAATTTAACACTGTTCATGATAGAAAATAGAGTTAGAAGGAAACTACTAAGCATAATAAAAGCCATGTTAGAAAAACTTATAGTGGACATCATTTGTTATTGTTCAGTCGCTAAGTCATGTCCTGCTCTTTGTGACCTCATGAACTGTAGCACGTCGGGCTTCCCTGTCCTTCACATTGAGTGGGGGTGATGTCATCCAACCTTCTCATCCTCTGTCGCTTCCTTCTCTTCCTGCCTTCAGTCTTTCCCAGCATCAGGTTATTTTTACAATGAGTCCACTCTTCACATCAGGTGGCCAAAGTATTGGAGCTTCAGTCCTTCCAATGAATATTCAGGGTTGATTTCCTTTAGTATTGACTAGTTTAATCTCCTTGCTGTCCAAGGGTCTCAAGAGGCTTCTCCAGCACCACAATTCAAAGGCATCAATTCTTCAGTGCTCAGCCTTCTTTAGGTCCAGCTCTCATATCCGTACATGATAACTCCTGGAAAAACCATAGTTTTGACTATATGGACCTTTGTCAGCAAAGTGATGGCTCTGCTTTTTAATATGCTGCCTAGGTTTGTCATAGGTTTTTTCCAAGGAGCAAGTGTCTTTTAATTTTGTGGCTGCAGTCACCGTCCACAGTGTCTTTGGAGCCCAACAAAATAAATCTGCCACTGTTTCCACTTTTTCCCCGTCTATTTGCCATGAAGTGCTGGGACCAGTTTTAAGCCAGCATTTTCACTCTCTTTCACCTTTATCAAGAGGCTCTTTAGTTCCTCTTTGTTTTCTGCCATTAGAGTGGTATCATCTGTATATCAGAGGTTGTCGATATTTCTCCTAGCAGTCTTGAGTCCAGCGTGAAATTCATCTAGCCGAGCATTTCACATGATGTACTTACTCTACATGTAAGTTAAATAAGTAGGGTGACAGTATACAGCCTTGACATACTCTTTTCCCAAGTTTGAACCAATCTGTTAGTCCCTGTCCAGCTCCAACTGTTGCATGACCTGCATATAGGTTTCTCAGGTGGCAGATAAGGTGGTCTGGTATTCCCATCTCTTAAGAATTTTCCAGTTTATAGTGATCGACACAGTCAAAGGCTTTAGCATAGTCAATGATGCAGAAGTAGATGTTTTTCTGGAACTCTCTTGCTTTTTCAATGATCCAGTGGATGTTGGCAATTTTATCGCTGGTTCCTCTGCCATTTCTAAATCCTGCTTGTACATCTGAAAGTTCTCAGATCACGTGCTGCTGAAGCCTGGCTTGAAGAATTTTGAGCATAACCTTGTTAGCATGTGAAATGAGCACAATTGTATGGTAGTATGAACATTCTTTGGCATTGCCTTTCTTTGTGATTCGAATAAAACTGATCTTCTTCCAGTCCTGGGCCACTGCTGAATTTTCCAAATTTGCTGACATATTTAGTGTAGCACTTTAACAGCATCATCTTTTAGAATTTTAAAAGCTCAGCTAGAATTCCATCACCTCCACTAGCTTTGTTCGTAGTAATGCTTCCTGAGGCCCACTTGACTTCACACTCCAGGATGTCTGGCTCTAGGTTAATGACTCTACCATCTTAATTATCTGAATCACTAAGATCTTTTTTGTAGAGTTCTCTTTGTATTCTTGCCACCTGTTCTTAATCTCTTCTGTTCTTTTAGGTCCTTGCCGTTTCTGTCTTTTATTGTGCTCATCCTTGCATGAAATTTTCCCTTGGTATCTCTAATTTTCTTGAAGGGATCTCTCTAGTCTTTACCATTCTATTGTTTTCCTCTGTTTCTTTGCATTGTTCATTCGAAGAAGTCCTTATCTCATCACTATTCTCTGGAACTCTGCATTCAGTTGGGTATATCTTTCCCTTTCTTCTTTGCCTTTTGTTTCTCTTCTTTCCTCAGTGAACATCATAAAAAGAAGAGGAAGTGTTAGTCACTCAGTTGTGTCCAGCCCATGGGTTGTAGCCCACCAGGCTCCTCTGTCCATGGGATTCTCCAGGCAAGAATACTGAAGTGGATTGCCATTGCCTTCTCCAGGGGATCTTCTGTAGTTAAAGACTGAGAGCTTTTCTTATAAGATCAGGAATAAGACAGTAATGTTTGCTTTTGCCACCAGCATTCAACATAATACTGTAAGTCTTAACCAAAGCAGTTAAACAAGATAAAGATTAAAGATATTCAAATTGGAAAGAAAGATGTTATCTCTCTTTACAGATGATGTGATCTTATATGTAGAAAGCCTAAAAATTCCACACAAAAAAGCTTACAGCTAATGAACAAATTTAGCAAGGTAGCAAGATGCAAAATCAACACAGTAAAATCAGTTGAGTTTCTGTACACTGACAGTCTGAAAAGGTAGTTATGAAAACATTTTTGTTTATAATGGCATCAAAAGAATAAAATACTTTAGGAATAAACCAAAGAGGCAAAAAACTTGTACACTGAAAACTACAAAACGTTGTTAAGAGAAATTAAAGAAGGCAAATAAAAGATATCCCATGTTCATGGATTGGAGGACCTAAAATTGTTAAGATATCCATGCTCCCCAAAGCAGCCTACTGACTTAATGCAATCCGTGTCAACATCCAAGCTTCATCTTTTGCAGAAATAAGAGAAATGATCCTAAAATGTAAAGAATCTCAAGGGTACCATGATCAGTCAAATTGACCTTAAAAAACAACAAAGCTGGAGGAATCTGACTTTCTGACTTGAAAACAAGGGTACAGTAACTGAAACTGTTACTGGCATAAAGACAAACGTATATGGAACAGAACAGAGAGCCCACACAGGAGACCTCATGTAAATGGTTAAATGTTGACAGAGTTGTCAAGACCATGCAGTGGGGAAAGAACAGTTTCTTCAACAAATGGTTTTGGGAAAACTGGATATCCGTAACAGAAGAATGAAGTTGGACCCTTACTTTATGCCATAAAGAAAAATCAATTCAAAATTGATCAACGATCTAAAACATAAGACTTAAAACTATAAAAAAAAAAACTGGTATATGTTTCACACCATATTTGACAAGAATTTCCTGGGTATGATTCTAAATGCATAGGCAGCAAATAGTGAAAATAAACTAGACTACATCAAAATTTTTAGGGCTTTCCTGGTGGCTCAGATGGTAAAGCCTACAATGCAGGAGACCCAGGTTTGATCTCTGGGTTGGGAAGATCCTTTGGAGAAGGAAATGGCAACCCACTCCAGTACTCTTGCCTGGATAATCCTGTGGATGGAGGAGCGTGGTAGGCTATTGTCCATGGGGTCACAAAGAGTTGGACACAACTGAGTAACTTCACTTTCACTTTCACATCAAAATTTCTTCACTGGGTCGAAGAACCCAGTCAACAAAATGAAGAGTCAGCAAATTGTGTCTGTAGTGTAAAGGGTTAATATCCAGAGTATGAAGAACTATCGCTCAACCATTAAAAAAAAAAAAATGGTCAGAGAACTTGAATACACAATATAATAGACAGATGGCCAACAAGCATATGAAAAGATGCTCAACCCATTAGGAGGTTAATTTAAAAGAAAAATAACGTTTTTGCAGGAGTATGAAAAACTGGAACCTTTGTGTATTTTGGTGAGAATGTTGTGCAGCTGTTGTGAAAGAGTATATGGTTCCTCAAAAATTAGGAGTGACCCAGCATTTCCACTTCTGGGTATATATCCAAAAGAATTGAAAACAGAGTCTTGAAAAATGTACATACCCATATTCATAGCAGCACTATTCATGATAGTCAAGAGATAGAAGAAACCCAAGTGTCCATGAATAAACAAAATGTATATACACACCATGGAATATTACTTAGTCTTAAAAAGGAAGGAAACTTTCACATGCTGCAGAATGGATGAACCTTCAGGACATGATGCTCAGTGATTTAAGCCAGCTGCAGAAAGAAAAATACTGAGAGTCACATGATTTGAGGCATCTAGAGTGTCAAATTCATAGGAGCAGTAGAATAGTGATAACTTTTATTATACCTTCTTACCTCAATAGAAAATGTTAAAGAAAACTCATCTGTTTTTATGTGGTAATCACTGTACTAGATGCAAGGCATGCTAAATGAATAAGGGCACAGTCCTTAATCTCAGATGTTGCTATTAGAAGGAATACATTACCGTTATTATTATCAATTCACACTCATTATTTAGTGGTTAATGTTAATACTGTGATGCTCCTGATACCTCATTCTGCAAGCTTTTGTCATTAGTGGTAGTTGTTGCTATTATTACTGTTGTTTTTACAAAGTACAGTAGTAGTATAAGACCTTCACTAAGATTTAGGTCTTTGGACTAGACTTGGTCAAGGATGCATGGCTTAAAAGTTATTAAAATCAGATTATAAATAATTGATGTGCCATGGTAGTTTGAAATAAGTGGAGTTTGATGCTCTTGAACCAGATCTTCAGCTAGTTGATATGGGGGTAATTCCTTACTCTTAAGGCTAACTACCTTTGGAGCCAAGACTCAGGTTTATGAAACATCTGCAGAATAATTCCAAAGTAACACAAGTACCTTTTTTGCTGTATATATAGATGTTACTTGGCTTTCTGGTCATAAATATGAAACATTTACATTTTATTTAATTGTACATTACAGAAAGGCTGAAGTTACATTGGATGGAGTTTGGCCAACAGATAAAACATCTCGCTGTTTAATAAAGAGCCCAGATCGACTTGCTGATATCAACTACGAGGGAAGATTGGAAGCAGTTTCAAGGAAACAGGGAGCTCAGTTCAAAGAGTACCGTCCTGAAACGGGTTCTTGGGTGTTTAAGGTATAGTTGCTTAATCTTGTTCTCGTAAACTGTAGTTAGAAATTATAAATGGTGTATAGTACATAGTTCTGATTAAACTGTAGCTATGAACTGTGTTAGAAGAGATCTTTTCTTAAATTGTTTTTACAGATTAGGAAAAAGATGTAAAGATTGCTGTAAAGATACACCATAATTTACTTCAAATTACACATCTCATTAAACCCCAAAGCAGTATGGAGCTATTATAAACTTCATCCTATCTTATAACCACTTAGATACACTTCTTTGGTGTGGTTTTTCTAATTTGGGGATAGCAGGCAAAATTTTTGTCTCTTGATAAATCAGTTCTTCTCAAATAATTGTTCTTCTTTTAAAGATTTCTAGGGTGTAGAGGTTGACTTGCTCCGTTCCTTACTAGTTTAGTCCAGTGGATTCTTTCTCTTCTAGACCAGTTGGATTATTTAGCTTGTTGAAGGCCCTTGTGTAGGTCAAGAACAACTAGGCAGTATATATATGTAAAAATAGTAATGGCTGTTTTGGATATTTTTTTCTGCATTAATGTAAAGTTAATAATTATATGAGCAACTAGTACACCCACCAAACACCATCTAAATCTTAGAGGAACAATAAAATGTGGTTAGGTGACATTTCACTGTGCTTTAAATACTTTGATCTCCCTCTCCGTTATTATTTTTTTTAAGCAAATTCTGCAAGATTGCAGCCTTTCTGAATATATCAGTTTTGAAACTGATTTTGTTGGGTTTTTCTCCTCCTTAGGTCTCTCATTTTTCTAAGTATGGCCTTCAGGATTCTGATGAAGAGGAGGAGGAACGGCCTTCCAAAACTAGTACAAAGAAGTTGAAGACTGCCCCTTTACCTCCTGCAGGCCAGGCCACACCATTCCAGATGGCTCTTAATGGCAAACCAGCACCTCCACCCCAGGTAGAGACGGGACAATGAATTTGAATGGAGTCCATGATACAGAAGTTGAAAAAGCAAGTCATTCAGCTAGTACAAAGCTGTTCTATGATCCCTCGAACTTTGAAGAGTACAAATGTATTGGCAGTCACGTTAAGAGAAGTACAAGGGGGAGGGCATGAGGTGGTACTGGCATCTCGTGTTTACTTGAGAGATTTAAAGAATTCTCTTGCTGTTTGGATCATTCCTTCTACAGATTGTCATTCTTAAACACCTCCCTCTCTTTTCATTTGGACTTGCTGAATTTCATGCTCAGTGATCAACTTAAGATAGTATTTTGCTTGTGTGGGTTAATGCAAAGTAAATCCTACTTTTGTTGACTACCTAATGTGCAGTTTAATTTTGTTACCTCCATGGTTTTTTAAAAGTTCAATTAGCTTTCTGCAAGGATTTTTAACTCCATTTTTCTCAAGTTGTTTGCTTATACTTCAGGTAATCTCTTAATATTTGTATTTTAACAATACATAATCTTTATGAAAATACATAAGCTTTACAATATAAGTGAATTACTTGGCTTGGGGAGAGTAGGGGCTGCATTATTTATTGTAATTACTTGTATCATACTCTTACGGTATTGTTAAGCCAGTATAAACCTTTTGTCCTTGTAAGGAAAGGTTTGTAATTTAAGTATCAGGTAGATTCTTTGCTGACTCATAAAAGAGTTTTACTTTCATTTGGATGTTGTTTATATTCAGTCAAGTTACATCATTTTTTTTTTTCTCTGCTGCCATATTCCTTCAAAGAAGAGAATTTGATACAAAATTTCTTTGTAAAGCATCCTCTACCTCTCATCTGCTAAAAGCAGGACCTTTGGAATTTTCCACGCTACAGTTCTTGGCTGCTGAAATGTGCGATTTTTATGATTGATTAAATAATTCATGGGAGGCAACTTTCTTGAGATTTTTGTGTATATATGTTCATGTTTGTGTGTTTGGGGGAGGGGGAGGATATGATATCAGTGGGAAATGGGAATATATGTTGACTTTTATGTTTATAATTATAGCATTTAGAATATCCCTCTATTTAGAATACATCTCTTCCGAACTAGAAAAATGGTGTAAATTAACTCAATTTTCCAGTTACCCACATTCATTTTGTCTGAATCATATGCTTTGTATAATCTCCCTTTCCAACTTGGTTTTTAGTCTTACAGTGTATGTATTTCTTAGGATAAGAATCAGATACCTTTTTCTCCCAATAAAAGTAATATGTAGGGTCCTAAAGATACAGTTAAAAAAGAAGAACTTCATCTTGTGGACATATCACATTTATACATTGTTGGCCATCAGTGATTTTTAGGCTCTTTAACTTCCAGAATACAAATAGTAAATAACTATAAAATCTTGTGATGGCACTGCAGTAGGTTAGAGTCTTAAAAACTGAGCACCAGAAAATTTCAGGAAAACAAGGTTCTAGGACCAAGGGAGGTGGTAAGGATCAAGATGGGAAAAGAGAATATCATGAATAGGTATCTTTTTCAGATAATCTCATTTGATTGAGGAAGTAGATGGTCCTCCTTTTGGATGTGGAAGGGAGAAATGGGTAGACTTGTTTAGATATTTGGGCTAATGTGTTAGAGGAGAAACAGGGAACTCTGGAGAACTTTTTTGTCCTAATGCTTAGTGACCTGCATGATGTTAGGTGAAATGCCAGTGGCTGCGCAGTTTTTAAGTTATTAGCAACAGAAGCTACATTTTACTTGGCATGAGGAAAATAACCTGAGCCATCTGAATAAACTGGAAACAGCAATCTTCTCATCCCAGCATCAAGATGACTGTCTACACTGTCACCCGGCTCCCTGAAGAGATTGATTTCTGTGATACTGTGTTCCTTCAGTCTGTTCTAGCTGTTTTTCTCAGCTGGGGCAAGGGTTGGGTGGTTTCGTAAGGCATTAGGAAGATACCTAGTTTTGTTTAATGATTACATTTATCCTACTATTGTATAATATTCTCAATCCCCTCTTTGTAGTTCATTCTTAAACCCTGCTTTGTTCCTAAAAAAGCAGGTGAATCTAAGCAACCAGAAAACAGACCCTAAACATTAGACCACCAGAGAACTCCCCTTCTATTAAATTAGAGAAAAGGCAGAAAAACCTTAACCACAGATGGATTAGGGCAGTTGTAGAAACATTTGTTGGGTAGTTGGAGCATTTGTTCTAAAATGCTGATCTGAGACGCAGGGTTCAGCTGATTGCATAAGTACCTTGGAGAACTTCGATTCCATGTGTCTGGCATTGGGGCTCAGGCATATTTATATCTTAAATGCTTTCCTCCAGGTGATTGAGATATGTGCAGCCTGGTTTCAAAACTGTCAAAAGACTTCAGATCTTTAGCACTGAGGTAGAGAGAAATAATAGCTTTTTCCTCAGCCTTATACTGCAGTATAACTTGGGTTCAGTCCCGTCAAGGCACACTAGTGGACTTGCTCAGGAACTTAGCATTGTTCACTCAATAAGCATATTCAAATAACTGTAAAAACTGTTTAAAGGGGAAAAAAGGATTAGAATTTAGAAGAAAATTCTGTTTTATCTTGTATTTACTTAAAAAAAAAGAAGTGGCAGCTATCTAAATTTAGCCTGTTGAAGAGGGGAGGTTTCTAAAAATTTGAAAGGTTTCAGTCCTGAAACCTGACCTTCCATGTGTCTAAAGAGAGTCATTTTACAGATGCTGTCTGTTTACTTGGTGTTTGTAATGGGCCTCTCAGCTCCCCACCCCCACACCCTTCTTTCCTGTTTCCCACGTCACCAGTTTGTTATCAGTCTGCTTTTCTTTCTAAGGCTGACTCTGAAGAAGCACCTGATCTCCAAAGATTTCTCAGAAAGTAACATCTTTTGGGATAGTTTATTGCAATTACTTAGATATACTTAAAATTCACACATGAGGGTTCTAGGAGTTTACCAGGTCCTCATAGTTTTAATAGTAATTGACTTCCCCCATCCACTCATTAGATGATATTAGTTTTGAAGTCAGTGCATGAGGATGAAGCAAATAAAACCTTGATTGTATAGCATTCTTAAAGATAGTCTTGAGTCCTTCAGTCTCCAGACTTTGATAAAATCGTACCAGTTTGCTTCTAAAAGTATTCTAAATGAGCACCTCTTTTTATTACTGTTAGTCCTTTGTTGAATAGTATAGTAAATTGAAACTCTCCTCCTCCTCCTCCCTTTCCTGTCATCTATACGTGCTCCTTATCCTTTCGTAGTTACTAGCCTTTTCTCCTGTGTGGCAGGCACTGCATTAAATAACTAAATGTGGTGAATTTAACAATGTGGTTAGTGTTAGATACAGAAAATAGTAAGCTCTATCTGCTTTCAAGTGTTTATAATCTGGTGGGACAAAAATATATACATGAAATTATAACATACATTGTATAAAATAGGTATAGACAAGGTATTATGGGAGCCCAACAGAAAAGAGTATCCTGACATTTTGACAGAGGATGGGGAGTCTTACAACTTTTCTTAAAAGTGAATTGCTTAAAAATGAACATAGCAGGGGGGCATTGGAATGTTCTTCTAATTCCTGTAATTATAATGGGAGGATCACCACCAGGGCTTTTAATTTTTTTTTAGAATTTTAAAGCAACAAAGTAGCTTGCCTGTAGCTTCCCCTATAGGTTAAATATATATATCTATATCACTTTATCTTTTAACCATTTAGCCTCCAGTTTTGTTAGAGCAGTCCTTAGGAATTGTTCACAATTTAAGTAACAATTCACTACATATCCAACACCTCAATTTCTACAGTTATAGATGGCAGTAGTCATTCTTTTAGTAAGGGTATTTGTTAAAGGAATTCAGGGGAGTAATAGATAATATACCATTGAAAATAAAGTTTAAAAAGTTACACTAATGGTCATTTCTTGGTTCAAAGAAATCACAAAACTCTTTTTAACCACCTATTGTATAATTGGATCCATTTGAAGTTTACTGTGAAACAGGCCACTCATGAAAGACAAACCAGAAATTGTGGAAGGTTAGTAATCTACAGATGATATATTATGTAAGAAAAATAGGTAGAACAACTTTTAGCTTTGAGAATGTTTTATAAATTAGCATAGCCATTTGTTAACATTTTACCGGATCATGTGTGAGTTTAGGACATATTTAATGTGAACTTGCACTGAGCCAATTTTACTGTATGTTTCAGCTTTATGAATGTTTACCTTTTCAAACCATAGACTGTTAATCATGACTGTATCTTTAAAACTCCCTAATAATTGTAAATCTAACTCTTGACACATTTAAACATATTTAAACCTTAAAAGAATTATTCCCAGATTAAAATTGTTCCTGGTAGTACTTTGTTTTTTCTTTTGGGAAACACATTCTTCATCTGATAAAATATTCCATGTGATACTGCACAGGTGGATCTAACCTTAGGATTCAGTCTCCCAAAATATAAATTCCAGGCCCAAAATTGTGTTTGTGATAACTAGAAATTTATTTCTAAATGCTTTTAAGAAAATGCAAAGATACTAGAGACTTTGATATTTGTGTCTTTTATTCTCTCTTCCCCATGGCTTCTGGTTGCAAGGCACTGTGAGGTCATGCATGGTAACTCTGTATAAATCAGAAAATTATAGTTGCTAACTAAATCAAGTAAGGCATAATCATAGTCTGAGGTTGACTATTTTTTCAGTATGGGTGCTGGCTTAGGTCCAGGCTCCAGACCATAATATTATGAAAGGGTAATTCTGTGAATCTTCATTTGGATCCCAAGTAATAATAGAGGAGTTTTGGGGAAATTGTTCTTCAATACTCTAGCAAATACATTACCTCACATTATTATAGAATGGGCAGAATCTAATGTTGTTATATCATATTTTGAATAAAGTAAATATGGTCTAGAAGCTCTATGTCTATCTGGTGTCATTTAATGCTGCTTCCCTGATCTTTCTGCTGTCTACAGAGCCAGAGCCCAGAGGTGGAGCAGTTAGGGAGGGTTGTGGAACTGGACAGTGACATGGTAGATATCACCCAGGAGCCAATTTTGGATTCCATGTTAGAAGAGAGCATGCCTGAGGATCAGGAACCCGTGTCCGCCTCAACACACATTGCATCTTCACTGGGAATTAATCCACATGTGTTACAGGTGAAGTCCTAACCCACCCTTATTATAAGAATCCAACTAGTATTCATCTTCCTTTCTTAATACCAGGCCTTTTCTTTCATTAGTCCCTTAAGGCCATTGAACGGTCACTGGAATGAGAAAAAAAAAGGAATATGGCCCATGTTCAGGCATCATTTTGCCATTGGCGGAAGGAAGGCTATATTGAGATTCAGAAGACCTAGATTCTAGGCCCAGTTTCGTAACTATTACTGTGTGACTTTAGGCAAGTCATTTAACATCTGTGAGCACTGATTTTTCTCTATAAAATATTAACTTCATTTACAGAGAGGTTTTGAGGCTCTGGAAAGTGCTCCACAGAAGTGTTTTGTTTTTTTTTAATTGTAGTTAACAAGTTTCTTTAAGCTGTCTCAATTTCTCCTTGCCTGTGCCTTTTGTCATATTATGAATTTAGCCTTTGGCTTATATTTGACTTTAAATTCATTCAGCAAATATGTAAGCTGCTGCTGTGTGCCAGCCTCTGGTAAGACTGTATACAAAGCAGAGAAGTTTTCTATAACTTCTGTCCTTCAGGCACATACAGTATAACAGTCAGTCACACAAATGTTGTACTAGCTCTGGACATGACCTGAGGCAGAGCTTTTTAATTTGTTGTTGTAAGCTACATTTTTCTTTTATGGCCTTTGGATTTGGGGGAGCACATTCATTCTATAGATGTTGCTTTTTTAGATCATGAAAGCATCATTGCTTGCTGATGATGAAGATGTAGATACTGTCCTGGATCAGCGGATCACTCGCCTTCCTTCTAAAGCAGATACTTCTCAAGAAATATGTTCTCCCAGGCTCCCCATCTCAGCAACTCACTCATCAAAACCTCGTTCATTAGGTACTGTAAAAGATGCTCTTTTACAAGAAAGCTGTAAAGTCTCACTTTTCACATATCTTCTAAGCTGAGTCAACTTCTGTAGCAAACAACTCCAAACTACAACCATTGGTGCAGATGCAAAAGTTGTATGGGGAAAAAAAGCATTTGTGTTTTGTTTAGGGGTTTGTTTTTATTTGCTTATGAGTGTGGCTTAGATAGTAAGCTCAGTTCTCCTAATTTTTATCAGACCTTAGAAGAATCAACAAGTTGTTCTGTACTGTGCTCTTTGTGCAATTCTAACACTATCCTTATTGTTTTCTAGGGGCAAATATTGCTTCCTATCATGTACAAAACTTTTCAGATTTATGCTTTCCCCTAAAATTTGCCAAATTTCCAGGAAAGCAATTTCCTATTCTGTTTTAAAGCTTTTCTTATCTCTTCTAGTGGACTTATAATTATGTGGGATTGGAGGTAGAGTATTTATCAATAAAAGAGTTAAGCAGGTATGATTTCAAAACATTTTGAAAGCCAGAGGAACTACCAGGAAGGGATTTGTTATGTTGCCTTAAAAGCTGTTTATTTTTCAGTTCTTTTGAGTACCCTTATTAACTTTCCTTTTAAAAAAAAATGCTTTAATGAAGCATCAGTTAAACATTTATGATCTTTTCCATAATGAACACTACATGAAAATCTCATACTTCAATCAACAATTCCTTGCTTTACAAAACAGGAAGTAGATAAAATTGAAAAACAGGCAAAAGTAACAAAAACTATCCTTCTGAAAGGCATATATGCAATTACAAGATAATCTCAGTGGGTTTGGTTTCTTAATTCTAGCATTGATCACTGGAGTGGTAGGGAGTTTTGATCTTACCAACTTTTTATATTAACTAAAAAGGAAACATTTGCATTTTGATAAGGGCATGAGCATTGGTGTCAGATTTACCTGGGTTTATCTGATAGCATACTGAAAAGCAGAGACATTACTTTGCCAACGAAGGTCTGTCTAGTCAAGGCTATGGTTTTTCCAGTGGTCATGTATGGATGTGAGAGTTGGACTGTGAAGAAAACTGAACACCGAAAAATTGATGCTTTTGAACTGTCGTGTTGGAGAAGACTCTTGAGAGTCCCTTGGACTGCAAGGAGATCCAACCAGTCCATCCTAAAGGAGATCAGTCCTGGGTGTTCATTGGAAGGACTGATGCTGAAGCTGAAACTCCAGTACTTTGGGCAGCTCATGCGAAGAGTAGACTCATTGGCAAAGACCCTGATGCTGGGAGGGATTGGGGGCAGGAGGAGAAAGGGACAACAAAGGATGAGATGGCTGGATGGCATCACCGACTGGATAGACATGAGTTTGAGTAAACTTCAGGAGTTGGTGATGGACAGGGAGGCCTGGTGTGCTGCGATTCATGGGGTCACAAACAGTAAGACACAACTGAGCGACTGAACTGAACTGATCTGTCAGTACTGCCACTTAGTAGCTTTGTGGATTTGGACAAGTCACTTAGCTGAGCCCAGTTTTCTCGTCTATAAAATGAGGACTGCAGTGTTCTTCATTTAAATTTATTGAAGGATGAAATGAAACAGTGTGTACAAATGGATTATATATAGAGTCTGCTTTAGATTTTTTAAATAGTAGCAATAGTGTTGTTATTGTTGTTGACATCATCATTAGAATTCCTGCCTTGATTTCCCATGTGAAAATTATTTCTGCAGTCTGATATAACCTGCTCCTAATCATCTATATCTGATTTAATTATTGATAGAAACTAATTTCAGCCTTGCTGATTGTTATTGTTTAAGAATCAATAGGCTGTATTTTCTAATAGTCTTTTTTTTATCCTTATTTTAGTAAGTGGGTTACTACAATCAAAATTTACAAGTGGAACTTTTCTTTCACCAAGTGCCTCTTTACAAGAATGTCGTACTCCCAGAACATCATCGTTGATGAATATCCCATCCACATCCCCTTGGTCTGTCCCTCCACCCCTGACTTCTGTATTTACAGTGCGCAGCCCAGCCCCTGAATTTCAGTTGAAAACAGTGGGTACACGCAGACAACCAGGCCTAGTCCCTCTTGAAAAGTCTGTCACCTATGGAAAGGGGAAGCTCCTGATGGACATGGCCCTATTTATGGGACGATCATTTCGGGTTGGTTGGGGCCCCAACTGGACGCTTGCTAATAGTGGAGAACAGCTAAGTGGTTCTCTGGAACTGGAAAATCATCAGATTGCTGACTGTATGGAATATGGATTCCTGCCTAATCCAGTAGCTGTTAAATCGTGAGTCACATTTCCTTATGTTTTCTGAGAAAGGCAACGTGGTAGGTGAACAAAAGCTTTTCATCACCAGGAGACACAAGGTCAGGGCTCTACTTTGTGATTTTCTAGATATATTCTTAGCACAGTTTTACTGGCATAATTAAAAATTATGTAATACTTACCTAATGGTAACTATTAATAACAACATTAATAACTCCATTTGTATCATCGAGGTATGAGGAGTATATTGATTCTTACCTAATGGTTAAACTTAAGTTGGAAAAGATAACAGACAGCTAATTGCTGTAGCATTCCTTGAATTCTCATCCTTTTTATCACATTAGTCATTTTTCCATTTTCTCACTTAAGATATTTGTAATTTCTTCATATATAAGGTATATTCTCAATAAAGCACCTTCTCTGTATCTTTGACCTAATAAGGTAAATGTATAAACTGTGGATAATCCTTTATAGTTTGATATTAGGACACAGAATTTCTTTAAGATCACAGTAGAATGTTTGTATCCAATTTTGTAATTAGATAAAAAGGAAGATTTTATTGTAGGAACATTCTGCCATCTGTCTTTATTTTCTGTCTTAATTATTATTTGCCCTTGTAGCTTAACTGAGTCTCCATTCAAAGTTCATTTGGAAAAACTTAGTTTGAGGCAAAAGAAGCTGGACAAAGACCTACAATTATACCAGACATCTCTGGAGCTTAAATTAAAACATAGCACTGTTCATGTGGATGAGCTGTGTCCTCTTATTGTCCCCAATCCGGGAGTTGCTGTCATTCATGACTATGCAGATTGGATTAAGGAAGCATCGGGAGATTTATTGGAACCACAAAGTGAGTATGGACTATGCATCTAACCTTTGATGTCCCAGGAACAGGAGTAGCAGCATATGTTCATAGCAGGATGTATTTCCTTATGCCAGTGTAGTAGGTGGATGCCTGAGCTTGGACTTAGTCTGTAGTTGAGTTGCAATGAACAGAATCTCACACAGGGAGAAATCCTATCATTGTTTATCATCACTTTTACACCCCTGTTCAGAGGAACTGTAGCCAGTTCCTGTCATGAATTTATGAAATTAGATCTCTTACCCCACCCAGAGAACATAGAGTTCCTACCTAAGTCCTACTCATTCTTCTGTGTCCAATTCAAGTCCCACTTGTTCTTCCCAACAGCTTTGGTGATTATGACTTCTCTTCCTGACCTTTCTATTACCTTTCTGTAATGATTGCGACCATGTTTTTCTGAACTTGTACTTTGATTAAGGGCTTTTCTAATTTGGGCACTTAATTTCAAGGAAAATTAGAAAAATTTAACATGTAGAAAAATTACGTTTCACAAATCAGTTCACATCACTTTTATTGCAAAATGGGTACTATTTTAGAATGTTCCATACCACACATTTTGGAACTTGCTTATGTTCATTTCTTTGTGTTTGCTTCAGTTGTCTCATCTCTTCAAAATATGTGAGTCATCATTCCAATGCATACTTGTGAATAGCATAAAGTGGTAAATAGTGCTCCCTTTTTGTTTTCCTTCATCATGGGCAGGATAGCATAGTGATTAGGAATTGGACTCTGATTACTTGAATTTGAATCCTGGCTCTGTTACGTCTTGCCTATAATTTTGAGCAAGTCATTTAAAGTTCCATACCTCAGTTTCCTCATCTGTAAAATGAAGATGGTGGCTATTGTAGTTATATTGTATAGATAGAGTTGGTTTACTCTTAAGAACTTTTGAATAGTATCATTTAGTCTCACTAAATTGTTAGGCTGTAGCAGAGAATAATCCTTCACAAGTTCTTAGAGCACTATCTACTTCTTAATAAAGCATTTGTGAACAAAATTTTATCAAAGCAGAGGATTTTTCTCTATCATTTGAGACTTTATTAGCCATAATTAGGCTAGAGGAGTCTGTTTAAAGGAGCATAGAGTTACATTTGTTTGTAAGTACCATGGGAACATGGAGTAAGCAGGCAGTTATACCATACACCTCTGGAGCTTGTAAGACACAGCCGAATACAGACAGACAAAGCAACTCAAGTCATTGTTGGGGGTATTCATTAAGTGATGTATTTTTAATGCCACAAATAAAGGGATCCCCTGTCTGTAGTTATTGTATGACTTTGTGTCATTGCATTGTTTTCCTGTCCGTTCCTTAGTTGTGAAGCACTGGAGCCTAACATGGACGTTATGCGAAGCTCTGTGGGGCCACCTGAAGGAGCTTGATAGCCAGTTGGATGAGCCCAGTGAATACATTCAGATTCTGGAGCGAAGGAGAGCTTTTTCTCGCTGGCTGTCCAATACTGCCTCACCTCAAATTGAAGAAGAAGTCTCATTGACCCAAAAAGACAACCCTATGGAGGCTGTCTTCAGCTACCTCACTGGCAAGAGGATCAGTGAGGCCTGCTCCCTGGCCCAGCAGTCAGGTAGGACATACAGTCCTCTGCACTTCGGTCTACTTCCTGTTCACTGTCCCTACCCCTTAATTGTGGGTTTGTCCTTTTCTTCTAACCTGAATGTTAAGTATAAACTTCCCAGCAAGATTGCTGGTTTCTCCAAAATAGGTAAGGACTGTGCCTTCTGAGTTTCCTTTTATAACCTTAAATCTTAAATTGTTATTTTAATTTTATATGCTACATATGCATTTGCAGTTAAAGTAGAAAATGCAGATAAGCACAAAGCAGTAAACCAAAATCACCTAAATCCTTTACTGCTATTCACTTCTTTTTTTTTTGTTTTCCCATTTATTTTATTTTATTTTATTTTATTTTTTTCCATTTATTTTTATTAGTTGGGGGCTAATTACTTTACATTATTGCAGTGGTTTTTGTCATACATTGAAATGAATTAGCCATGGATTTACATGTATTCCCCATCCCAGTCCCCCCTCCCACCTCCCTGCTATTCACTTCTAACATTTCAATGTGCAGTTTGTATTTAAAATGTTTACTTTGTAATATATATAAAGTATTTACAAATATGTGCATATAGAGCAACATATGCATGTATTTGTTTTAAAAGATAGTATCCTGTTTTTTATATATATATATTTTCATTATGTTTTTTTTCATGTAATACATTACAAATGTTATATAGATATTATAGTCAAATACTTCTTAATATTCTTTCATACATAAAATGTGCCATGTTAGCAGATTTCTTTTGACATTTAGGTCCCTCTACTGAGCTTCTTAAACGTATATGTTTTGCACTGATTCACTTATTTCATTCAAATAAACACAGAGAAGTTTAATTTTTGGACTTCTCATATATATGTGTGTGTGTGTATTTTTAGTTCCACATTCACTAGTGAGAGGCATTCAGCAAGTAGTTACTAAGTTTCTAGATAAAAATCTTGATAGGATTAAAGGGTGACATAGTTCAGCTTAATATGTATATAATTAGATCCTTGATCAAACTTTATTGAAACCTTGTTTACTGAAGCCAACTAATTGGAGCCATCAACTGGGTTTATTTTCAATTTGTGCCTTAGGTAGTCTTTATGCATTTATACAATAAAAACTTGTCTTCAGGATTGACCTTCTATAAAGTTATAAAGATTATGAACCATTTAAGAGATACACATAGATGTGAGTGGAAGAGGATTGCCGGAAGTCAGGTCCTGAGATTTATTCATTCACAAACTCTACTTTTCCTCCCCTTTTTTTCTTACCCTAAGATTAAGCTTTTGGCAAGGCACTTGTGTTTCAGCTTATTAAAAACTTTTGCTTCACTTCCTGCCTTCACTTTCAATAATTGACAGAGAACTAACTAAACAAAGTAAAGAATAAGGAATTCTTAAAACACTGTCAATAAGCATTATTTCATACCTACTCAACAAGAAGAGACTCCTCAAATTAATAATTTAAGCTTCTATGTTGAGGAATTAGCAAAAGAAGAGCAAATTAAACCCAAAGGTAGAAGAAGGAGGAAATATTAAAGATTAGAACAGAAATCAGTGATAATGAAAACATAGAAACAGTAAGAGGAATTGATAAAACCAAAGTTAGTTTTTTTTAAAGATCAAGAAAGTTTATAGATCTTTAACTACACTGACAGTGAAAAAAAGAGGAAAGATACATTGCCAAAAATAGGAATGGAAGGGTGACCCTCGCTACTACTGAAAAGGAAATGCTATGAGAAATTCTATGTCAACAGATGCAACAACTTGTATGCAATTGAAAATTCCTAGGAAGGTATAATTATCAAAACTCAAGAAAAAGTAGAAAATCTAAATAGATCTGTAAGAAATTGAATTAGTAGTTTGCGATCTTCACTTAGAAAAGCTCAGGCCCAGATGTCTTCCCTGGTGAATACACTTAAGCTTTTAAAAGAAGAAATGATACAAAGGAATTCCCTGGCAGTCCAGTGGTTAGGACTCCAGGCTCTCACTGCCAAGGGCCCAGGTTCAGTCCCTGGTCAGGATACAAGACCCTTCAAGCCATACATTGCTGCAAGAAGAAAGAAAGAATACCAGTATTCTACAGTTGTTCCAGAAAATAGGAGGGAGGACTTTTCACCTCACCTATGGCAACATTATTGTTCTGATATCAAAGCAAATCTACCAAAAAAAACTGCATCTAACATCATACTTAATGTTGAAAAGATGGGATGATTTCACCCTAAGATTGGGGACAGCAGTCACAGCAATGTGGAATCAGCATAACGATGAACATTCACATCAGTGGAACATAAATGAGAATCCAAATATAAAACTTGTGCTTACAGTCAGTTGATTTTTGACAAAAGTGCCAAGATAGTTTAAATGTGAAAAGGACAATCTTTTCAACAAATAATGCTGGAATAGTTGAATGTTCACTTGCAAAAGATGAATTTAGATCCTTACATCATACCATACACTAAAATCAACTTGAAGTTTTCTAGACTCCTTCCATTTGTTCAAGTATATGTTCTTGTCATTAAGGAAAGTCTGTGTGAAAAGTCAAGGATTGGCAGAAGCTAAATTGGTTGATCAAAGCCAAAAGAGATGACCTTAATGATTGAGTCAAGATATGATATACCAGTTTCTTCTCAGAACCTGTCCAGTAGATACACAGAAATAACCTTTTTTCCTTTATTGTGATTCATTTAGAATACTAGCAGCTCATGGTCAAATGGGCTGCAGCATTTACTGTGTGAATCATAGTCCAGTCATGTTTTGGTTACTTGTATACAGGTAATCAGGCTTGGCCTATTAATACATTTCCAGATGTGTTCCTGATGCATGATTTCTTTCCTCCAGGTGTCTCTAGGAAACCCTTTATGATGAGAGCCTTAGTTTCTGGGCAGGACAGTACTTTAGTCATGTAAGCACTGACCCATATCCAAAAACAGAAGGACAAGGAAAAGGAGCATTGACTTTAAGGAGGTCAGTTAGGGCTGAAACAAAGAATTATTCTCTTAATTTATGGTCTAATTCTCTGTGTACTATACAGTCTGTATTTAATTAGGTTAAGCGACTTTGAAGATTTTCTACCTTAGTCAAAAATTTTCTACTCAGTCTTTCAGCACTACTGCCAAAAGCAGTCAGAGGTGTTTCTGGGGGCCAAAAGAAATAAGATAAAGCCCCTAAGTGTTTTTCCAAATCTATAAATTCTTAGCATCACCAAAGAACTTCTGTTTCTCTTGTAGGTGATCATCGTCTTGCTCTTCTTTTATCCCAGTTGGTTGGCAGCCAATCAGTCCGTGAGCTGCTTACTATGCAGCTGGTGGATTGGCATCAACTCCAGGCTGACTGCTTCATCCAGGAGGAGAGACTGCGCATCTTTGCCCTCTTGGCTGGAAAACCGGTATTTTCCTCTTTTCTTGTGAACTCACATAAATTTTCTCATAGATTCAGGATTGCTTGAAGTTAAGGCAAAGAGCTATCTTTTAAGTTGTACATTGTTACCTATAACGAAGCAACTTATATTTAACTTTGAGCAGAAATATTTTCAAATTAGAATGGTACAGTATGTACACTGGGGGGGAAGAAAATACTGGTTGTATAGAAATTAAAATGTTAAAATTTGCCATATCCCCTATCATAGTGATAAACAACATAATTCGTTATCTGTCTTTCTAGACATATTTTAAGTATATTCTGACATATATGCATGCACATTTATACTTGTATACATTTAACTAGAATTATACATAGTTCTGCAACTTTTCTTGGAAACTTGCGAATTTGGACACTTTTTCATGTTGTTTGGCCTCTCTTTTTTTAATAGCCACTTCTCTTTCATTTTATGTATGATGTATCATAATGACTTGAAGCCAGTTTTCTTGCTGCCTACCTGTTTTGCTTGCCATCAGTTTCCAAAAACACAGTCACTGATCAGAATTTATTCACATCTTAAAAAGTTGGCCACTGTGGGCAGTGAGTGGTTCTCATCACTTCTCAGCGCACTTATTGTCTAAATGCCCCCTATTTAGTCCACCCAGTCACCTGCCACCAGGGAACTGTGTAGTTTATATCTGGGCCATTAACACTGCTATTTAAATCATTTAAAATGCAACTTGAATAAGTGAGCAGCATGCAGGCCTGGGCAGTAACAAGATAACATATAATGTAGAGCTGTGGTGGTGATTTTGCCTCCTGTAGGTATGGCAGCTCTCAGAGCAGAAGCAAATCAATGTGTGCTCCCAGTTGGATTGGAAACGCTCCCTGGCTGTCCATCTTTGGTATTTGCTTCCACCAACAGCTTCCATTTCCAAGGCGCTCAGCATGTATGAAGAAGCATTTCAGGTACATGTATCCAGTAGAACCAAGCACGAGTCCTGGTAGGAGTTCTGGTTTTACTAGAAAAGTACTCCAGAGGGGAAAAAACCCCTAACAACTTTTTTGAAATTACTGTAAAATTGTAATGGACACAGGAAATCTGATGGGAAATTTCTTCAAATATTTGCTTCTGTTGTGGCTTAATACAATGAGTTTCCACAGTTTACTATTTTTTTAAAATGATTTTATTATTTTTTGCTACGCTGGATCTTTGTTGCTTCACTCAGGCTTTCTCTAGTTGGGTGAGTGGAGGCTACTCCTTAGTTGCAGTGTGCGGGCTTCTCATTCCAGTGGCTTCTCTTGTGGAACACAGGCTCTAGGGCATGTGAGCTTCAGTAGTTGTGACACACAGGCTCAGCTGCCTCTTGCCATGTGGGATCTTCCTGGACCAAGGATCGAACCAGTGTCTTCTGCCTTGCAAGACAGATTCTTAAACACTGGACCATCAGGGAAGCCCATAATTTATTTTCTTACTGCTGTTTTTCCTGCACCAACATCAGAGGGTTTTTCTTCATTCCTAATGCTGTTTTATTCCTTCGGGAAGTCCCTGAGCTAAAGCCTGACCTTATGTTTAGTATAGCCCCAAGTTAGCACGTCTGAAATTTGCCTCCAAATATCATTAATATTCCATATTCCTTGTCTATTTGGAGGTTAAAGTATTCTTAATGTTTTTAATGCCATTATTTGGTTATTTTCTTACTGTTAATTTTTATTGTCTTTGATATCATTTGCCAGAATTATTTGTCAGGGAAAAAAGAACACTAAAAAAAAACTGAGTGTAATGAAGTTTAAAATCCTTGAAACAATCCTTTAGCGGATGTCACACCATTCTTAATACACATCTGAGTAACTGAGACATAATATAATCTAGTGAAACATACTTGCAGCTGATGTATTATTGTTTTATCAAATTCTTAACTTCAGAATACCTCTGAGGGTGACAGATACGCCTGCTGTCCACTTCCCTCATACCTGGAGGGCTCTGGATATGTGGTAGAGGAGGAGCAAGACTCACAGAGACCTCTTCAAGATGTCTGCTTTCACCTTCTAAAACTCTACAGTGACAGGTAAATCAGTCATGTGTTATAATCACTTGAGGGCTCCATGAACCTTAGGGAGTTCTTTCCCTTTTATATGTGGTCACATTGTCATGAGATTATATTAATCACAAAATAAAACCATAATGGAGTTCAAAGAGCATGGGAACTAGAACTAGACATCTAAAAATTTACATTTTAAATCAATTATATTTTAATAAGAATTTTAAAACAAAATTACTTTAATCAACTTCAGATAATAAAGCGTGTGGTTTGATATTTTTTAATGTAATGTAACTACTGTCACTATCTGGATAGCATTTACATTACCCTCCAAAAGTTCCCTCATGTCCCTTTGCAGTCAGTCTACACCCCAGACAACTACTGACTTTTCATTATTGTAGATTACTTTTGCTATTACAGAATTTTATATAATTCTGTATGTTATCTTTTGTGCCTGCTTTTTTTTTTTAACCCAACATGGTGATTTTGAGATTTATCCATGTTAATATGTATATCAGAAATTTAATTTTTATTCATTTGTTAGTGAACAGTTTTTTTTGTCTTAGAATATTAAGAATAAAGCTGCTGTGACCACTTGTATCTAAAAGTCCCATCAAGATCTATAATTGCTCCAAATCCTCCTCAAAATTTGTTATTATTGGCTTTGGGCATATAGTGGTGTCTCATTTTTGTGTGCTTAATAAGAAATTAATATATTAACATGTTATTATATCTAAACTATCTCAGAGCTGTCTTTTTACCTTACATCAGACTGAGCAGTTTTCTCCATTCAGAAGTAGTAGCTCACATCTCACTTCAGTTCTTTAAATACTTTCTTTTAAATTAACTATACTAATTCTAGAATAATAGTCTCTTATTGTGGTAAAATACACATAACTAAAATTGTGTTTTAATTTGCATTTCCCTAATATCTAATGATGGCAAGCTGTTTATCATGTGTTTATTTACGATCTACGTATCTTCCTGTCTGTTGAAATCTTTTGTGCTCCCCCCCACACTTTAATGGGCATTTCTAATAGTTCTTTTTTATGTTGTAATAGTTTTTTTTCTTGAGTCAGTTTTGTTAATTTGTTTCTCCAAAGGAATTTTTTAAAAAACCTTTACCAAATGTCATCATGGATATGGAGCAATTGAAATTCTCAACACTGCTGGGGAAAAAATGTAAATAATACTGGCCCTTGGGGAAAGAGTTTGGCAGCTAAAAAAAAGTTAAACATAATACCTACATACGTATGATTCAGTCATTCTGTGCCTACGTATTTACCTTACATGAGAGCAATGAAAATGTACGTCTGTATGTGTTGGTAGCAGTTTTATTTGTAAAGGTTCAAAACAGGAAACAGCCCAAATTTCCATCAATAGGTGATTGATAAGCCAAAATTGTGGTACATCTCTACAATGGAATACTATCTCACCAGTAACTTTTGATAACATGCAACAGCATGGCGAATTATAAAGTACTTTTACTTAGTTTTGAAGAGATGAGACAAAAAAATAATTACTTCCCCAAAATATACCTACTGTTTGATTTCAATTTATATAAAACTGTAAAATGCAAACTAATCTGTAATAATAGAGGAATCAGTTGTTGCCCGGGAAGAGTAGGTGTAGGGATAGGCAAGAGAGAGGAATCACACAGGGGTTTCTGGAACCTTTAGGAGGTGATGGGTAAGCTTGTTATCTTGATCTTGGTGGTAGTTTCACAGGTGTATATATGTGTTTGAACTTGGCAAAAATTGTACCTTCTAAACATGTATAGTTATTGTATGTCACCTCTTTTACTGTCCAAAAAAAAGAGGAAGAAAAGCATATATCTCAAGGTGCCACTGTCAAAAAAGAAAAAAGAGGAAGAAAAGCATATATCTCAATGTGCCAGAAACAGAAACCAAAGCCAGACTGAGATAGTAAAGCCTTCTTAGTTTAATTACTCATTTGCAATAGCCATGTTTCAAAGTGTTTAATAGCCACACGTGGCTGTGCCTATCTTATTGGTCAAAGCAGATTATAGAACATTTCCATTGTCACACAAAGTTCAGTTTGACAGTACTGGGCAAGAAAAACTACTCATTATTTGGTGAGGTGTAGATACTTGTAAAGTGTCTGGGATCATAGGTAAAACGGAAACACTTTGGTTGGTAAACCAACCCCAGATCTTTAAAGCTTGTGGGTGTGGGTCTTACTATTCTTACGGTCTGGGATTTGGAAGTTAAGGACATCACACACAAACTGGTCCAGAATCATTGAGATCCCTGGGCCCCCTGCAGAAGAAAAATCAAAAGCCTTAAGGAGACTTTCAAACCTTGGGGGTACTTGGATTTCTGTAAAAAGAATAATAACAACTGTAAGCAAAAGGAGGAAATAACTGTCATAACCATCATTAAGACTAGTCAGGTGTTCAGTCACCTAGTCACTAGTCAGGTGAAGTAGCACTTCAGCAACTTCAGACAGTAGAACAATGTGAAAGATACTAAGGAAACTTACTTTTTTTTAATGGTTAAGGAAAAGACACTATAATAATGAAAGGGTGAAAGTTGTGAAGACTTCCTGTACCAGGAAGGTAAAAATAGACCAAAGAAATGCCAGCAGACTTGTTAGAAGAGCCTGAGAAGGGAAGTTCCTTGGTTTTTGGTAGGATCTGTAATCTGGCTAAACCTAGAGGAGGAAGACTATAAGGCTTATGATGCTTCTGCTCTAGGGTACTTGCCTTTATTGTTTTCTAAGCTGTGACTGAAAGAGTTAACCTATCCAGTGCAGGTGGTCTGCCGACTGGGTTTGGTAACTCAGCACATTCTCCTTTGCAGACATTATGACCTCAACCAGCTGCTGGAGCCTCGAAGCATAACTGCAGATCCTTTGGACTATCGCCTAAGCTGGCACTTGTGGGAGGTGCTACGGGCTCTTAACTATACCCATCTGTCAGAGCAGTGTGAGGGTGTGCTGCAGGCCAGTTATGCTGGCCAACTGGAGAGTGAGGGCCTTTGGGAGTGGGCCATCTTTGTCCTCCTGCACATTGACAACTCAAGGTGAGTGAGAAGCCATCAGATGCACTGGGTGTCTCTAGCCCTGCAGGGCAACAAAGGAATCAGTCTAAACACCTATTAAGTTGGTATGGGAAATAATTAAGTGGAAAGAAGGCTATCCCTGGGTGGGAAAATCCCATTGACTTAAGCGCAAAGTCTTTGAATGTGGTATGTTTAGAATTATGCAGAAATAATGCTGGCTGCATTGCTTCAGTGGATCCTTAAAGGTTGGCAACGAGTACCCATTCTTTGTCTCTGTCCACTGGCTTTCTCCCTCCCCTTGCCATCCTTTCCTCAAGTTTGATAGTGTTATGTTTACCTGTTTACCAATACAATCTTGCCCAGATGCATAATGTTTTGGTTCTCTGTCCTGAATGAAAACCAGAGAAACACCTTTACTTCCTGCTGTTAACTGTACAAAGCCAGAGGTTTTTTGTTATTCGTAGTGGCATGGCATATTACTAAGAACAGAAACACTTAACACAATGCTTCGTTATATAATTTATATAATGCTTTTATATATCTTTATATTATGTTGTAAGTACTTTGAATATATTGTTTAATGGTGATAATGAACCTATAAGATAGACATTCTTATTGTCTGTTTATAGATGAGCAGCTCAAGGCATAGAGAGATTAGATAACTTTTGTTCAAGATCACATAGCTAGTAAATAGCAAAGTGAGGCTTTCAACTCAAGATACCCAGGGTCTGTGCTCTTAATCATTTGTACTATACTATCTGTCATGCCGTAGGGCATGGAAAGAAGTTGTTTTGTAGTCAGACCTTTATAAATTCTGGCTCCACCATGTACTCACTTTGACCTAGGGTAAAGCTTACTCATTTTTGACTTAGAGTCAAGATAGTTTCTAGGCCTCAGTTTTTTAAATCTGTAAAATCATAATATTGCTAATCTCTTTTCAAAGGTGACTATGAAATTAAAAGAGTGAAAATATAAAGCATCCCGCACAACCTCCCTTTAAGGAATTTCTCTTTCCTCTTCCTTCTTACCGGGAGGCAAAATGATCCCAGAATTTCCCTCTGAGTTTATTTAAATACACTCTTGGAGAACTTCACATGGTAAAAGGCTGGCTGATGGGATTATTGATGACTGGCTGTGGGAAAGCAGATCCTGTTTCCTAAAGAGGAGGGAAAAAGGAGGCAGCTGTCCAGAGACTGGGAGTTCTTTAAAAAGCCTAGGCGTAGACAAAAGAATCTAAGATGAGAAGAGCTCTGATCTGAAATTAAAATCAGAGATCCTTTTGGCCCAGACAAAGAAGAAATCTCTTTAAGTGGACTTAAGGGCAGAAAGAGTGAGTTTAGCCTAAGTCTAGGAGTAAGAGAAAATGAATTAGGAAGGCTGATGGCTATAAGGGAAAAAACAGGACCTGGAAGGGACTTTACATTTTAAAACTACCAACTTTGTTTACTTACACTGACCATGTGGGAGAAAGCGCAGAGAGGAGGTTGGGAATGAACTGCAGAGGACTGACTGCTCAGTGGGTCCAGAATTCCCCTATCTCATCCTTCATCTCCTTTTACTAGAAAGGAAACAAAGAAATGAGCCTGCTGGGATGAACACACAAACACACACACTCTCTCTCTCTACTGTATATAAGATGGATAAGCAACAAGGAACTGCTGTATAGTACAGTGAACTCTGCTCACTATTCTGTGATAGCCTATATGAGAAAAATTAAAAAAGAATGAACATATGTGCATGTATAATTGAATCATTTTGCTGTACACCATTGTATAGCAAACATTGTACAACATCAACTATATTCCAATATAGTTAGAAAAGAGAAATGAGCCAGTGAGGACAAAGCCTTTTGGGGGCAGTGGGCAACCTTCCCAAGAATATTCATCCTCAGACTGTTTTGACCATGAAAATACAATGTGCTTCTGTTCTATTTCATTTTAAAAAGTAATGCTGGTATGTCCTCTTAAGTGAAGCTTGAGGTGATCCTCTTGCGGTCAGGATCTGCAGTTTAGGAGACTGCCCCAGGGGGCCACTCTGAGCCTCCTGAGGCAGCCTTCTCCATCGGTAAGGATGAGACTTATCCCAGCTGACCTTTCCTCCTATAGCACGCGGGAGAAGGCCGTTCGAGAGCTGCTTACCCGGCACTGCCAGCTGTTGGAGACGCCTGAATCTTGGGCTAAGGAGACCTTCCTGACCGAGAAGCTTTGTGTGCCCGCTGAATGGATTCATGAGGCCAAAGCTGTGCGAGCACACGTGGAATCCGACAAGCACCTGGAGGCCCTCTATTTATTTAAAGCAGGACACTGGAACAGGTGCCATAAACTCATCATCCGGCACTTAGCTTCCGGTGAGTGCTTCAGACGAGGGCCTGTGTCTCCTGGAATCGCCCCCAATTCTTCAAACCTCTGAGCCCATGATAAGTCAAGCCAGGGACAGTGATCAGTACAGAGCATGGCAGACTTGAATCAGATCACACTTTATAAAAGCTCCCTGTGCAAAAGATGCTTAGTGAGGGTGAGGGGCAGAGGTCAACAGCAGTATCTGTTACATCCCCATCTGCCAGGAATATTCTTGATGTACACTAACTGCGTTAAGCTCATTGTTTAGGGAGTTTCAATCAGCAACACCAGAGAGAGCTATTTGGGAAACTGAGCCAGAAATTCTTCACAGTTTCTTTAAGAGAATTTTGAAATATCTACTCAAGTCTGACCCAACATAATTTTCCTTTTTTATCCTGTCTTGGAATTCTGCCATCTCCTTCCTCTGTACACTTTTGGTCAATATTTTGTTTCTTCAGATGCCATTATTAATGAGAACTATGACTACCTGAAGGGGTTCTTGGAAGACCTGGCACCTCTGGAGCGCAGTGGCCTAATCCAGGACTGGGAAACATCCGGGCTTGTTTACCTGGACTACATTCGGGTCATTGAAATGCTCCGTCATATACAGCAGGTACTGAGCTCCTTAAACCATGGCCTGGTTTTCTTTTTCCTTAGCCCATAAAGCCATAGAGACAGCCAGAGGCTTGAGCAAGAACTCGAAAAATTCACTGTCAGTGCAGGAGGGGTGTTTTGATGAAGCAGATTTGATGTAGCTATTATGACAACTCTGTCAAAACTTGAAACATTTTTTTGTGGCTTATTGCCAAATAGTGTGTAGTGGACATGCCTAAGACTTGTCCTTAGTCAGTCCTCTCCCCTTGTCCTCCCCTTTTCCACTAGTTTTAAGTGAGAAGCTTTGGGTTGAGAGATCCAGTAAAGATCAGAGATTTAGTGTAGATAATTTTTTCACATAATATTTGACATGTTTTAAATTGAAAGTGTTATGGGGGCATTCTGGTGACACCTATGAATGGATCTCTAATGTTTTTAAATGCGTAAGATATATAGGATTACAAAAGAAAGCGATTATATTAAGATACAATTATCAAAATATTAAAAACTTGTGCTATGTAATAAGTGCTTATTAACATCCTAAATAAGAAACTCTAGCACTGTAACTTTGAAATACTTAAAGCTGTAATACCAGGGAAGCCCATGGTGTGCCTGCCAATGCAGGAGACGTGGGTTTGATCCCTGGGTTGGGAAGATCCCCTAGAGGGGGAAGTGGCAACCCACTCCAGTATTCTTGCCTGGGAAATCCCATGGATAGAGGAGCCTGGTGGGCTACAGTCCATGGGGTCAGAGAAGTCAGACATGACTTAGCAATTAAACAACAACTGTAATGTGATAGGAAAGGAAGTGATTTCTGTCGATAACAAAGTCACAGTTCCCTTGATATCTACATTAATAATCAAGTGCTAATTCTTAGTTGGGAGTCAGAAGACCTAAATTAAGTGCTAGTTTGGGCTCCACCTCTCACTGTTGTGCTCTTAAGTCAATACCATGTCTCTGACCCAGATTTATATAGATTTTTGGTGCTGTGTTGAAGCTTGCTAATTACATGGTTCATGAATGGTGATTTCACAACTTGCCGAGTCCTAGGCCCTGTACACTATATTGCTTTCCTGTTGTGTATTGCTAAGATCCTGTCTTGTCTTCAGCAACTAGGCTAGATGGTGGGAACATGACATTGCCAGCCAGCTGCTTGGGTTTTCCCCCCCTCACCTCACTGTCATTTCAGAGGTTTGCATAGCCAGTCTATGGATAGGATTGGAGTGATGGGAGTTCCTCTTGGCCTAATTGGTTTCCCTGCTTCTTTGTAGGTGGATTGCTCAGGTTATGAACTTGAGCAGTTGCACACCAAAGTGACCTCACTGTGCAACAGGATAGAGCAAATCCAGTGTTACAATGCCAAGGACCGCCTGGCTCAGTCAGGTCAGCCTCTCACCTTCTCTCCCTTCCTGCCTGCTCACTGCCTGTCTTTGTGATTATTATACCCCTGCCTCACCCCCTTGTTTGATGCTCACTCTGTTCTCTTCTCCAGACATGGCCAAACGTGTAGCCAACCTGCTGCGGGTGGTACTGAGCCTTCAGCATGCCCCTGATGCAACCTCCGACTCAACGCCAGACCCTCAGCGAGTCCCTCTGCGCCTGTTGGCTCCCCACATTGGCCGACTCCCCATGCCTGAGGACTATGCCTTGGAGGAACTGCGCAGCCTCACACAGTCCTACCTGCGGGAACTGACTGTCGGGAGCCAGTGAGCCTTGGGCTCCTCCCACCACACTCACATGCTTGTTCACACTCACCACACAGAGGGCTCCTGCATCGAGTTGATTGCCCTGTTTGCCATTCTTTGGCTTGGCTGTGGAATCTTCCCTCCCTTCCTGCTGCCCAAGCAGCAACCTCCAGTTGTTCAGGGCTTTCATAATACTAAAGCATAAGGGCTTTTGGAACCCCCAAAAAAGGAGCCAAGTCTCTTTTTACCATCCTCAAGAGCCATTCTTTTTTTTTTTTTTCCTTTTTAGAAATGGTCAATAAAGCACCTTTGGCAGTATTCCCCAAAGAACCAGGGAATGCTTTTCCTTTCTCAGCCATTCTGAATCTTGTGACTCAATGCCAGCCTGCTACCCTGCTCCTACTCCTGCCCTTTTATCCTCAGACTCTTTAGAAGGAGTGGGGCGGGTGCTGGGACAATATGTGTTGATCTAGGACCTTCCTTAACAAGTGAACTATCCACAGAAGGAAGAGTATCTGTCTCTGGAGTAGGTTGATGATTTGCATGACTTTTGGAATCAGGAGAGGGTTGAACTGAGGAAGCAGAACAGGGTCTTTCTGACTCATTTAAGGTAGAAGTGAGTGCCTGCTAGGGAGCTGTGGGGCTTCAAGGCTTGATTGTTCTTCCTGCCTTGAATGTTTCGCGAACACCACAACTTCCCTGTGCAGGAGCCCTTGGTCTCAGACTCCATGTCTCTGGGAAACTCCCAGAACTCATTATGGTGCCTGGTTTTCAGTCATCTGGCAAGGCCTCCTGCCTGGATTTGCCTGAAGAGTTTCAGTGAAACATGGTAGATCGGGTAGCTCTCCCTGTCCCTCCCATTCTAGCCCAAAGGGTTTCCCACCCTCCATCTACAGTCCCAGAAGGTAAAGCCCTCACTGAGGCAAGCAAGAAGCTGAACTTCAGGGACAGGCAGAGGGCCTTCGCTACACTGTAGCCAGCTATGGGGAGCCCCAGGTAACCACCGGAGACTGCTGGTGTATGGGCTATCACGGGCAACATGGCCACACCTGGGTCTTTATGCATGAAGATTATGTAAAGGTTTTTATTAAAAAGTATATATATATATATATATATATATATAAACAATCTAGATTATTTTCCTCTTTTTCTGAAGCTACTTTCTTAAATAAAATGAAATGTTTATAGCATACCTGGTATTGGCTTTCTTTTGTGTTTTCAAGCTTTGTTGTCCCAAGGAGCTTTATGATGGCCTTGTTTAATTTGCAGTCTAAAGGGGGAGACAGACCATGGGTTAATGAGAGAATAGTTGCAGACTAGATCAAAGGCTAGGTTTATAAGGGTCCATTTGGGGGTGAGGGGGTTGAGACTGATGAATCCTGACTGCTGTACATTTATTTATTTATATGTGTTTGGACTCCCAATGGGAGAATGGGGCAGGGTTTCAAATTGCCCAGTGGAATATACTTAGTACTCAAATCCTCTTTGCTCTTCTTCTCTGGGGTTTTTTAAACCTTGGCACTTCACCTCTGTTTCCAGTGTGTAAAGGAGATAATGATCCCTTATATGCTGCTTCACAGGGCTGTTCTTGAGAGGGACCAAATGAGGCTGATGAGTAGTAAGTAGGTTGGTGGGTTGGTTCTGTTATTGAAGTATAAGCAATTTCCAGTTAGGATTAGGCCAAAGACTTCTGGGACGCTGAGGAGATGAGAAAGCTGAGTAGATCTTCCAGGTAGCTGGGGCTTCCCTTTCATTTGGGCCCCTGAGGACAAGGGTTACTCAGCTGGGAATCTCCCTCCGTCACTGACTGCTGCCCTTCTGGCAAAGAATTTGTTCTGTTTCCTCACCAGAGGTGTTCTGTGAATAGTCAATGCTCTAAAAGTGCTTAGTCTTTAGAAGTGTTAAACTGAATATGGGCAGTATTTCCTCTTAGGACAGGTTTTTCCTTTTTTAAAAAAAAAAAAAACCACCTCTAAATCAAATATTTATACTGCAGCTCTGCTGCATCACAGAGAATAGACTCGCAGTTCAAAGCACATGATAAAGATGAACAATGCTTCCCTGGTGACTCAGTGGTAAAGAATCTGCCTGCCAGTGCACAGGTTCGATCCCTGATCTGGGAAGATCCCACATGGCACAGAGCAACCAAGTGTGTGTGCCACAACTATTGAGCCTGTGTGCTGGAGCCCCAGAGCTGCAACTTCTGAAACCCGAGTGCCCTAGAGCTCGTGCTTCACAAGACAAGCCACCACAATAAAAAGCCCACACACCACAGCTAGAGAGTAGCCCATCTCGCCGCAGCATCAGAGACCCAGCACAGATAAAAAATTTTTTTAAAAAGATGAACACTCTCTAATACATTTCAAACTACATTGAAATATGTTTAAAAATTTAAATTTCTCAAAAATATAAAAATAAGAATTGTCTCAAAACCCAACAGAGCTGTGGAATCCACAAACTCATACAAAGTGCAAAATAAGTATTTCCTCAGCACAATGCTGGAATAATGCCAAAATAATGTTAACAGAAGCCCGGAGATTAAATGCAGCCATCATCAGAGCCAACATCTTTTTTAGATGTTTACTCTGACTCATTTTGTTAATTTTGTATTTCTAGAAAATTATTTCAGATTTTTTTATTTGTTGTCTCTTAACCAGTTCTCAGACTTAATGGTTTTACTGGAGTTCTACATTGTAATATATTAACTTCTGCTTGAAAAATTCATTTCCCATGCTTTCCTAAGGGTTTTTAAAAAATCTTACTGTAGAAATTTTCACCCATACAAAGTAAAATGATGTCTTAATTTAATCTTAATCTTTACCCCAATTCTTATTCCTACCCACCCCAATAGCATTTCTAAGGGAGATCATCATTTCATCAATACAAAAGCATTCCTACCATAAATTTTTATAAATATAATCACAATACCATTGTCATACCTAACAACAATAATTCCTGAATATTAACTAATATTCTTTGCATTTTCAAACTTCCCCAGTTGTCTCAGAAATTAAATTTTACTACAGTTGATTTGATTGAATCAGGATCTAAACAGGGCCCACATTTGGTTAAGTTCTTTTTAAAATGCCCTTTATTTGATGCAGTACCTGAGACGTTCGTCGTTTAGCACAGAGGGCTGGGGCTTTTAGATTTGACTGACTGTGCCTCTAACCTCCCTTACTTGGTACATACCACTGGTTAGATCTAGAGACTTGATTAGACTCATGGTCCTTCTCATTAGTGGTGCTGTTTTTCATCACTTGGGAAGAGACTATCTTGCTGTCCTACTTTTAGTGATGTTAAGATTGTTGACTCAGTTGTTACCAGCCTCATTTATCCTTTATAAAGTTTCCATCAAGCTTCCACCTAATAATCATGACCAAAATTCAGTTTCATTATGGCACAGTCTTTATTTTTTTATATATGAGTCAGTATTTTCAAAAGTGAAAGTGAAAGTCGCTCAGTCATGGACTATATAGAGTTCTCCAGGCCAGAATACTGCAGTGGGTTGCCTTTCCCTTCTCAAGGGTGTCTTCCCAACCCAGGGGTTGAACCCAGGTCTCCCACATTGCAGGCAGATTCTTTACCAGCTGAGCCACAAGGGAAGCCCAACAATACTAGAGTGGGTAGCCTATCCCTTCTCCAGTGAATCTTGCCAATCCAGGAATTGAACCAGGGTTTCCTGCATTGCAGGTGGATTCTTTACCAACTGAGCTATCAGGGAAGCCCAGTATTTTCAAAATAGAGGCTTAAATCATTTATTGTTCAGGTGTTTTTCTTTTGTTTCCATAATGGCTTTTTAAAAGTTACCAATTTTTAGAATTATTTTTTCAAATTGGCATTTTCACCCCAAAACACTATATATAAGAAATATTTCAACTTTTTCAGTTAAACATACCAATTTTTCTATAACTGATTCAATTTATACATGTGCTATTTCCATGTGTTTTGAAGCACTCTTGAATTTAGCCTTTATTTTGCTCTAAAGGTATTCTGCTGCAAAATGTTATTTTTAAGTGTAATTTGAGTGTAAGACAACCTTGTGCCCCCAAAAGGTTGAATAACTGCTGATGAAAATGGTACAGAAAGAACAATGCATCTTTTACCCCACACCCATCCCTACACCATCTACCACTCACTCTTGTGTCCTGCTGTCCACCTTTGTTTTTGTTTTGTTTGTTTTGGCCCCACCAGGGATCAAACCCATGCCCCTTGCACTGGAAACATGGAATCCTAAACACTGGACCCCCAGGAAACTCTCATTGTCTCCCCCTTTGGCAAGTACAATAATCCTGGATTTTATTAATTATGTACAAACTATTTTTTAAATTATTATATGAGGAAATTCACTTGGTGTGCAATTGTTAATTTTAACACATACAGATTTGTATAACCACCCCACAGTCAAGATACAAAATGTTTCATTACCCCAAAATCTTCCTTCTATCTCTTTACAGTGACCCTCTTCCTAGCTCTTATTCCTGGCAACCTGTTCTCCTTCCCTATAGTTTTGTTTTTATACAATGTAATGTAAATGGACTCATACAATATGTGGGGTTTTTTTGGTATCAATTTCTTTCACTTAGTATAATATTTGCAGGGTTCATCTGTATTATGTTGTTGTTGTTTAGTCTCTACATCATGTCCAACTCTTTTGTGATCCCATGGACTGTAACCCACCAGGCTCCTCTGTCCGTGGTATTTCCCAGGCAAGAAAGAAAACTGGAGTGGGTTGCCATTTCCTTCTCCAGGGGATCTTCCCAACCCAAGGATCAAACCTGAGTCTCCTTCACTGGCAGGTGGATTCTTTACCACTGAGCCACCACGGGGATCCCCATCTGATAGCATATATTAGTACTTCATCCCTTTTTAAAAAGAAAAGTTTTATTAAGATTTTATTTTTTTAGAGCAGTTTTGGATTCACAGCAAAACTGGGTGGAAAGCACAGATATTCCCCCAAAACCCCTTGCCCCAGCACATGCATAGTTTCCCCCGGTAGCATTGTGTTACATTTGATGAACCTACGTTGAGTGCATCTCAAAGTGCATAGTTTACTTTACATGTGATGAAGCTTAGTGTTGTCAGTCTATGGGTTTAGACAAATGTATAAAGACATGTATCCATCATTATGGTATAGAGAGTCTTCACCATATATAGCGTATAGAGAATCTTTTCACTGCTCTAAAAATTCTGAGTCTTCTCCCGTAGTCTCCTGAAACTCCTGCCAACTACTGAACTTCCCACTATCTTCATAATTTTGCCTTTTTCAGAATGTCATATAGTTGGAATCATATAGGATGGAGCTCTTTCAAACTGGCTTCTTTCACTTATTAACATGCATTTAAGGTTCCTCCATATCTTTTCATAGCTTAATAGCTCATTTCTTCTTAGCAATAAATACTAAATATTCTATTGTTTGGCTTTACCAGTTTTTTTATTCACTCACTGAAGAACATTTTGTTTGTTTATAGGTTTGGCAATTATGCATAGAGCTGCTATAAACATTCATGCATGAACTTTGTGACCATAAAAGTTGTTACTTCTCTAGGCACTGGATTCCTGGGTCATATGGCTAAGCATATGCATAACATTCCAAAAAACTGCCAGACCATTTTCCATGGCTGTGCCATTTCTGAATTCTCAGAAACCATATATGAAAGTTGCAGTAGCTTCACAACCTCTCCAGCAATTGGCATGGTTAATATTTTTATTTTAGCTATTCTAATAAATATGGAGTATCTCACTGATATTTTAATTTGAATGTCTCTAATATATAATTATGTTCACCACTTTTCATGTGTTTATTGGCAGTTCTTATCTTTTGTTTAAATGCCCAAATTCCTTTGCTCAGTTTTTTTTTCTTTTGTGTGTTCTTGTGTTGTTTTTAAATTTTTTGCTCATTTAAAAATTTGATATGGTTTATTATTGTTCAGTTTTGAGAAATTTTTATAGGTTCTGGATACAAGTCCTTTGTTGACTATGTGATTTGTAAATATTTTCTTCCAATCTCTAGCTTGTCTTTTCATTCTCTTAATAGTGTTACAACCGCTGCCTTTTAATTAGTGTATTTAGGCCATTTACTTTAATGTAAATATTGGTAAGTTGACTTTAAGTTTGTGAAGTGAAAGTCGCTCAGTCGTGTCTGACTCTTTGTGACCCCATGGAATTCTCTAGGCCAGAATACTGGAGTGGGTAGCCAGCCTTTCCCTTCTCCTGGGGATCTTCCCAACCCAGGGATCAAACCCAGGTCTCCTGCATTGCAGGCAGATTCTTTACCAGCGGAGCCACAAGGGAAATCCAGGAATACTGGAGTGGGTAGCCTATCCCTTCGCCAGTGGATCTTTCCAACCTAGGAATCGAACTGGAGTCTCCTGAATTGCAGGCAGATTCTTAACCAACTGAGCTATCAGAGAAGCCGACTTTAACACTTTATTATTTGTTTTCTGTTTGTTTCCTGATTTTGATTCCTCTCTTTCTCCTCTCATCTCTCATTTCTTTAGTGCTGGGTCTCCCCATGCTTTCTAGTTTCTCTTTCTGAGACTCCAATTAAATATATATTTAACACATTCTTTCACATTCTTTCCTGTTTCCTAAACTCATTTTCTTTTTGTCTCCCTGTGTTGTATTTTGGTAGTTTCTTCATCTGTCTCTGAGTTCATTAATTGCCTCTTCATCTGTGTCTGATATATTAATTTTAATAAATTAATAAAAATTAAATTAATTAAATATATATTTAATAGGGAGTCTCAGAAAGAGAAACTAGGAAGAATGGGGACAGAAATCTACCTTCTCATTCTTAAATACTGTTCATTCTTGATAGTCCACTTGCTCTTTCATTTTTCAATCTTCATTTATTTCTTAAATCATATTACACATACTTCAGTGTTATTTTTAAAGTCACTCAGTGGTGCCTGACTTTGTGACCTCATGGACTGTAGCCCACCAGTCTCCTCTGTCCATGGGGAATTAGATTTGACATACCACAACTAAGAAAGATGTGGCATGCCTCAACTAAGACTTGGGTGCAGTCAGATAAATAAGTAAGTATTTTTTATAAAAAAGAGCTCAGTGAAGATGACAGAGCTGTAGGGACAGTTGCCATCCACAGGCCCTGTCCCCTCACACCTCTAAGCCCCAGTCTCCTGCAGATTCTGACCCTGGAATCTCCAACCCCCTCAAGTTGGGCCTGAGCTAAGCCTGAGTGCTACCTTACAGAATTTGAATAATTCAGGACCCAGTGACCTGAGGTGTCAGTTTCAGTTGCTCTGTTTCCATGGACACAGGTGTCCTAACTCTGTAATTAAGCTAATAAAAGGAAAAGGGGGCCGGGCCTGCTGTCCTGTGCCTCAGAGGGACAGAGTCCTGGCCCCCCGAACTGCTGAGAATACACCAGGCTCACCCAGAGTCAGGTGAGGGGAAGGCCTTAAGGAAGTCCAGGGGGCTGAAACAGAGGTAGGAGAAAAGAAGAGAGTGGAAAGAGGAAGACCAGGGTCAGGGAGGGAGGCAGAGACCAAGAAGGAGTTATAGAGGGACGGAGAGCAGGAAATAGAGAGACGGGTTAGGGGCAGAGAACAGGGCAGAGGCCAGGAGAGGCAAAGACCAGCAGACAAGGAGAAACAGTAGATGCCAAGCCCTAAGTACTTAATTCCAGGGCAGGTACAAATAGGAGGGTGCGGTAGCTGGAAGGGCTGCAGGGCTCCCTGGAGGTTAACGGGACCCAACAGAGGCCCCGGTCTTCCTTCTGACTTCCAGGGATTGTCCACACCACCCTTGCCAGCAGGGCCTGGCGCTGCCACAGGTCAGGCCAGGAGGCTCACTCCCAGAGATCTGCCCCTCCTCTGGCTGTGGCAAGGCCATGGGCCCCGGGAGCCACCACCTCAGCCTCGGCCCCTCTGTCTCCAGCCTGGGCCTTCTGCTCCTGTTCCCACTCCTTCCAGGTATGAAGCTCAGTAGACCTGCCCTGGCTTCTCTGGGCATTGCTGTTCTTCCCATCCTCCCCAAATCTCTTTCCACATGCTCTCTCTTCATTCCTGTGCTGGGAAAAAGCTCTATTTGGCGAGTTTGGAAGAGTGGGAGCTAAAGAGGGCAAGATGGGGCTTGCCTACCTGGGGTGGAAGCAGTTGAGGGGGGAGCCCTCAGGGATAGGGTGGGAAAAGCCAGGGGGACCAGATCGTGAAGGGTGAGTTGGGGCTTTATCTAGCAGTCCCGGGAAGCCATGGCTCAGACAGTAAACAATCTGCCTGCAATGCAGGAGACCCAGGTTCCATCCCTGCGTCAGAAAGATAGGTGCCCTGGAGAAGGGAATGACAACCCACTCCAGTATTCTTGCCTGGAGAATCCCACGGACAGAGGAGCCTGGCGGGCTGCAGTTCATAGGGTTGCAAGGAGTTGGACACGACTGAGCAAATAACACTTTCGCTTTCTTTCAAGCAGCTACTGATCTAGTCGAATTTGTCTCTTTAAAAGCTTGATCTCTCAGGAGCTTCCCTGGTGGTCCAGGGGTTAAGACAGCACTTCCAATGCAGGGGCCATAGGTTTGATCCCTGGTTGGGGAACTAACATCCCCCATGCAATGTGGCGCCTGGAACTCTTGTGGTCTAGTGGGGCCCCTCCAGCATCTGTGGCGGGGCAGACAGAATCCAGGTCCTTAGGAAGGGGCAGGTGGAAAAGAAACCCATCAGCCTTGCTTCAGAAGACAGTGACTGTTCACACCACAGCCTTGCTGCATCTGTCCCCGGAGACAGGCAGGGAGGAACTAGAGACAGAGAACCTAGACAGTCAAGCAGCTGTGCGACAGTGAAGGCACTGACAGGGCGTCAGTCTTGTGGAGAGTAGAGAGTGTGAGCCAAGGCCCCCGCTCTGGGGCCTCCATGGACACCGCTTCTTACTGGTCCTCCAGAGTGCTTGGGAGCCGAGGGCAGGCTGGCACACAAGCTGTTCCGAGACCTCTTTGCCAACTACACAAGTGCCCTGAGACCTGTGGCAGACACAGACCAGGCCCTGAATGTCACCCTGGAGGTGACACTGTCCCAGATCATCGATATGGTGCGTTGCTGTACAACCTGGAGTGTGCTGGAACGGTTGGAGGAGGAAGGAATGGGAAAGGGATGGGGGATGAGGAACCTCCCTAGTGGTTCAGTGGTTAAAACTCCAAGCTTCCACTGCAGCAGAGCATGGATTCTGTCCCTGGTCAGAAAACTAAGATCCTGCATGCTGCGTGGCAAGGTTAAAAAAAAAAAAAAGGAATGGAGGGATGGGAGACTAGGATTACTCTCCAAATAATTCTTTCCTGGAAACATTAATATAACAGCTACCAAATGTTGGCTATTAACCACTGGGTAGCCACAATGTGCCCAATACTTGCACACTCAAGTTCCTGACTAGCAGAGATTACCACCCATGTAACTGCCGAGGAAACCCAGGCCCAGAGGAGAAGGTCCTGCCAAGGTCACACAGTAAGACTGTGTGGGGACTGGACTGTGTGGGCAAATCAGGTCTGACCAGAGTTCTGCAGTTGAGTGCGCACACACAGGGTAGGATGTGCACAGACGTGTGTCCACATCTATACCCACTCTCTGCCCGTAACTAGGATGAGCGGAATCAGGTGCTGACCCTGTACCTGTGGATCCGACAGGAGTGGACAGACGCCTACCTACGATGGGACCCCGACACCTATGGTGGTCTGGATGCCATCCGCATCCCCAGCAGTCTCGTGTGGCGGCCGGACATCGTACTGTATAACAAGTACTACCTGCCCGGGTCCCTCCCCTCCACCCCTCTGGAGAGATGCCCTTGGCTCTGGGGATGCATTTATTTCCCCATCCCCCACACCAAACCTGACTCTAGGGTGCCCAGTAAGCTTTGCCCTGGGAGCCTTCTAAACTGCCAGGAATGGTGGCTGTGTGGTGCAGTAGGGCTTTCTGACACCACAGCTCACAGCTAGGACCTACTGGAAGAACCTCACAGCCCCTTGATAGCACCCCCAAGCCAACCCAGGCTGAATGTCTCCCAGGAACCCTCTATGTGGTCCAGGACTAGTTCTATATCCCTCGCAGCCAGGGTTCTGGGGCACACGTGCCTCTTTATGTCACATTTCACCCTTCTGGGCCTGAGTCCCTACATTTTCCCCAGGGCCCCTCCAGGCGCTTTGCAGACGGCCCCCAAGAAAAGCTACCATGCACTCCGCATCCCCTTTAGGGCTAGACCTGTCTCGTTCTTGGCCCTGCAGGCCCTGGCCCCATTAGGCCTCCAAAGACACAGAGGGCCCTCTGTGAGTCCCCCAGAGGGTTGGAGTCGCACCCCCTCCAAGGGTTAGCCCCGACATCCAAGGCCACAGCGCCTCAGGGAGCCCCCAACCCCTGCCCGCAGGGCGGATGCGCAGGCCCCGGCCTCGGCCAGCACCAACGTGGTCCTGCGGCACGATGGCGCCGTGCGCTGGGACGCGCCGGCCATCACGCGCAGCTCCTGCCGCGTGGACGTGTCGGCCTTCCCGTTCGACGCGCAGCGCTGCGGCCTGACCTTCGGCTCGTGGACACACGGCGGGCACCAGCTGGACGTTCGGCCGCGCGGCACCGCCGCCAGCCTGGCCGACTTCGTGGAGAACGTGGAGTGGCGCGTGCTGGGCATGCCGGCCCGGCGGCGCGTGCTCACCTACGGCTGCTGCTCCGAGCCCTACCCGGACGTGACCTTCACGCTGCTGCTGCGCCGCCGCGCCGCCGCCTACGTGTGCAACCTGCTGCTGCCCTGCGTGCTCATCTCGCTGCTGGCGCCGCTCGCCTTCCACCTGCCTGCGGACTCAGGCGAGAAGGTGTCGCTGGGCGTCACCGTGCTGCTGGCGCTCACCGTCTTCCAGCTGATCCTGGCAGAGAGCATGCCGCCGGCCGAGAGTGTGCCGCTCATCGGTGAGTTCCGAGGGCCTCAGGGTGGCCAGGGAGGGGCTGGCAGGGAGGTTGCCCCCAACCCCGGGGGCTGGCGCACGCGGGTCTCCGCAGGTGTGGGGGCCGCAGCCCGACTGGCCTAGGTCAACCGAGAGGCCCTGCAGAGCATTTTGGGGCCCGGCCTTGTTGTGAGATGGAGGGGGAAGAGATAGGCCCCTTCCAGGGAAAATAGCCCTCCCTTCAATTGTAGGGGCAGAGGAGGGAGTTGGTCTTTTTTGGTTTTTAAATTTTATTTATTTATGGCTGTGCTGGGTCTTCACTGGTGCATGAGGGCTTTCTCAAATTGCGGAGAGTAGGGGCCACTCTTTGTTGTGGGCCCTAGAGCACGCAGATTTCAGTAGTTGTTGCGCAGGGGCTTAGTTGCTTGGCAGTATGTGGAATCTTCTTGGACCAGGGATGGAACCCATGTCCTCTGCATTGGCAGGTGGATTCTTATCCACTTGTGCCACCTGGGAAGTCCAGGAGTTGGTCTTTACTCAAGGACTTGTTGGAGGATGATCGACATTCCCCAGTATTAGAATATAGGCAAAATGTCTTAAGTACTCACTGCATGCCAGGCATTCTCTTGAACACTTGACGTTTATTAACCCAGGGGAGCAGCACCACAGACCTGTGTGCATGTGTGCTAAGTCACCTCAGTCGTGTCTGACTCTGTGTGACTGTAGCCTGCCAGACTCCTCTCTCCATGGGATTCTCCAGGCAAGAATACTGGGGTGGGTTGCCATGCTGTCCTCCTGGAAATCTTCCCAACCCAAGATGGAAGCGGAGTCTCTTATGTCTCCAGCATTGGCAGGGGATTCTTTACCACCAGCCCCACCTGGGAATCCCCCAGGAAGGTTCTGTTGTAACTTGCCCAGGTCATGGTGGTTCTATTTAAGAGTGTGACTTTCAGGGCACTGTGGGTGAGTCCAGGCTTTAGCAGTGAAGGCATCAACCAGGGAGCAGGAAGCTTCTGAGAACCAGATGTGGGGATGTGGGAGGAGAGCTCTTGGCCCTTACCTCCTTCCCACTTCCTTCCATTTTGCTTCGAGGGTCCTGAGAACCTGAGGGGGGATGAGCTCGTCCCTCCTTGTGTTCAGGCAGCTGGGGAGCTCCAGGCTCCTGAGCTCTCGTTTTGGGCCTCAGTTCTGTTTCTGTCTTTTGCAGGAAAGTACTACATGGCCACCATGACCATGGTCACCTTCTCCACGGCGCTTACCATCCTTATCATGAACCTGCATTACTGTGGTCCCAGTGCCCGCCCCGTGCCAGCCTGGGCTCGGGCCCTCCTGCTAGGACGCCTGGCACAGGGCCTGTGTGTGCGGGAACGAGGGGAGCCCTGTGGGCAATCTAGACCACCTGAGTCATCCCCCATTCCCCAGCCTCCTGACAGAGGCACTGGCCCCCCAACAGGTCCCTGCCAGGAGCCTCGGTGTCTGTGCCGTCAGGAAGCCCTACTGCATCACGTGGCCACCATCGCCAACGCCTTCCACAGCCACCGGGCTGCCCAGCGCCGCCATGAGGACTGGAAGCGCCTGGCCCGTGTCATGGACCGTTTCTTCCTGGGCATCTTCTTCTCCATGGCTCTGGTCATGAGCCTTCTGGTGCTGGTGCAGGCTCTCTGAGTCCCAAGGGTCTGCTGCAGCCACAGCACCTCCAGATGGGGATGGATCAGCCAGGCCAGGTGGTGGTCAGCCCTCAGGCCACCCGGTGTCTCTTCACTGGGCCTCAGAACCTGGGACGTCCTCTCTTCAGCACTACTGACTTCACAGACCAGGAGTATTCATCATCTCCTGTGTACTCTAACCTCTAAGGAAAATCAGAGCTTGCTGTTCCCCTGATTTCTGCAGAGGAGGAACTCTAAAAAGGGTCAAGATCGAAGTGCAATTTGGGAGGGACAAAAGTGAACTTCAGTGCTGAGTGTAGGCACTTTCAGTGGGGAGCGTGCAGGCATGACAGCAGTGCCCCATTTCCTGTCTTCTCTTCCTTCCCCTGTGGCTACTGTTACAGAGACTTGGTCTAACCTGACCCTGTCTAGGGGCTCAGAGAAGGTGACTGGGGATTCAGGGTTCCTGGTCCGCTTTCCACAGCAGGAGGCCACAAAAGGACTTGGCCCAAATCTCCAACTCATAATAAAGTAATGTGTGCCTTGCACCTCCTCCATGTCCTGTCTTACCCTTAGGCTCTTGGTGGTAGAAGTTAGGAATCCAGCCTCTTAGGGACCTCTAGAGGACCCATGAATCAGAGTGGAAATTACATCTTTGCTGACAAGAAAATGATTGGCATTTCATTGAGATCCCTAAAGCTCTCTCTGCTGTTTTCCTGCTCTCTCCTCTCTGGATTTAGGTCCAGTCCATCCACGTTCTCGCTGTGTGGGCGTCACACAGTGACATCCGGAGAGCTTGAAGGTGCCCAAATAAGGGCAGGACAGGGACCAGCCAGTCACAAGATGTTTGTTCCTTTCTGACTTCCATGTGTTTTCTGGTACCACCTGCGTACCTCGGACACGGTCCTCACACTCAGAAGCTCATAGCTGGAGATGGCAGACCAGAGGCAGGGCCCCTAACCTAGCAAGGAGGAGAGGTCAGAGAAGGCTTCCTGGAAGAGCAAAGAGCAGCTATCCAGCTGCACATGGGAGGCATTTGAGTAACATCAGTGAATACATAGCCAAGTACTTTTCTCCCCAGTCACCCACCTCCGAACTACTATAATCTATCTCCAGGTGAGTGATTACCTGTCCTGCAGTCCCCCCAACCTCTCTTCAGCATCTGACTCCTAGAACCCTGGGAGAGGCTCAGTCCCCACATTTTCTTCTTCCTGCTAGCAGGCCCAGCAGTCGCCAGAGAAGGTCCCAGAGTTTCCTGTAGATGGAGTTAGCCCGGATCATGGCCACACTCAGAGCACGCATGTGGCTGACATCCTCATGTTGGGCAGAGGTGACAGGCAGAGCTGTTCAGTGGCTGATGGGCTAGAGGAGGCCCGGACTCTCTGGAAAGATCTCCCCAACGAGGAACCAGAGCAGCAGTAGAAGGGACCAGACTGCAGGAATGGGCCTCTGATCCACGGCTGCAGGGAAAACAGAAGCAGAGAGATTCAGGGACAAAGTGAGGAAGAATTTAGGGAGAAAGGTAGTCAGAGATGAAGAGACAAGCAGAGTCCCAGTTCCCTTTCCAGAGGTCATTAAGTCTATGCCCCAGCCTCCTGTTGACACAACTGAGGCACTGCAGGGTGGGATGAAGTGGATCAGAGATCTGAGTGGGATCTGGTGATGCTGATCTTTGCTCCTCTGCCCAGACTCTGGTGGGAGAGGCACTGGTGGAGGCGGGTGAGGGGTGGGGAGTGGGAATCCTAAACTTTCTCAGTGCCTGAAATGACATTATCAGAACTCAAGCCAGGTTGGAAGCTGGAGACTTGGCTGGTCTCGATTCTGCCACAGATGACTCTGTCATCTGGAGCAAGTCACTTCAGTCTCTGGGCCTCACTTTGTTATGTAATGAGGGCAATATTTCCTGTCCCACCTCCTTCCAGTTGATGATTGTGCAGTAAGAATAACGTGAGGCCAGCCTGGTGTGGTGGTTCAGATTTGGGCTCCAGGGCCAGGTTATTTGGGCCCCATCCCTTGCTAGGTCTGTATGTGGGGCCAGTTGCTTCACCTCTCTGTGCCTCTTTCTCTCATCTGTGGAAAAGAGGTGATGAGAGTATCTGTACCATCGGATCACAGTGAGGACTCATGTGCCCAGAACCCTGAGTGGTCTTGTGCCATGGAGAAGGGTGAGAGCAAAGTGGAGGCTGAGGCTCCTTCCTGCCCACTGCTCTAAAAGCCTTGAGGGAGGAGGCAGGACCCCAGGGTGGGGAGGAGCTGTGACTTCTTCCCTGAGAATGGCCTGTTCCCAGGTGGAGAAGTGATGCCTCAGGCAAGCCCTGGGCCAGCAAGTGTTCAAGAGAAGAGAAGAATCATGGCCACAGAGAACCTGGGGACCATCTAGTCCAATGTGCTTATGATACAGATAGGGAAACTGAGGTTCAGAGAAGAAAGATTGGTCACAGAGTTAGGGCAGAGCCTGGGTTACAGCCCAGGTCACCAGCACCCATGACCTGGCCTTGACCTTGGGAGGTGGTCTGAGGGAGTTCTGAGCACAGTTACAGACAGAGGGCTCCCAGCGGAAGGAGGAGAAGGCCTGGGGAGGACTTTGTGGAGTGGCCCTTCCCACTGTCACCTCAGTGCAGCCTGGAGCTTTCTGGGGTCTGATCCGTGACCTCCTGTGAAGGAGGGCCAGGCCCAGGCCTGGGTGGAGGAGAGCAGGTATGTTAGCTCGCCACGTATACACCCCACGTATCCCACGTATACACCCTGTGGGAAACGTTAGCAATCCCTACAGGTGTCTGCTCAAGAAAGTCTACTTTTTTTTTTTAAATCAAAAGAGGGTTGTTTTTCATTTAAGGGGGATGTTCACCCAGGAGGGGGGCCCAGACCCAGTGCAGTCAGCTCATCTCTGAAAAGAGCCCCGCCAATGCCTGCAGCCCTTACCTGAATTATCCAGACGGCAGCGCTCAGACTTGCACTTCTTGTCTGCAGGAAAGAAACAGCAGAGAATCAAAGGCTCAATAGCTCTCAGGACAGAAAGGGACCCCAGAGCCCCTCCCTGACTTGCTTTAGGAGAAGCTGGTGTCTTTTCCCCTGATTCTGCTTCCTTAGGGTGGGACCACCCTCGCTTGGGTTTGACTAGACCCATGAGCAGCAGGTCCAGGAAGGCCCCAGCCCTCAAAGCCAGGGTGTTCTGGGCTCTCCTTCTCCTCCCTTGGCCTGTAACTTTGCCTCCATGCCGCACCCACCGCTCCTTCTCCCAGCCAAGGAGGGGCTCATTTATGTTCTTTGGCTGTCTTTGTCACCTTCCATCAACTCATGCGTGCTTGTGATGCTGTCCACGGTGGGATCTGAAGCCACACTGGACCTACTCCCACTTGAGATGTGGTCCGTGGATCCAGCCAACAGCCTGCCTCTTACTAGGAAAACAGCCTCACAATCCCCTGGGCATCCTTCAGCCAGGACCAGCAGCCCACAGCCCCTTCAGAGACTAAGGACCTGTACTCATCCTCATGATTACTCCTCTGCCTGATCCTGGGATGGTGGAGAGGAAAGCACCCGAGACCTGCCAGAGCCCGAGCTAGAACTTAGGGGGATGGCACCCACATGCTGTCTCACCATCTCACCGTCACCTTGACCCAGTACACACCCAGGGTTTCTGATCAGTCAAAAAAACACACTCCTCTCGGAAAACAGAGATGGGGGCCCACACTCATTTCTGGCAACAGTTTCCAGCTGGGAGAGAAGCCTGATCAAGTCTGTTTGGCATTCAAATGGCCAGAAACACCTGTGCTGGTCAGAAAACCTTCAGTCTCCCAGCAGGCAAGTGGCCAGCTCTGGCTTAGACACCTCCAGGGTAAGGAACGTTATGCCTCCCCTTGGATGGAAAGGGTGGAGGGGCTGGGGACAGGATGAGGTCCTCCTCACTGATTTTAATATCTGTGTATGTGTCTCCTGAAAATGGGACGGGGAAGCCCACCTTGTGCACAGCTGCTGGCTGACACGTGCCCTGCTCACCTTTGATGTACTCGCAGTTGTATGTGCTGCGCTTGCCCAGGGCCCGGAGGTAGATACGAGAGGGGCCCTGGGCCGGCCTGCTGGCGTTGATCACCTGGAAGGTCTCGAAGGGAGGGATCAGCACCTCCTCCTCCCCAGGAAAGAAGGAGTAGCCCTTGATGGGGGCCCCAAGGCAGGTCCAGATGCCAAAGAAAGTGTCTTCCCCAAAGTGCTGGGCCGCAGCATTCTGCAGGGACGCGGAGGCAAAGCCCCCCAGCCTGACGGTGGCCCCAGGCCCCGCCGGCCGGAAGCGCAGGCCCTGCACCCCTCGGAACACCTGGTGGCACTGGGGTGGACGCTGGCTGCTGCTCAGCAGCTGCAGGGCTTCGGTCAGCAGGAAGTGGAGTGTCTTGAAGGAGAAGTGCTGGAGGTAGTAGGCCCGGGAGCGACCCGCCTCACGCACGGCTGCATTGAATTCTTTGTGCAAGGGGCTGTTGGCCGTGTAAGCCAGGAGGGCCACCCCGTGCTCTTCTCGGAAGCCCAGGGGGGCGAGCAGACGGGTAGGGCTGACACCCCACTCGGGCCCCCAGGCCTGGCGCTCCCGCCACTGGCTGCTTGCCTGTGCCCAGCCATCGGCGTACACTTTGTTTTCCTGGAACTCTGTGCGGTTGAGATCCGGGAGAGCAGCCGCCATGGCTGCGGCACAGCCAGCATACTGGTCATCAAAGGAGGCCAGGGCCATGTCTAGGGGCATTTCTCGAGAGAGGAGGTCTCGTCGTAAGACGGGGTGGCTCTGGGCCTGCAAGAGGGGGAGCAGCAAGGATTGAGAGGTTAGGCCCCAGGAGAACAGGAGCCCTGTTATCCAGCTCCCCCCTCCTCCACTGAGCTGAGAGAGATGCAGGGCCCCTAACACACTTGGAGGGGAAGTGAAGTGAAAGTCACTCAGTCGTGTCCAGCTCTTTGCGACCCCATGGAGTATACAGTCCATGGACTTCTTCAGGCCAGAATACTGGAGCAGGTAGCCTTTCCCTTCTCGAAGCGATCTTTCGAACCCAGGTCTCCCCCATTGTAGGCAGACTGTTTACCAGCTGAGCCACAAGGGAAGCCCTGGAGGGGAAGGGGATGGGGAACTACCAGCAGTGGAGGCCCTGAGACTGGGCTCCAGGGCTGTCCCCTCAGACTCAGCCATCCCCAAAGGAAGCATCCAGCAGAGTTCAGAAGCCAGCAGCTGGGGCATGGAGACAGCAGAGGATGACTGTACCTGGAGTGCTTCCATGAGGCCCACGGACACAAGCAACACAGACATCACAGCAGGGCCCTGCATGTTGGAGATGACCCTGGTCAAGTCACTGTCTGGGCCTCAGTTTCCTCACCTGGAAAAAGAGAACCTGCACAGTTCCATAAACACTAATTGGGACTTCCTGGTGGTCCAGTGGCTAAGACTCCGCTCTCCCCATGTAGGGGATCCAGGTTTGATCCCTGGTCAGGGAAATAGATCCCACCTCTGCAACTGAGAGTATGTGTGCTGCAACTAAAAAGATTCTGCGTGCCACAGTGAAGGTGGAGGACCCTGTGTGCCATGAGTAAGACCAGCGTAGCCTAAATACATAGACAAACAAACAAAAAAAACCATGAATTGATACCTGGTCTGGGTCACTTACACTGCTTGGCACAGGGTCACAGCATAGAAATGGAGGCTCAGAAGAGAGAGAGGACCCTTCTTGCTGGAAGGAACATAGGAAACTTCCCGGAGGAGGCAACATGTGACTAAGGTCTTACGGAATAAAGAGGAGAATAAGGCTTCAGTCAATGGAGGTGGGAGAGAAAAGACTGGAGTCTGGAGAGAGAAAGATGTTAGGGGCAGCAGGAATGGGAACAGGAAAGGTACTGGAGGTAGGAACTCTCAGGATGTAAAGAGTGAAAGATACTTTTTCTAGTGTGGCAGGTGCAGGCTGGGAATGTTGGAAAGCTTGGGGTCAGTCCTGAAGAAGCTTGACTTCCACAGTGAGAGGTCTGGGCTCCCCTTCATGGGGACCTGAGGCTGGAACAGGGCAGATCCAGGAGTGGTCAGCTGGTGAGGCCACAGCAGGACCCCAGGGACAGGCTCAGAGCAGGGCTCCAGGAAAGCGTCCCAGCTATGGGTCAAGATTGAAATAGTTTTCAAGTTGGTGGTGCTTCTTTATTTCTGTTTATTACCAAGTAATGCATGCTCATTGTATATGAATGAATCACAACACCCAAGGCCCCCATTTCCTCCTCTCCCTCCATGTCCCCTTCTCACTATTACCCAGGCCTGCTGTTTTCCTGGTAATGGGACCCTTCAAGACCTTTTTTGATGTACATACAAATAATATAATGTTTAAGTATATATATACACATAGTTTTCTGTGTGCAGCCTATTTTTGGTTTTCTTATTGTCACTTTTTTCAAAAAGAAAAAGGAAATATGCTTACACATACATGTTCTACAACCTTTTCAAAGGAAACAATATACCATAAACTTCTTTCCATGTCATACATGCATATCTACCTTGTTCGTTATAATGGCAGCATGGAAGTTCATAGTAGAGTTAGTCCATAATTTATTTAACCATTTTCTTATTGACGGGCACTTAGTGTTTTTTCCTCAGTCTTTGATATTACACGTGATATTGCAATGATCAGTTGTGTATATAAATCCTTATCTACTTGTCTGCATATTTTTAAAGGAACGATATCAAGGTGATATTTAAAGTATTTGAATAGTGTTCCTTTAGATAGCCACTGCCAAGTTGCCATCCAAAAGGTCCCTCTTCACTTGCCACCAACAGCAGACAAAAGTGCCCTTTTCTCCAAGTCTTTGCCAACACTGGCCATTATGAATCTCTAAATTTCCATTTAACTCGTGGGTGCAAATGGTATCTAGTTTCTAATTTACCTCTTGGCTCACTAACAGGATGAATCATAATGTTATTTTGGGGGAGAGGAGCACACCTTAGGTGTAGCCTGGCATGCTGCAGTCCTTGGGGTCGCAAAGAGTCGGACACGACTGAGCGACTGAACTGAGCACCTCACGGCTTGTGTGTGTGTGTTTAGATACACACACACACAAGCCGTGAGGTGTGGCCAAAAAAAAAAAATAACGTTATGATTCATCCTGCTAGTGAGCCGAGAGGTAAATTCCCCAACTTGGGATGGCACCCGGGCCCTCAGCAGTGAAACTGCAGAGTCCTAAGCATTGGACTACCAGGGAACCCCCATAGCTTTTTTTTAGTGCTATAAAGTTTTAAGTTTCAAAAAGGTAGTACATTTTCATTTTTCATAATTTATAGTCCACAAGTGAAATGTCCTTCTCTTTGATTCCTCAACCCCATCCCCTCTCCTCAGAGGTACCAGTGTTGCCATTTCATGTCATCCTGCCAGAGATACTCTAGGCGCATACAAGCAGATTCTTAGGTATTTCTGTTTTCCCTCTTTTATCCAAACCGTAATATAGTTAGTGGTTTTTATCTTTGGAAATCTGATGAAAACTGAAAGTTCTGAGAAGATGGATCTGTGTGCCTTCACACAGACCTTACACAACTCTCAGGGTAGATGTGCACCCGCCCTAGTCTTGCTTAGGTTAAGCATCCCTGCTCCCTGATCCCCTCTGGCTCTTGGTCGGGCCTAAGTTTTGATAGATCAATGACCCTAGGACACAGGAATGTTCTGTGGCTATAATTTCATTTTTCCCAATCTAAGATCTTATCACTGCCAATTCACAGTTTCAATTGAGGTGTGAGCCTCTCTGGGCAATAGAGTTAACAGCAGGTTTTTATCAAATTTAACACATTCCAAACTGAACTCCTTATCTTCCCTCCCTCAAAACTTGCTTACTCATTCATTCAACAGAATTCTTTAAAAAAATTAATTAATTAGTTTATATTTGGCTGTGCTGGGTCTTCTTTGCTACCCGGGCTTTTCTCTCTTCGCAGTGTGCAGGGGTTTACTCTCTAGTTATGGTATTCAGACTTCTCATTGCAGTGTCTTTTTTTGTTGTGGGGCACTGGCTCTGGGGCACTAGAGCTTCAATAGTTGCTGTGCCCAGCCTCCAGAGCACAGGTTCAGTAGTTGTGGTGCACGGACTTAGTTGCCTTGTGCACAACATGATCAGGGATCCAGGATCTTCCCAGATCAGGGATCAAACCCCTGTCTTCTGCATTGGTAGGTGGACCCTTTACCACTGAGCCACCAAGGAAGCCTCTCAACAGAAAATTCTTGAGCATCCTGTAATGTGCCAGGAGCTGAGGATAAAACTGTGATCACAAAACAAAAACAAAACCCATATCCCTGCTTCTTTAAACTCTTTTAAGGTAGAGGTGGAGCTGGAGTGAGGAATTTCAAGTAGCATGTGATGTATGTTACAAGAAGCCAAAGAGCCTGATGAAGACACATTTGCACCAGGAGTGGGTTTAAATGATGAGCTGTCTAGAGGAGATACGGAGTAGATAGAATTGAAAATGGCATCACAATGGGGACTAAAGCATGAAATACTGCTCCCTAGTTCCAAGATAGAATGCGAATGGGCAGAGTATATAGCAGCAAAAAAGCTATTTGAACTCTTGTGGTTTTATGGAATCCACCAAAGAAACCTGAACTTCTATAATAGATCCTCTTTTCGTGGAAAATTCAGTCCATGGGTTCATTGGGGGCTTTCCTAACTCTGTACCCTTAGGAGGAGAACACATGACCCCAAACTGGTGCTCTAATGCCCTGGTCATTGTGATTGGTTCACATTTGGACACATAACCTAAGTGAGACACTCAGAGTCCTTCCCAGGGTTTGATATTATTAATAATAGATGGATGCAGTATAAAAGAGTATGCCTGCCACTGCTGATTCACAGTATCACCTCAGCTCATCTTCAGGTTGAAACACAGGAGCAATGAATAATTCTCAAGCATCTGACAGCTTCCCACTCCTAGTGCTCCATATATTCCGGTGTCCAAGCCTTTCTGCATCACCTTGGGGGCTTGCTCAGGGCAGCCCCAAAGTGCAGGAGATTTAATGTTCCCAGGAACAACTCTCACCCAATGAGGGTAGACCGTCAGATTCTCTAGTCCACAGAGGGTCCCCAGAGAGACATAGTTGACCACAGTGACCACACTTTGCAGGGGCACTTGTCTCTCTTCTCTGTCTCACTTTGCCACTCCTTTATTTGTATTTCCTGAGACCACCTTACAAATAAGCTCACTACACCCAAGTCCTTGCCTCTAGGTCCACTTTGGAGGGAACCCAAACCAGAGAGAAGGCCTTCTTTTTGGGTCAGAGACCATCAGAACATAGCCTAGAACCGTTCCTCCAGCCTGGGTCCCAGAGGAGCAGATGTGGGCCCAGCCCACAACAAGGAGGCAGCCAGCTGAGGCAGGCTGGCAGCCTGAGGCAGAGCTGCCCATCCAAGCTCACTTTAGCCCATCTACAGTCAACCTAAAGACCCAGGAGCATGAGAATAAATGTTTGCATACCACTGAGATTTTGTGGCCCACAGCAAAATGGTCATGTAGTGAAAACTCGAAGCCAGCTGTATCTCTCACTGCCTCTCCATTGCCCTGTCTCTGTCCTGCAGAAACACAGAAATAAAAGATTTCAGAGGCTTGGAATAGGGAAGGAGATTTATGAAGTAAGACTGAGAACACTGAATCATGTGGCCTAAGGTATGGGCAGTGAGAGTGGACCCTGCCTTACTATGTAGAATTTACTGGACATGGTATCTGATGAGGTTTAGGAGATGAGATGGGGGAAATCAAAGCTCACACTCAGGTTCCCATGCTCTAAGTTGGAA